AACTGTGACATCCTACCGAGTCGAGTCTTTGCATAGTCGAGTCTTTGCATAGAGTCGAGTTGAACCAAACCCGATTGGGGTAGAATGAGTTTATTAGTGGACTTACTTGATTGAGAGAAAAAGAGCAAAGTATAAAGATTTGGAGTTACTTGCATTAGAAGAACAAGTTTGGGTATTAAGTTGTAGCTTTTACCCAATTGAGGTACCATGTAGTACGTTTCCATCATTTATCTTGATTTTGTGATGACTTACCCGTAATCATCCCATTCACTTTCCCATTGTTCATCTTTATCTTTATCTTCTTCATATTTCCATCCCATTAGGCAACCTCAATTTAGCATTAAGGCAACCTCTAGTTCTCCAAGTAAGTAGAATTTCTTGAAGCTTTATGCTATTCAACCTCTAATTGAGTTATATCGTAGATAAGTGATAAGAATTTTTATTCTAGGTGAAGGAAGTTCAAAGAGTGTAGAGAAGAGAAGTTAGAACAGAGCTCACGCGTTTTTGGAGTAAAGGTCTGATATCTCTTGATTTTTATTATTGTCCTTGCATGAGAATTTTTGTGGTGTGTTGCTATTGAGACAATATATTGCTTTGTGTTGGAGAATGGTAGTGGTGAGAAAACAGGGGAGGTATTGAGTTTATGTTGAAAACAGGGGATGAATATATGAAGTGGAAACAGAGTTTGCTGGAAATTTTACCAGCAACTTCATCTTGATTTTGAACCCATTTAATGAGCTTTGCATGGGGTTTGGAATCATCCAAAATTGGATTTGTTATATTGAGAGTATATGCCCAAAAGAGTAGCAGACGCGCAGGCTGGAAACGCGTTCGCGACCTGACTGCGCAGGCTGGAAACGCGTCGCGACCCTGCACTGCGCAGGCTGGAAGCACGTCGCGCGCCGCGACTTTGCACTGCGCGCGCGCGACTTTCACTTCAAACTCTCTGACCCTCAATTGGCACATTACGTGCTCGCGACTCTCAAGTACGCGCTCGCGAAGTTGGCCCTTGGCCTGGGAGCGCTCGCGACTTGCATTGCGCGCTCGCGTAGTTGGCATGAAAACTCACTGTCTCTCATTTGGCACACTACGCGCTCGCGACCTTCAAGTATGCGATCGTGACTTGTGCCTGAGAACACACTGTCTCTCAATTTGCACTCTACGCACTCGCGACTTTCAAAAGGCGCGCTCGCGACTTGTCTTTTCCTGCACTTTTGGATTTCTTTTTCCATGCAATTGGATTCTTTTGCTCAACTTGTATGCATCCAATCATTATCATTTTAGCATCAAAATATATCATGAGAACATGTATTAAAACACCATGCAAGCATGCAAATGATGTGAACTCATATGAACATTATGATTTATGAAGTGATGAACTATTTCTATGATGTTGTGTTATACTTTTGACATACCAACATGATGCTCCATTGAGGTTAGGTAGAAACCACGTCGATAAGGCCATGTCGCGACATAGGATAGCAGATTTGCGCCTCATACAGTTTGTTACTCCGGCTACAGGCCGTTGAGTGGATATGATTATATGAGCCATAGCAGCCAAGGCCATAGCAGCCAAGTTATATCAGTATTCATCCATACAGTATTCATCCAGTTTATACAGTTTTCTTATCACCTCGGTTTCGCTATAACCTTATGGAGCCATACAGATTTCATGACTCATACAGCATAATAAACAGCAAGTATCATGCTATATGTGCTTATATGCTTAATTATCCAGATGCGTTTACATGGTTATTTCTATACATGTATGTGCTTTATTCTTTCTTTTTATGTTGAGATATCCACTAAGCTTTCTTTGCTCAGCGAGTTACCTGTTTAACTCGTAGGTTTTGAGACTGGTCTGTAGAGGGTCCGTTTACAACTGCTGCAGTTCATCTGTAGAAGACTCGGTCTTCAGGGTAGATACTCTTGTTGATCTTTTATGGCATGTACAGGGCACAACAGTTGGGCCCAATCCATTTTGTAAACAGTATTATGTCTTGTAAATATTATATACATTATTAATGTCGTCAGCGTCAGCATGATAGGATATATTATATACATTATGATGTCAGCATGTCAGGATTTAAGTCATCCAGTTTGTAGCATCTCCGCTCGGTTTATTCGGATTTACGGATGGACCGAAAAGGGATGTTACAATGAGAAGGATGTCTTTTCAAAGGTTGGTTACCTATCTCGCAGCAATTGATGGGATTTGAATCAAAGTTGATTCAATCTAAATGACTTGATGATTTGATGAAGCGTGTCTTTCATCAATCTTTAAAGTTCAACCAACAATTTTTATTACAACACTGTACATATCTGAATTATCAAGACGACGAAATAATTAAACATTTTTAAATCTTTCTTTTTGAAAGCAAAAATAAATAAACAAAATCTTATGAACTCCTTTCATATCATAATTAGAAATTTAAATTTTAAAAAATATTTTTTGTAAAAAAAAAAAATTCCGATATATAAAATAGTAACATATTGATGATTATCACTATACAAATTGTTAATTAATGATTTTTCTAATAAAAATATTTGAAATTTTTGTTTTTTAGTAGTGTTAATTAAATAAATATAAGAACTTTCTATGAAAAATGTTAGGCATCCCATTTTATATAATGTTAGGCATCCCATTTTATATCAAACAAAGAGAAAGTGAGAAACCTTTATTAGTTAGATTCTTATATTAATAATTAGTGCTTTTTCCCTTTTTATTAAAAAAAAAAGCTTAAACCCTTTCATGAGGACCCTCTGAAATCCTCAATCTGGAAAGTGGTTGGGCAACGAAAAAATTTAATATAATTAATCAGATTGAATACTTTTAAATAACCTACTGCTCACCTAATCCCTCTCATGTGAACCCCCTCTTAGCCCTCACCCACCACACATCATATATATGCATACTATGGAGATTTTTTTTTTTCTCTTATGATGATAAAATAAATGTATTTTTTTTTTTCTCTTATGATGATAAAATAAATGTTTTAATTTACTATAAAACAAAATTATATTAGTAATAAAGTTTAAAATCTCTGTGAGAAAATGTTAAATTATATGGAGAGAGTAGTTTAGAAGGGAAAAAAAATAATTATCTTTACAACTTAAAAGATTTCGTACCAAAATTTACTTTTATAAAAAATATTTTTAGGACAAATTAAGACATAGTTTAGTGGTAAGTGCGTTACGACCATGCAATAACCTTCATTTTTTCTTTAGGTAAAAAAGAATTATTAATACTCTTTTTTTCTTTTTTTCTTTTTTTTCTTTAATTATTAGGTTTTAGTTATGGTTCAATTTGTAATTTCTACAGTTTTAAAAAACTACTTATTTTTAAAATTTTTTGTTTTCTGAAAAAATGTTTCATAATTTTAGAATCGAAAATGATAAAAATCTAATTGAATATTTTTATCAAAGAGAAAGTTAACTGAAACACCCCGTAATTTTATTTTTAAAATTTTAAATTTAAAATAAATCAAAAATCAGAATTTTAATGGTATGGGCTGTAAGTATGTTACAATCTAATTCCGACACCAAATTCAAGAGTTGGGCCCAAGCCCAAAGTGTGGTATCATAACTCCTAACCAAAGAGTATCTAAACATTTTAACGATTATATTGGACATTAAGCATTAAATTAATTAAAATAAATCAACTGGATCCGTTAACTTATTTGTTTTTTCGAAAACTGAGTGAAAATCCCGTAAATCAAGCAAAAAAACAAGCCAAACCGTTGATTTGGACCAAACCGGTTCGAATCGAACCAGAATGGCCCAGACTTCTCTAGAACCCTCTTTTCTTCCTTTTTTTTCTTTTCTTTTCTTCTTCTTCTTCCTCCTGCGCGCGACAGCTCCTTTGTTCACTGCGTTTTCTGGCCACCGGCCACGGAATCCGGTAAACGAGCACTCCATCTTGATCCTCTCATCAAAACGAACTTCTCTGTGGTCTTGGTTCGCGTGATAAGAGCTGGAATCGAGAGATATCGCGACTGGAAGGCCGCGCGACCATGCGATGGAGTTCTCCGGCAAAATCTCTCCATTTCCGTCGAATTCAAACGCTAGGGATGGTCTCAAACGACACCTAGTCGCCTCCTGGAAAATTTCCCTCCATTAATTCTGGCAATGGATCAGTGAGGATGAAATCACCATTAGAGGCGGACCTACAGCCACTATCGAGCCAAATCCGACGGGTTGGAGATCCGATGTAGCTCAATTGACACCGAAAATGGAATCTTTATCAAAATTTGAGCCGGGTGGTGCATAGATCACGGAAATGGAGTTTGATTTTCAATCGGTACACTTTAAAGCTTAATTTACAATTTTTGAATACCGAATTAATGAATTAATTGAGTATTTAAGTGAATTAAGTTGAATATTGTTAAGTATAGTTCATGAACATTAATTATAATGTAGAATTGAAATAAGAATTCTTAACTAACAATTATGAAAGTTAATTTTAGGAACTTAAATAAATAGTGTTAGGAAAAACTTTAATTTATGGTGTAAACAAGTAAATAATTATAGAACAATTAATTATATTATGGGAATTTAGCTTGATTGTGAATGAGCTGTGTGAATTGAATGAATGAATAAATGATGGTTATGGTGGACGGGATCGGTTAAGGTGAATTGCCCGATGGCTGTGTGTTGACATGTGGAATATGTAAAATCGGGTGATATAGTTTATAGAGAAAATGCTGTCGAATTTTCGGTGAAACAATTAATACAGAATTAAATTAGCCATATCTTTAATAGGTAGTAACGACTAAAACTTTTAGTATTCTTATTATCACTATTATTATTATTATTAGTATTATTATTATCTTTATTATCACTATTATTATTATTATTAGGTATTATTATTTATTAATTATTATTATTCATAATAATAATAATTATTATTTTATAAAATTATTTACTTGTTCAAATAATTTAGAAGTTAATAATAATAATAATATTATTATTATAAAAATATTACTTGTCAAATAATTAGAAGTTTTATTTAAAGGTTATAAATTAGAATAAATAAATAAATGAGGAAACACTATATATACAGTTTAGTTTGATAAGTTAGTTAAGTGATTAGTAACTAAAACTAATAATAAATGTGAAATGCAAAACTAATAATAAATGTGAAATGCATTTCTCGAATTAGAATTCTTATTTTCGAATTTTCTTTTATTTTAGAGGTTTATAAAATTTTGAAATGCGAGGACAAAATCTGGAAGCATGCAGTAATAAAGACAGTCCTTTTAAAGGATAATAAAGAACTGTGAATAATATTAGATAATTCGCATCATTGGCCTGCATCTTTGCATTCATGCATTCACGACTAAATATTATCATGCGTTTGTTAAATTGCTATATTGTGCTGCACTATTGTTGCGATTAAAATTTTGCTTGATCACGTGTGTTGTGATATTGTTGTGCCTTATTTGTGTGGAATTGAGATGAAGTGGGTCACCATGGATTTATGAGGGCAGTCTACGAGACCGTTGGCCATATGGGAGATCAGCGCCCCGTGTGCACATGATGATATGATATGGATAATATGGATAAACCACAGGGTGACCTCCTATTGGTATGAAAAAGAAAAGAGAGAATGAAAAAAACAATGAGAGGGCTGGTCAAGTGAGAATTAGACCGGTCGGTCATGTATGGGGGATTGGCTCCTTGGTGCACATGTTATGAGAGGATAGACCATGTCGGAGGATGGCTCATTGGGAGTTTCAGTGACACCACTGACTAATTTTCACGTGATGTGATTGTATAAAGGTGATAATTATTGTGATTGCTGTTGTATTACCATTTGTGTGACAAATTGCATGATCATATAACTAGTCAGAGGATTAAAACGATTTATTGTAGCATATGTGTGATTGTGTGGGGTGAGAGGGTTATCTAGCGCTACTCATTGAGTTTGGCACTCACCTCTGTCTCCTATTTTTTTTTTTTTTTTTTTTTCCTATTTGTTTTTAATTTTTTTTTTAGGTAATAGGAAGAAAGGAGAATCCCTATGAACCCCGACTGAGTCGTAGATCAAAACTAGGAGAACTTTTTTTTTTTTTTTTTTTTTTAGGTAATAGGAAGAAAGGAGAATCCTATGAACCCGACTGAGTCGTAAGATCAAAACTAGGAACTTGTTAATAGTTATGCTAACCATGTAAATGTAAAGGACCGTAGATTATGGAGTTCCGCAATTGTATTTCAAATAGGTTGTAAATGAATAACTAGAGTACATACTTTAATTATATAAAGTGTACTTTTGATATGTTTATGGAATAAAGTTATTGGGCTCGAAGCCACAATTATATTTAGAATGTAGAAGAATTAATATAGACTTACTACGGGCCTCGGACACCTTAAGCTCACCCAGATCCTAGTGTCGGTCCGGCTTACGAAAATGGGTCGTGACATTAACTTATTTCCAATTTTGTCCTATAGAAAATTAACTCCGCTACGATTATTATTTGGTATGCAAATAAATAAGATGCTGAAAAATTAAAGCCATGTACAAGCAATATTTATTAATTGCAATGTAAGGTGTGAAAATAAAAATTGGGACAAAAGAAGAAATATACTTGATTACCCTTTTGAAGGAAAAAAAAAAAAATGGCGAAGATGACAATAAGAGATGAGATGGTGAGTTCCTCCTATATTGGGTTCATCTCAAATGGATCAGTATGATACTATTGCTCAGCCCATACCTGTAATAATGAGATCAGGTCTATGTATTTATGGACCTCTTTAATTTATATTACTATGTAATTGTTGTATTTATGGCTTAGATTTATATGTACCGTTTGATTCATTTAATTCTTGCTCGAGCCGGTTAATAAAAATTATCAGGTCCGGCTGATTCGATTCTCTTATTTTGCTTTTTCGAACTGATAAATATATGTATAAAACGCTAAACCCTATATGAAAAGTTGTTTTTGTCGAATATGACGTGTATATGACTTATGAGCAAATGGTGTCAAATCCCATGTACTCCTTCCTTTGAATCTTTTTTATCATGTCAGCTAAGCCAACCCCACCTGTTCAGGGGAAAAAAAGGAAAAAAATAATAAAAAAAAAGAAACAAAGTTTTCAAATTAGTTAAAAGTTCTTGCAATTTTTGCTAGTATATGAAGAAGCTACATATAAATGTGTTCATACCTAGTGATATTGCACTGACAAGAACTGTGAAAGACAGAATGAAGATTATTATAGATGCTCTTCCTAACATATCAATCACTTTCTTCACCACAGATTGCCCCACAAGCCCAGCAATTGTAGTCACCAAAAAAAAGTAGACAGCTGCAATTGCAAGGTTCATGGTTACTTTCTTAATTTTGCATCCAAAAATTAGGTTTGAAATTGCTATGAAAATTACCATAAGGAACTGGGAAACGTTTCAGAAGGTAATATTCGATCACAGACATGGAAGCAGAAAATGTCATTGCAAAAGTAGATGTGGCGCTTGAGACCTGTAGAAAATTAGAGAGAAAAAAGTTTAACATGGGGCATAGAAAATATTATTCTGAACTTCTAATTTTCTACGCTATAAGACAGGCACTCGATTATTGAGCTGTTACTTATCATCGTTTAAACTAAATGTATAGAAATATTACATTGGTAAGGGGAAATTAGTGTTGAAAGTGTACCTGAGGAGGGATTCCCATCTCAAGAAAAAGAGGTCCTAAAATGAATCCTCCACCAAGACCAAGCAAACCACCAACAGCACCAGCTAAAAAACCACAGAAACAATACATGACCAACTTGTAAGGGGAAATTAGTGTTGAAAGTATACCTGAGGAGGGATTCCCATCTCAAGACAATACATGACCAACTTGACTACTCTCAGGTCAGTCCCTGCTGCTCCTTTTGATGCAATTCTTCGTTGTCCTTTGTGAAGCCTAACTGCCTGATATATAGTTACTGAAGCAGCAACCGGAACCTGAAAGAAAAGAAAAGAAAAGAAAAGAAGAGAAGAGAAAAGCTGACGCATTATAATTATTCTTGTTAGGATCCTGGAGATTAGCCAATTTTTCAAGTACCAGGGTAGATGTGCACCTGAGCAAAGTCAAATATCCAGTATGGCACAGAACAAGTTCTTACATAATTCTACAGAAAACATTAATTGCAAAGTATATTATTGGTTTTGCGAAAGAAAATATTTGATAAAAAACAATAATCAGAGCCAAAAAAGGACCTTAGCAATCTGCAATGCAAGAATAATTAACCAGACAGAGAAGAGAAATCCAAGTGCTTTCCAGTAAACATTTTTTATAACAGACACCTGAGAACGTTGCACGAATAGATTTAATGCCAATATCAGGAAAACAGCTACAAAAATGTAACAGTATACTATCTTTACATAAACTCTTACCTTTTCCTTTTTAGGAGCCTGATTGGTTTCTGTTTGAGCATCATTGCTTAAGCTTTCAGGAGAAGGAGATGGAACCACAACTTCAAAATTGTGGCATAATTATAGAGTTAATTAGCTTAGTCAAAGATGTTTCCACTAATTTGCAAATTATAAATCGTTGTTCAAATTCAATTAATAAAGAATCATAAAACAACAAGTGAGTTTTAGCTCACTAATACTCACCATTGGATTCCAGACATCTGGGAGCCTCCTGAAAATTCAGAAACTAGTGAGAATACGAATATAAGGAGATTACCAGTTTAATAAAAACCATAAAAGAAGCTAAAAATCCAAGAAAAGTTTAAACCACCTTTTTTATTATGGTTTCTTTCTTCCATGATTGAATGCCCTTTAAGAATGCCTTTGTTGAGATAACTACAGGTAATACACTGGAAGTCATTGTCAAGCACTCAAGTTTGTTCATGAAAAGAGAATCAATTATGAATATATTACAATTCAAGTAAATATAATTAATTATAAGAAAAGATGGTGAATATGAATATATTACAATTCAAGTAAAATATAATTAATTATAAGAAAAGATGGTGCATACAAATGAACAGAATAATTAGTAGAACTGTGATCATCCAATCTGCAAAAATCACATTGAGAGTAACTCCAATGCTAACTCCTAACACCAACATTGGTTGGAACAGAAGAGCAAGATCATAGTCAATCACTGGCATTTCAAGTGTAGGATGCCTCTCGTTCAAATTGTAGTATACTGTTGAAGCTGCTGCGCCTGTGATCATAACTAAACAAACGGAAAAGAAAAAAGAAGAAAGATAGAATCTTTTTGCAATTAAGGCATAAGAGAAATCCAAAGAAAGATAGAATCTTTTTGTTTTCTCTTTACATTTTGATATGGCTATTGATGATTTTGCATCAAATCCAATTACTAGGGTTAGCATTGGGACAAAAATGCCGCCCCCACCAACACCTCCTGCACTCCCAAATGCTGCTCCAAGAAACCCAATTATTGCTCCCACCACAATCCTCCAGCCAAATGTCATTTTCTGTCAACCAAAATTCAAGATATAAGAAAACAACCAAGTTGTAAAAATATTTGGGCTTGATTGTAAAATAATTACAAACGAACCAAACAAATGTAAATAAGTAATTGATTGAAATTGGTTTTGATTGTTAAACAACTCTATTGTTTTAGATTTGTTTGTAATTTTCTTGTTGATGTGTCTGCTGATGTGTTTTTGTTGTGATAAATAGCTGCCTAGTTGTCAAACATGCAACTTGAGTATAAAAGCTGATGTGTAACTCGTACAGAACATGAATGATATGTTCTGTACAAATCTTTAAAGGACAAATCTTTAAACAATGATAGAATCCCACATTTCTGCTTTTCCTACATTTTCTAAGCAACCAAGCAGATCATGTTCAAGCAATCAATACAGAATCAGACACCTAAATGGAAGTGAACTTACTGGCCAATTATGTTTATAAACTGAATGGCTATGAGACTGATCAACAGATCATGTTCAAGCAATCAATACAGAATCAGACACCTAAATGGAAGTGAACTTACTGGCCAATTATGTTTATAAACTGAATGGCTATGAGACTGATCAACAACCTTGTGAGTCTCATTGTATCCTGAACCTTCTTGTTCCAAACTTGATTCTGCTGCAACCACCAATGAAGCTACAACAACTAAACCAAATAAGAACTTCCCTCTCAATTTCAAATCCCACTGTTTTGAACTTGATCCTCCCTTACCCATCATTTCGCTATCTCCCTCAAAATTTTTGAAATAATTTTCTGAAAGCTTGTTTTCAGTTTGGTTTAGATTCCTTTTAATGATTTATAATCTATTTTACATGTGTTTTGATGAGTCTATGATGTAAGAAAGGATTATTCTCTTATACGCATTTTATTCGGTAAATAATATCAAATATAAACATTCATTCAATTCTTATATATATTTCTTTTTTGTAAATTAAAATAATCGAGTAAAATAATTCATTTTGATTAAATGCATTTAATTGTATGAAAATTATTAATTCAAACACTTAACTGTAAATATATTTTATTTAGCTATCATATTAAAAATTTTAAAAAAATTGAGACATAAATTCATTATTATCCTTTTTATTAATAATATGCCGGCAAAATTCGCCTAATTAAGGAAATGCAATTCAATTTTGCTAATCTAATTATTTATTGATCAAAAATCAATTTGTTCGTGCTATTTATATAAATAGTAAAAGAGAAAAAAATTTTTTATTATTAAATTTCAAATTGAAACTCTATTAAATGAGAGTAAGAAGAAAAATCCTCCTGTCACTTAAAAAATATTGGAGTTCAAATATAGCCATATGCTAATTAAGAATTTCTGTCAGAATTTGGGATCAGGTGTGATACATGTATAGTCCACCAAATGTTATATCAAAAATCGAAGACGGTTGCAAGTGACCTCTAGCCTAGTAGCAAGGGTGATGCCTCGAGATTAAGAGTTCTCAGGTTTAATTTTTAATATTGTAACATTTAATTTCTTTTTTTTACAGTGAATTATTTTATTCCAAATAAATTTTATAATCTCTAATGAATTTTTAAATTATTGTAATTATTATTTATAATATAGAATGTAAAAATTCATTATATATAATATCGAATAGAAGAAAAAAAAAAATGGAGACCGTTGGTTGAACAGAATTTTCATTACAGCAATTATAATTTATAATATATGTTCTTTAAATCTGTATAAATATTACCAGCACATGAAATTATTTTATTTTTTCTGTCTCGTCGATTCCATAAAAAAAAGTTTTAAATCAAACAGTCAACTCAATGAGACTACTGACTAGCAGCTCTTTTAATCATTGACTTTTGAATTTCAGAAGATTTTTTTTTTTTTTTTTTTTTTTTTTTTTTTATTATTTTATGTTTGGTTAACAGTTTTTTTTTTTTTTTTTTAGTTTGTAAAGTATCAACATTTCAATAATAATACTTAATTAATTAATATTCTGATGTGGTTTGAAATTTAAATATATTTTTAATTATTATACTTAATTAATTAATATTCTGATGTGGTTTGAAATTTAAATATATTTTTAATTGTTAGTGTGAATTATGATCCGATCTACCATTGATCACATGGAGATAAGGGTGGCCATATTACGGTTTAGGAAGCTGGAACCGTCGGTTCGAACCGATTCTAAATCGTAACTGAACCGGTGAGAACCGAAATCGGGCCGAACAGGAATTGGAACCGGAGATTTCAGGTTCGGTTCCGGTTTCAGTTTTGTTGAAACCGTAACCGACGGTTCCCACAAACCGATCGGAACTCAATGGAACCGTCGGTTCTCCTGCCAGTTAGAACCGGCGGTTCTAGCAGCTAGAAACTGTCAGTTTTTTGTTTTTTTTTTAATTTTATTGTGAAATCTCTTTATTATCCCTCCAAACAACCATAAACGGCTATATAACAGCTAGTTTCAAGGGTATTTTTGGAAAAATAATTTTTTGGATTTATTATAAATACCTCGTTTCATTTACAAATTCATCAAAAAAAATCTCTATTCTCTCTACAATATACTACACTCTACTCTACATCTATATTATTCTTCTTTCTACTCTACCAATCCTCTCTTTATTGAATTATTTTTTTTGATTCCTCTAACCCCAAGAGGATAAGATAGACAATTTTAATTTTTTATTTTCAAAAAAAAAAGTTTCAAGTCCTTTTTTTTTTAAATTATGTTTCCAAACTCTTTTTAAACAAAAAAATAAATTCAGTTTGAAGAGATTTTTTTTATTTTTAAATAAATTAAGTTCAAAGTCTTTAAAAAAATAAATTTAATCGAAAGTATTTTTTAAATTGTTAGGCTGTATTTTTTTTTACCCAAAATAAACTTTCACTTTAGGTGTATTTTTTTTACAAATAACTTTCACAAATTTATTAAATTTTGAAAACCAGTATTCAAAATTTAAAATTTAAAATTATGCGATTTGCAGGAAAACCGATCAGAACCGTTGGTTTTGTCACCGTACCGAAACCGGAACCGAAAATTTTCGGTTTGAATCCGGTTCCAATTTTTTTGAAACCGGAACCGCCGGTTCCGGAACCGTGGCCACCCCACCCCCTACGTGGAGAGTATATTTGTTTAGATTCATAATCGAACAAACCCTCCTTTTGGTTTATTTATTTGGTTAGATCATGATTTAGCTGGTGTTTCTTACTATCGATTTGTTTAGTTTCTTTTAATCAAAGTAGGATAGATATTTTTTTAAAATGACATAATTTTTTTTTGTGTGTGTGACTGTTCTAACAATTGAAATGAATTTTATTCATCAAAGTTGTATAATTTATACTATTTATTCTTAAATTATTTTCAACTTATACTATTAATTATCATATTATTAATCTCTAATTATTAATGCATTAAGCTGGCTAGATTAGTTATAAATCTTTGACCATATCTACATTTAATTTAGATCATAAGTGCAAACAGTCTCTTTTCTTACGCTACTCTGAAATAAAAATCAACCTCAATATATATATATATATATATATCACTAATAATAATTAAATACAATTTAGTGACTATTGATTATAGAATATACTTAAAAACTAATATTTATTTATACATAATTTAGTTATTCAAATATAAAAATATTATTCTACAAATTTGATTTTTTTTTTTTTTTAACCAAATAAGAGAATTATTTCAATTATTATTGGTTATTGTTCTTATATGCATATAAAAATAAAATGGCCCCATTTAAAGTTTGGTGCTATAAAAAGAATGTCTTTTCAAACGTTGGCGCTGTTCATCATCCTTCGTCGTCGCAGCAATAAATAGGATTTGAATCAAAGTTCATTCAATTTTAACGACTTGATGAAGCGTGTACTTCATTCTATCTTTAAAGTTCAACCAACACTTTTTATTAACAATACTGTACATAACTGAATTATCATTCTGGAGAAGACCACGAAATAATTAAATATTTTTAAACCTTTCGTTTTGAAAGCAAAAATAAATAAAAAAAATCTTATGAACTCCTTTCATTCATAATTAGAAATTTAAATTTTAAAAAATATTTTTTCTAAAAAAAAATTCCGATATATAAAAAAGTAACATATTGATGATTATCACTATACAAATTGTTAATTAAGTAACATATTGATGATTATCACTATACAAATTGTTAATTAATGTTTTTTCTAATAAAAATATTTGAAATTTTTGTTTTTTAGTAGTGTTAATTAAATAAATATAAGAACTTTCTATGAAAAATGTTAGGCATCCCATTTTATATTAAACAAAGAGAAAGTGAGAAACATTTATTTGTTAGATTCTTATATTAATAATTAGTGCTTTTTCCCTTTTTACTAAAAAAAAAAAAAAAAAGCTTAAACCCTTTGATGAGGACCCTCTGAAATCCTCAATCTGGAAAGTGGTTGGCAACCAAAAAATTTAATATAATTAATGAGATTGAAGACTTTGAAATAACCTACTCCTCACCAATCCTGTCATGTGAACCCCGGCTAGTTATATGATCACGCGGACAGTCACACGTATGACACAACAACAGCACTCGCAATTATTAATATCTTCATATAATCACATTACGTGGAAATTAGTCTGTGCCGTCACTGAAACCCCAGTGAGCCGTCCTCACATATGGTCTACCCTCTCATAACGTGTGCACCAGGGAGCCGATGTCCCATACATGACTGACCGGTCTAATCTTCACTTGATCAGCCCTCTCATTGTTTTTCCATTCTCTATTTTCTTTTCCATACCAACAGGAGCCCACCCTATGGTTTATACATATTATCCATATCATATCATCAGGTGCACACAGAGTACCGATCTCCCATACGGCCAACGGTCTCGTGGACCGCCCTCAAAAATCCATGGTGACCCACTTCAGATCTCCCCATACTTTGCCCACACGGTCTCGCTGGACCGCCCTCCAAAATCCATGGTGACCCACTTCATTCCAACTTCCAACACGAAATAAAGGCATAAACATTATCACAACTGCGGTCACAAGTTAATGCAGTATTGCAATTAGAATGGCAGAAATATTGATGAATATAAATATCGTGAAATGCAATGCACAATTAAGACATTCCATAAACTCAAATGCAAATAAATAGAATGAAATAAATAGATATTTACAATAAACAACATGCGTAAAATGAAATAATCGAATAATAACAAACAATAATAATGAAAATAGAATAAATAAATAATTAGAGCCACTTTATGTTATTATGTATCGAAGTTATAGAATCAATCTAATAATGAAAATAAATAAATAAATAATTAGAGCACTTTATTTATTATGTATCAAGTTATAGAATCAATCTAAATAAACTTATTAATTATGTGTAGCTTAGATTCTACCGAAATTTCAGCAGAACCTCCTCTAAATTTGACTAAACCACAATTCAACAATCATTCATTCACTCAATTCACACAGCTCATTCATCGGGCAATCAATCAAATCAAATTTTCATCCTCATTAAAAACCATAATACCAACATTTAGTCATCGACTCGACAACTTATCATAAACTTCTCATTGCTCCAAATGATATCATTAACCATTATTACTTACACATAATCATGATTAGCTTTGCTAGCTAAATGCCAAATAAATGACTTATTTTATACATATGTAAATAAGATTTATATTGTTAGATTCATTTCAATTCTCTATGCTTGATAATTACTAAGCCTCTATCTGTTATAAAGTTTCCATATCAAGGCTTTTTACTTCATTTCCCAAGCTCAAAGTATAAATCATTCATCACCTGTTCATCAAAACTCCAAACTAGTCACTATGAATAAATATTTAAATAAAAAAAAATAGCTAAATCTATTAAACAACTCAATTCACAGACCTAAGCACGATTCTACAAAAGCTCCTAAAGTTTTTTTTTTTTTTTTTTCCCATTCCGACATAAAATTACAATCCCTAGTTTTTAACTAAAGAATTAATTCTATGATCAAAGCAGTTGTCCAGTAAGAATAAAGTTGTTTACAAATATTTAACATGAAAATAGTAAAAATATAATCATTCCTACCTAAATTCATCTTAAACAGCACCAGTTATCCAAAATAGAGCTTCCAACCTAAGGACATCAACGTTTTCTGTGCAAAGACCTTACAATATATGCCAATTAACTTAATTGCCATCATAATTTAAAATCTCAATCACATAATCCATATCAAAAAGAGTTCAAAGCAAAGAGCTACAATGGCTACTGCCATTCCAAATTTCTCAACTTCTTCCACCTAAACTTGCAGTAAATTTATTAGTTGATTCATAAGTACATTGAATTTCAATTCACAATCAAAATTTTTAAGAGCAAAGCTTGAAGTCCCTTACTTTCAACGCTAACAGTAGCTAACTGAGGGTTAATTCCTAATATTCTAATAATACTGCAATCATAATAACAGTAGCTAACTGAGGGTTAATTCCTAATATTCTAATAATACTGCAATCATAAATCTCAAATCAAGAATTCATGAAACAAACTCAAAAGGATTGAATTAAGGCTCACCTAATCAAGAAATATGATGTAAAAATTGAATGTATTCGTTAAAAGTGACTCAAAATGAACTTCAAAGCAAAACCCACTGCTGCCGACGATAGCTTGACCGGACTTTATGAGAACGCTCGCCGGAAGTACGCTGGTGAGGCGTTGACAACAAAAGAGGAGCTGGATTGGCCGGCCGGTAACAGGTCTTGCCGGAAAAACGAGAAAGAGGGCTGATGGCGCTACTCTCCGATTGAAACTCAACTGCAGCTTCTTGTGTTAGCTGCGCTAGCCGGAAACGACAGGAGGGAGAGGTTGGAACTACGCCATCGATGGAAAAGAAGCCGGAGTCGACCGATCTTGCACTGGAGTAGCCGGAAAATCTGGCCGGAGACGCGACGCGATTTCCCGATCGAACGAAGTCGCAGGTTCCCTGCGATAGCTGAGCTCGCCAGAGACGAAAGGAGAGAGAGAGGAAGAGAGGCGATCGAACGAAGTCGCAGGTTCCCTGCGATAGCTGAGCTCGCCAGAGACGAAAGGAGAGAGAGAGGAAGAGAGGCCGAAGCTGTGGTGAGGCGGCGACGTGGCAAGGAGGTGGTGATGAACGACTGTTCTCCGGCGATCGGGAAAATTAAAAAAAAAACAAGGAAAGGGACGGGCTGAAGTTAGCGTTCAAAGGGGTAGAGAGGCTTCTAGAGGGTTTTGGTTTAGGTGTTAGGGAATGATTTGGTTTGATTCAAGACTGGTTTGCCTCGATTTTGCTCGGTTTGCAAGTTTTTCACTTGGTTTTCAGGTTATTCGTGTGGTTTTTCAAAAAATCAATTTGATTTCTGGATCCGGTTCGATTTATTTTGATTTTAAGATAATTAATTTATATATAGTTGAAAATCGAGATTTTTAATTTAATAAAAATTCAAAAGTTTCGAAAATAAAAATTTTGTGTATTTCAGTGCATTCCGACCATGCAATAATCTTGATCTTTTCTTTAGGTCAAAAAGAATTATTAGCACTCCTTTTTCTTTTTTTTCTTGAATTATTGGGTTTTAATTATCGTTCTATTTGTAATTTCTACAGTTTTAAAAACTACTTATTTTTAAAAATTTTTCTTTTCTGAAAAAATGTAATTTCTACAGTTTTAAAAAACTACTTATTTTTAAAATTTTTTCTTTTCTGAAAAAATGTTTCATATTTTTAGAATCGAAAATGATAAAAATCTATTTGAACATTTTTATCTAGGAGAAAGTTAACTTATTTGCAATTTTGTCCTATAGAACATTAACTCCGCTACGATTATTATTTGGTATGCAAATAAATAAGATGCTGAAAAATTAAAGCCACGTACAAGCAATATTTATTAATTGCAATTTAGGGTGTGAAAATAAAAATTGGGACAAAAGAAGAAATATACTTGATTACCCTTTTAAAGGAAAAAAAAAAAAAAATGGTGAAGATGACAATAAGAGATGAGATGGTGAGTTCCTCCTATATTGGGTTCATCTCAAATGGATCAGTATGATACTATTGCTCAGCCCATACCTGCAATAATGAGATCAGGTCTATGTATTTATGGACCTCTTTAATTTATATTACTATGTAATTGTTGTATTTATGGCTTAGATTTACATGTACCGTTTGATTCATTTAATTCTTGCTCGAGCCGGTTAATAAAAATTATCAGATCCGGCTGATTCGATTCTCTTATTTTGCTTTGTAGCCCGTTTGATTCATTTAATCATTGCTTGCTCGAGCCGGTGTAAAGTGAAAAATTGATCAGAGTCCGGCTGATTCGATTCCTCTTATTTTGCTTTTTCGAACGTGATAAATCTATGTATTAAACGCTAAAACCCTAATATGAAAAGTTGTTTTTTGTGCGAACATGAAGCGTGTATAGTGACTTATGAGCAAGTGGGTGGTGCAATCCCATGTACTCCTTCCTTTGAATGCTTTTTTATCACATGTCAGCTAGCCAACCTCCTAGCCTGTGTCAGGGGATAAAAGGGAAAAAAATATATAAAAAAAAGAAACCAAAGTAATTTTCAAATTAGTTAAAAGATGACGTGTATATGACTTATGAGCAAATGGTGTCAAATCCCATGTACTCCTTCCTTTGAATCTTTTTTATCATGTCAGCTAAGCCAACCCCACCTGTTCAGGGGAAAAAAGGGAAAAAAATAATATAAAAAAAGAAACAAAGTTTTCAAATTAGTTAAAAGTTCTTGCAATTTTTGCTAGTATATGAAGAAGCTACATATAAATGTGTTCATACCTAGTGATATTGCACTGACAAGAACTGTGAAAGACAGAATGAAGATTATTATAGATGCTCTTCCTAACATATCAATCACTTTCTTCACCACAGATTGCCCCACAAGCCCAGCAATTGTAGTCACACAAAAAAAGTAGACAGCTGCAATTGCAAGGTTCATGGTTACTTTCTTTATTTTGCATTCAAAAATTAGGTTTGAAATTGCTATGAAAATTACCATAAGGAACTGGGAAACGTTTCAGAAGGTAATATTCGATCACAGACATGGAAGCAGAAAATGTCATTGCAAAAGTAGATGTGGCGCTTGAGACCTGTAGAAAATTAGAGAAGAAAAAAGTTTAACATGAGGCATAGAAATATTATTCTGAACTTCTAATTTTCTACGCTGTAAGACAGGCACTCGATTATTGAGTTGTTACTTAAACTAAATGTATAGAAATATTACATTGGTAAGGGGAAATTAGTGTTGAAAGTATACCTGAGGAGGGATTCCCATCTCAAGAAAAAGAGGTCCTAAAATGAATCCTCCACCAAGACCAAGCAAACCACCAACAGCACCAGCTAATAAACCACAGAAACAATACATGACCAACTTGACTACTCTCAAGTCGGTCCCTGCTGCTCCTTTTGATGCAATTCTTCGTTGTCCTTTGTGAAGCCTAACTGCCTGATATATAGTTACTGAAGCAGCAACCGGAACCTGAAAGAAAAGAAAAGAAAAGAAATGAAGAGAAAAGCTGATGCATTATAATTATTCTTGTTAGGATCCTGGAGATTAGCCAATTTTTCAAGCACCAAGGTAGATGTGCACCTGAGCAAAGTCAAATATCCAGTATGGCACAGAACAAGTTCTTACATAATTCTGCAGAAAACATTAATTGTAAAGTATATTATTGGTTTTGTGAACGAAAATATTTGATAAAATGACAATAATCAGAGCCAAAAAAGGACCTTAGCAATCTGCAATGCAAGAATAATTAACCAGACAGAGAAGAGAAATCCAAGTGCTTTCCAGTAAACATTTTTTATAACAGACACCTGAGAACGTTGCGCGAATAGATTTAATGCCAATATCAGGAAAACAGCTACAAAAATTTAACAGTATACTATCTTTACACAAACTCTTACCTTTTCCTTTTTAGGAGCCTGATTGGTTTCTGTTTGAGCATCATTGCTTAAGCTTCCACGAGGAGGAGATGGAACCACAACTTCAAAATTGTGGCATAATTATAGAGTTAATTAGCTTAGTCAAAGATGTTTCCACTAATTTGCAAATTATAAATCTTTGTTCAAATTCAATTAATAAAGAATCATAAAACAACAACTGAGTTTTAGCTCACTAATACTCGCCATTGGATTCCAGACATCTGGGAGCCTCCTGAAAATTCAGAAACAAGTGAGAATACGAACATAAGGAAATTACCATAAAAGAAGCTAAAAATCCAAGAAAAGTTTAAACCACCTTTTTTATTATGGTTTCTTTCTTCCATGATTGAATGCCCTTTAAGAATGCCTTCGTTGAGATAACTACAGGTAACACACTGGAAGTCATTGTCAAGCACTCAAGTTTGTTCACGAAAAGAGAATCAATATGAATATATTACAATTCAAGTAAAATATAATTAATTATAAGAAAAGATGGTGCATACAAATGAACAGAATAATTAGTAGAACTGTGATCATCCAATCTGCAAAAATCACATTGAGAGTAACTCCAATGCTAACTCCTAACACCAACATTGGTTGGAACAGAAGAGCAAGATCATAGTCAATCACTGGCATTTCAAGTGTAGGATGCCTCTCGTTCAAATTGTAGTATACTGTTGAAGCTGCTGCGCCTGTGATCATAACTAAACAAACGGAAAAGAAAAAAGAAGAAAGATAGAATCTTTTTGCAATTAAGGCATAAGAGAAATCCAAAGAAAGATAGAATCTTTTTGTTTTCTCTTTACATTTTGATATGGCTATTGATGATTTTGCATCAAATCCAATTACTAGGGTTAGCATTGGGACAAAAATGCCGCCCCCACCAACACCTCCTGCACTCCCAAATGCTGCTCCAAGAAACCCAATTATTGCTCCCACCACAATCCTCCAGCCAAATGTCATTTTCTGTCAACCAAAATTCAAGATATAAGAAAACAACCAAGTTGTAAAAATATTTGGGCTTGATTGTAAAATAATTACAAACGAACCAAACAAATGTAAATAAGTAATTGATTGAAATTGGTTTTGATTGTTAAACAACTCTATTGTTTTAGATTTGTTTGTAATTTTCTTGTTGATGTGTCTGCTGATGTGTTTTTGTTGTGATAAATAGCTGCCTAGTTGTCAAACATGCAACTTGAGTATAAAAGCTGATGTGTAACTCGTACAGAACATGAATGATATGTTCTGTACAAATCTTTAAAGGACAAATCTTTAAACAATGATAGAATCCCACATTTCTGCTTTTCCTACATTTTCTAAGCAACCAAGCAGATCATGTTCAAGCAATCAATACAGAATCAGACACCTAAATGGAAGTGAACTTACTGGCCAATTATGTTTATAAACTGAATGGCTATGAGACTGATCAACATGTTTGTAAACTGAATGGCTATGAGACTGATCAACAATCTTCTGAGTCTCATTGTATCCTGAACCTTCTTGTTCCAAACTTGATTCTGCTGCAACCACCAATGAAGCTACAACAACTAAACCAACCAAGAACTTCCCTCTCAATTTCAAATCCCACTGGTTTGAACTTGATCCTCCCTTACCCATCATTTCGCTATCTCCCTCAAAATTTTTGAAATAATTTTCTAAAAGTTTACCTTCAAAAACAATGAACTTTTAAAGATTAGTAGAACTTGAAAGAGGAAAATCTGAACCAAATACTAAGGTTAGAATCAGACCCATGAAAACAAACTGTAACAAGAATACCCATTAATCAACTATAATGGTCAGAAGTACATTGAAAGGTACTTTCGATGGATGTATTTGAAAACAACCGTATATATATAGGGAAGAGAGAATATATAGAATGGATTCTTGCACATTAATTTCTGCTTGTGCATATATTTATATCTTGAAAAAGGTTTTGACAGCTAAGTTTTGTTCTTTGACTTCTCAAAGATTTGATCTTTTAATTATTCTCTGAATCTTGTATAACATGCACCAGCAGTACATAACTCAGAGAACTTTTTTTTTTTTTTTTTTTTTTTTTTTTTTTTTTTTTTTTTTTTTGGTTGAAGACCGCAATAAACTCTAGTATAAACTAACCATGAAAAGGTAATATTTTATATAGATTGAACAGAATTTAGTTTAATTACGTTTAAATTTCTATAAAAATCTTATTTGGACTAAAATGGTAACATTTTCTAAAAAAACTCCAAGTGAACTCCTATTAAATTTTGTGGGGAACTCTATTATAATTAGTTCTATACACAGGATTCATAAATTTATCCTTAACTTTTGTAATTTTTTTTTTTTTTTTTTTTTTTTTTGGTTGAAGACCGCAATAAACTCTAAGTATAAACAAACATGAAAGGTAATATTTATATAGAATTGACAGAATTTAGTTTAATTACGTTAATTTCTATAAAATCTTATTTTTGGGACTAAAATGGTAACATTTTCTAAAACTCCAAGTAAACTCTATTAAATTTTGTGAACTCTATATAAAATTAGTTCTTTATACACAGGATTCATAAATTTATCCTTAACTTGTAAATTTTGATAATATTTTATACCTTCTGCATTAATAATAAATGATGGTCATAGGGGCAACCAGCAGTAGCCCCACCCCCTAATTTTATACAATTAAATATAAAAAATTTCACACTTTATCTATAAAATAGTAATTTTTCAATTTCGTCTCTAAATTTTGATAAAAATTCTCCGCCGTCTTCACCTATTTTTTCTGGTTCCACAATTCACTATATAATAGTTTTAGATTTTTTAACTTTTATATGAAAATATTGATTTAATGAATAGCATGGATCAGTTTGCTGGCATGCATCATCTCCCTACCAAGTTTACCTCTATCGTGTTTTCCCAGTAAAGAATTCCAAGAATCCAGCCTTACCAGTAACTTACGAAGTCAAAAGCAAGGAAAATAGTCATTGAGTTCTCTGCTGAATGAGAAGTACTGAATCAGAATCTACTTCATTCAACTTCAACTTGCTTCTTTCACGTGTGCAAGATATACTAAATTCGAGAAGAGGTAACATGCATGATTCCAATTTTGTGGTAGAGTAGAAATAGTCTTATTTGTATTTCGAGGTGCAATTAATTTACTAAATTAATAATTTGTATTTTCGCTCGTCATAAACCCCTGTCCGTTGCAGACAATTTGTAAAAGTAGTTATTATATTATAAATAAGTGTAAAATTCGAAAAACATCATTATAAAATGATTTATATATATTTTGAAACGAACCCTTCGTACTGAATATTGTTTATCCTATAGATGTTGATAGGATTTGGGCACTAAAAGAATGAGAAAAGAATTTAAACTGATCTAAGCAGAATGGCGAAAACTGCGGTTAGGTTAGTTCTGATACACGCAAAACGCAAAGTCAAGTAAGGTTTTTTTAACCACTCCTTACTTTATATAATGGATGCTTATGTTCCATGTTTCATGAGAAACAACTCAAAAAAAATAAATATTAAATAGGTGATTAGCAGTAGTAATTTACAGGTTGATAATGGATGCGACCGACAGGAGAAAAGCATTTCTCTTCGCATCTTCAACAGCCAACATTAATTGACTAATTATATATATCTAACTATAACTCTTCTTCATTGTTACTTTCAAAAATTCCATAAATAAATAATTAAATGCGAAAGCCTGTCACCAAGCCATTTTGTTTCTACTCGTATGGAATGAAGTTATTCCGACAATCAAGGAAAAAGAGGAAATAAAAAAATACCAACTATAACTTTCATGCCATATGGCTTAAAGCATTATTTATGGAAAAAATAATTACGTAAAGGGCCACGTGACACTTTTCAATAACGTGACTAAACATTGGCTTTTCTTTCTATTGACTTGGATGATTTTGAAAGTTCATTTACAATTACTATAATCTAATCTCGTAATCACTAAAAGTCAAATGATAGATGCATTGATAGAAAGCTAAGAAACAACATTACATAACAATTGTTGCAGCAGAGAGTTTTAATGATAAAGCCTAAACAATCTAATTGGAAATAAAAACGGAAAACAGAGGCATAGTCCTATTTTCTTTGACATGAAGAAAGGTGAGATCTTTGCTTCCAATTTCCACCAACAGATATACAAACCAGTAAATTAATAATTCATCTAAAAGAATCATGTTTCCAAACTCCAAACTGATGCTTGCAGCTTTAAATGCCTCTTGCTAAAAAAATGGTAGACAAGGTGGATAAAAGAAGCGAGATTGGATTAAAGGCGTACCCTGTCAAAGGTTTTAGGTCATGAGGCACGGAGGTTAAATTTAATGACAATCAGAGAATGGCAAATTATCAGAGAATGGCAAATTACGCATACTACCAGAAATAAAATAAGCAGATACTAGGAACTTGAAGATATTAAAGCCAAGGAAGAACAGGCAAGACTGAGGATTTTGCAGATAGAGAAGGTAGAGATATAAATTAAGCTCCATATGAACAAATGTTTTCAAATCCCATGTACTCACTCCTCTCGATCCTCTTGATCATGTGTGCTATGCCAACCCCACCTGTTTGAACAGAAAGAAAACCCTATGATGATGAGATAAATCTTAATAACATATAAGTTTCTGGTGAGAATCTCAAAAATGGAAGAACATGTAACATTTTTTAATGTACATATGTCCAAAGTTCAGCATACCTAACAATATTGCACTCACGAAGATTGTGAAGGCCAGAATGAAGATTATTAAGGATGCTCGTCCCAATATGCTAATCAACTTTCTTACCACGTGTTGTCCGACAAATGCAGCAAAAATTGCCGCGCCAAAGAAGTAGAGAGCTTTTTAAAATTAGAAGATTATTAGCCAAGTTTTGATAGGAAGATACGTTTTTAACTATTCATGATTACAATTTGATAAGCTAAAAACCCAGATAGCTTGTAAGTTACCGTAAGGAACTGGGAAACGCTTTAGCAGGTAATATTCTATAACAGACATGGAAGCAGAGAAAGTCATAACAAATGTGGTTGTGGCACTTGACACCTACATGAATGTACTTAATATATAAATCCAGGAACAATCTCAAGTTTATTTTCAAATCTTGGTACAAACTATGAAGTATGTTAATTGCACCTGAGGGGGAATTCCCATCTGCAGAAAAAGAGGGCCTAAAATGAATCCACCGCCAAGTCCAAGCATCGCACCAAGTACTCCAGCCAACATACCAACAGCACAATAGAGAACAAGTTGGTGGACTCGCCAGTGTGTGATTGCCTCACCCATAGATGCAATCTTTCTCTGCCCTTTGTACAGTCCAACTGCCTCATATGCAGTTAACCCAACAGCTACAGGGATCTGACAAAGATAAAGCATAATCACTGTTCTGGCAGACTGACACCATAAGGTTTCCAAGAATTTTAGGAATTATACAAATTGTTCACTCTTTATCCATCATACTGAAGATACCTGCAATATGTTCAATGCCCAATAAGTTACCGAACATGTCGTTGTGTAATTCTGTGCCAAAAAATATAGGTTTCCCATCAGTCTAGTTCTGGTTTTACGAAAGCAGACAATCAATACAATGAGAGAGAGTAGACAAAACCTTGCCAATCTGCAAACCAAGAACTACCAACCACACAGCAACAAGAAGTCCAAGTTCCTTCCATTGTACATTCTCAATAACAGAAACCTGGGAAGATTACAGTCTTATAGAAGTTGTCTTGAAAAACTATCACACACACTGTAAAATTCTCTTACCTCCTCTTTTTTTGACTGATTGGTTCCTGCTTCAGCAGCACTAATGGGGCGTCCAGGATGAGGTTTGTCCTCCACCTCTTCAACTGCCTCTTCAACCGTGTCTTCTGAATTAATCAACAAATTATCCTTGCATGATAAAAGGAGGGGGGAAAAAAAGAAGAAACTAAAAGAAAAAAGAATCAACATATGCATGACTGAATTTCATAAAAGAACTCACCAACAAATTCCAACTGTCTAATAGCCTCCTGAATACTTGGAATAACAAGGGAAGTAAGTGAGAAGAGGGCATGAATTCAGTGTAGAATACAAACAACTAAGCTTAGAAGTAGGGAAAATTAGGGGACCTTTTTCAATTTGGTTTCCTTTTTCCATGTCTCAACACCCTTGAAGAATGAAACGGATGATGTTACTGCAGGTACCCAGGATGATCAACAATGTTGGCCAAGAAGAATAAACAAGAAAAAAAAAATTCTATTAATACCAGTACCTATGAAGAGAATGATAAGCAAAATTGTGATTGCCCACTCGGCAAAAATCACATTGAGAGCAACTCCAAGGCTAATTCCCAGAACCAACATTGGTTGAAATAGAAGTGCAAGGTCATAGTCAATGATAGGCAGTTCAAGTGTAGGATGCCTTAGTTTTAAATTGTAGTAAACTGTTGCAGCTGCTGCACCTGTGATCATACCTGATAAAGAAGACAGAACTTGCAAAAGCTCAAGGATATATTAACAAATCAGTGATTTTATAGTGCAAGCCAATTGCAAATTCGAAAAAGCTCTGTTGTGCCTGAGGATAAATATATGCTTAAAAAGTTATATAATTTTGAAATAAAACCAGAAGATAAAAGTGTATGTAAACACTCAACGGTGAAATTTGGCATGCCAATTGAAGGGGTAAATTTCTCTTACATTTTGATATAGCAGTTGATGATTTGGGATCAAACCCAATGATCAAAGTAAGCATAGGAACAAAAATGCCACCCCCGCCAACACCCCCCACACTCCCACATGCTGCGGCAAAGAATCCAATTATGCTACCCAGCACGATTTTCCAGCCAAATCTCATTTCCTGAAAAGCCAATCTCCAAAATTATATAATAAAATTCAAAACCCACAATTAAGGATTTAAAGCATGTGCACCAGGGTGGAACAGAGTCAAAGGAACTTCAATGTAAGAAACTAATTGAACGGAAACTACTTCCTGAGCCCGTGCTGATGGTAGGTCTAGAAACTTGTTTGTACTGAACCTCAAAAACCATTTATGGTTTTCCAAACGGCAACAGAACGTGCTAAAATACTCGATAAAAGCATTACATAAAATGAGATAAAATCATATGATAAATAGAAGGCAACCAAATGCTGAATTTACCGGCCAAACATGTTTATAACCCGCTCGACCTTTTGGGTAAAAGAAATTCAATGCGCTGAATACTTGACGGGACTCTATCTCTTGTGTCTTATCATATGAACCTTCTTGTTTCAATCTCCGATCTGCTAAAACAAGTATTAAAACTACAACAAGAAAACTAGCTGAAATTCCTCCGAGCAATATCAAACACCACTTCTTTGACCTAATCCCAGCCATCAGATTTATTAATTCCTCTCTCTCTCTCCCCCTATCTCTAAGCATCAAGTTTCCTTCGAGATAAACTCTCAAATCCAAAGCTAAAATTCAAGTCCAAATACATAGCTCTAACACATTTTTCAAGTACACTGAAATGCAAAGATACTCTCACCGACTTACTAACAATAAAATTGGTAAGCCAGAAATATTCAGACTCCAAGAAAATCAGAAACATCCACTATATTTGTTATCATATCTGTGGCTAGAGTTCATAAACTTCAGTGTCATATTCAACCAACACTCAAACTGTTTCTGCTTTCTGCTTTCTTGCTTCTCTAACTACTATTTCTTCTAACTATGTTCTGAGAGGCATCAATAATTTAATATTAATTTGATATGAGCGTATATTTGAAACAAAGAATTGATATAGATGACCCAACTAGTTTGGGACTGAAGCTTGATTGTTGTTGTTATGTTCTGAGATACAATAAAATAGAAAGATGAAAGTGACATAAAAAGGGGCATTCTAGAGAAATAGTCCCCTTGAAGCTTTAGAACATTATTTCAGCACTTCATGCACTGTTTTTTTCCTTATCAAGTGAAAAAAATAATTTTGAAAGATTATCCAGAAAAAAACATAGCAATATTATTTCATGCACAGTCCTGACGTAACGGGACTGGCAGGAGACACTGATTAAATCACAAACCGACGAGATTCGCCCCCATCAAAGGTCCAGTTCATACATGCATAAAAGTGAAATATATTATTCTAGAGGTGATGTGAAAGTTTGGACTTGCTGATTCTTCCTACAACTACCCTTCAAATTTCTCACGGTTCTGCCCTTATGCATGATACTTCAGAACAGCAACTCATCATACTCCTGGGACATAGCATATCAATCATAAACAAACTTATTCAGCTATCTGTTTTCATATGCCCAAAAAGATATACCATAATTGTTCAGACAAATGAACACGTAACCTTGCATGAAAAACATTGTTGGGTGTCTGTGATTATATATCTAAAAATATGTAACATATTTTTCTTGATGAAATGTTCAGATAAAGAATCTGAATAAATCAGGTAATTTTGCATTTAGGTCATTTCTCCGAAGTGCAAAGGCTTTTCCCCACTTTGCTGTCCAGAGTCATGAACATTCTATGCATGAGACTCCTCAAGATGGATTCACTTTGAGTTTAATTCAAATTAAAATTATTATCTATAATTTGCAATCTGTATCGGACAAATAAGATTGTGTCTGCATGAGTTACTGTAATTCTATATCCAAGTCTATGTAGACACACAAACAAGCAATGCACATATAGATGGAAGCCTCGAAGATTTTCACCAATGGCAGAAACTACTCAAGCAATTGTAACACACTTTTACCAGTGGGATAAATCTTTACAGTAGACTACAAAAACACTTGTTTGAAGATTAAGGTCAATTGACAACTCATATCTTATTTCAGACGCTATTAAACAAATTAGGAACCTAACCAATCTATGTGGCCCACCCTTAAACAAGATGACAATTTGAAGGCTCCATAATACATAAAATGCCAGATAAACATCAAGATCACGTGGGTGAATTGTGGGCAGAAGGCTTCTCTAACAAGGTTGTATCGTCTGGATTGCAACATCAAGTAATAGTAAAGGTAGAGAAGAGCAAGGTACATGAATTTCGTCAACTCTTCACACCATTTTCCAATTTATTAATCATTACAAAGTTTGCTTCTTGGAGGTTTGATTCCCATTGGATAAACCAATTGCAAGACACACCTCAGCAACAGCATCCACTAGTTACTAACCACAAGATTCCATTAAAATTTTGACACCATACAATCTGCAAAATTTTAACTCATGCCTCTGGAGGAGGCTTGACTTCTGGACACATAGTTTCCCCTTTTCTTTCCACTAACCAATCAGAACATAAAAGAGAAGCCTCCCTACCAATATGCACAAATCATGCATGTCAATAGTGAAAAAAATGCCTGGGTCATTCTTCTTCAGCACTTCAAATTCCATGGCCAGCTGCAGTCATACTCTATACCACATAATGAGCTCATTCTACAATGTATATCTCCACGCAACCTCATTCCCAAGAGCACAAAGATGATCCCCAATGTAGGCAACCAGAATTTCCTCCTTTATTAATGTTGCCATTAGAGGATCCAATGGCATAAGAAACCAGACTTCTACAGTTGCCTATTACTAAAGCCAATTCAATTTGTGTCTGATCCTAAACACTGATATCTTACTTATCTAGAAGAGCTTTATGCTCCATTAGTATCTTCAAAGAAAATTAACTTGATGCCTCAGCTAAAAAAATTTAGGACATATCCGGCTACTGTCATCACCCTGCTCTGTTATGTGAACTTTTATTTTCATCTATATAATTCATGCAACAAACCTAAATCTCCCAAGAGATAAATTATCAATATCCAACAATCTCTTTGAGTTAGTCAAATTTGATGGAGTGAAGTAAACTGGACTTACTAATAGGCAAGAAACAAACAAGGTCATATCCACAGCGATTATCATAAAATATGCACATTTCAAATTCAAACACCACGTCGGGCATCAGATCCCCAATTTTCATTACCTACTCACCAACAACACCTATCCATATTGTGATCTGTTCGAACTCTATACCTGCTACTGCTTAATTAGCCTTAAAAAGGGCGACAAGATGAAGCAAATGAAAACTCTTCAGACTCAAAAACACTACTACTTTTGCTTCAATCTAAGATTACCAACTGGTCTAATTGCACACTAACAGAAAAGACCATGCTCTAAGATATTTCGAGCAGAATCTTTCAACATACCCAACCATGCAACCAAATTTCATGCTGCTGCCAAATCCCGGCTTTGCATATTCTCAATGAGGGCTACTTATCTTCAAATTGGGGTTATTTTTTAAATCAAATGCTTCGTTCATTAGCATAAATAATTAAACTACCACTTGAAAACTTCACAACTCCAAATACTTATCACAAGACCATGAGCTAATCAGAAAATTCGCATTAATTGAAAATTAAACCAAAAAAAAAAAAAAAAGCATTGCCCAATTGTAATACCAAAGAAACACCACAATATTTCCTCAAAAGGGGGAGAAAGGCATCACCCTGCTGTCTTAATTAGCTATGACGCGCTTGTTAGTTACAAAGATGATGGTTTTAACAAACCTAAAAGAAAATATAGGACAACTGCATTTAGAGCAAGAAGTTTAATAACTGAAAATTTTCATTCAACTTCGGATTAAACAGAAACGTTACAAACTTACAACACGATATTTGCCTCAAGAAAACTAGACCACATTCATGTACAAACGACGTGACAAACAAAAACTTGACAACTGCATAATCTTATTAACTAAAAACATAGCAAAACTCGATAACCAAAAAAAAAAAAAAAAAAAAAAACAAGAAAAACTAGACCACATTCATGTACAACACGACGTGACAAACAAACTGAACAAATAAATCTTATTACTAAAAACATAGCAAAAAACAATAACCAAAAAAAAACAAAAAAAACAAAAAAAAAAAAAAAAAAAAAAAAACAAACTGTCTTACGCAAATCCTTCAGTCAGTACTGGCCTCTCACCTTCTTTCTCCTTCTGTTCCTCATAAACTCGATAAAAAAAAAAAATTTGTCTTACGCAAATCCTTCAGTCAGTACTGGCCTCTCACCTTCTTTCTCCTTCTGTTCCTCATAGCCATTACCACCAGTTGCACCACCATTCGATTCCTTCTTGTCTCCGATTTGCAAACCCGTCAGCTCATCATTCAAGCACCCGTTCTCCTTCTCTCTCTCCCCCACATCACCACCACCCACCACCACTTTATCTCCGCACTCCACCACCCCCTTCTCGACCATGCATGATCCGGGAGCTTCCTTCTCCGTGTCTACTCCCACCAAAGCATCTGGGATGGCAGAGGTCGGTGACCCGGCGATAACCTCGTCAGACAAGTCTTTGGCCTCTGGCCATGGGTCCTGGACACAATCCCCTTCTTCATCATCAGTGAAGATATAGGTGGCGCGTGACTTGACGGCGGAGGCTGCTTTGAAGAAAGCTTCCTTGATAGAGTCAGGAGGAAGAGCACATTCCTCGAGGCCCGCGTCTTCGAGTCGCGGAGGGAGGATCCTATCGAGTAATCCATTTGATTCTTGCTCCTTCGCGCCTTCCATGAATCAACAAAATGGATTTAAACCAATAAACCGAAATTGCAAAACCTAAAACCCTAAGTCTTCAACGGTAGCAGAATTATATTTGGTTTTTGGCTTGGCAGAGAAAACGACCAGCTGCTGTTAAACAGGCTAAAAGATTAGTATGTTAAATTGTTCCCGACTCTCTTATCTGGATTTATCCAGAATAATATAATAATGATATTTTAAGAGAAAATGAACCCGACATTTGAAATGCGAAAAGCCCAATTTTATATTAACTTTAAATTGTATAATAACTTAGTTGACGAACAGATTTTATATTCTTTTCAAGCTTCAATTCTTAATTTCTGAAAAAAAGATTCAATTTATATCATCTCTTGAAGGTCGGATTCCTACAAAAAACTTGCAAACTTATAAAAGAATAGTCGCGAACCCTAAAATGAAAAATGAATTTAATAAGATATATTAGAGAGAAGAGGAGGGGAGAAAACTAATATATAACATTTCACAGCCACCCCACTAACGAAACGCATGTTAGTGTTTCAAATCACACAGATTTATGACAACTTATCATAAACCAGCACAATCGTAGTCTATGTTGCCATTTACCCAGATGAGTCGCAAGTACTAGATTGAATACAAATATCAAATTTTTGAAAGGAAACAATAGGAAAATGGAACATTGTTTCCAAAGTTAAAATATGATACATGATGAAATTTTGGAAGCCCTTGCCTAATTATTACTCCCTCTTATAATCACTTCATGCATATTGAATGGGAACATAGGAAGGAACGTAGCATTTTCAATTGAAAGAATGGACCCAGGTAGGGAAATTCCTTCTAACATTCACACCCTGTAGATCGTTGCTGTCGCCCTTCACCACCAACATCAATTGTGTCTGGAAGATATCTTTCATTACCATCAAACAGAAGTTCAAAATAAAAAAGAAAAATTAGTCCTCCATGGCATAAACCTTTACCAACTCAATACTGTAGAATGTATCGAGACCAACCATATTAGTTGGAATGATACAAAGGGATCTTCTAGCACTTGTAAAATGACTACAGAGTGACAGACAATAATCCATTTGCTATTTAACAAGTAATTAATGGGATTCAAGATCTGTTCTTCCACTAATTGAGCAGAACAGGACCAAAATCTTATGCTAATTGCAGTTAACTATGTTATACTTACATTTCTTCTTCAGGTTCATTCTTGAGTGCATTTTTGGCTATGCATTGGAAAGCAGCATCCACATTGAATCCCTCTTTAGCAGAAGTCTCGAAGTAAGGTATGTTTCCCTTAGAAGCACACCATGCCTTTGCTTTCTTTTCTGAAACCTAAAATCCAAGAGAGGAACAATATCCACGCTAAATTTATATATCAAGAGTGTCTGCGTCAAGGAAAGGCACCAATAAAATGTTTTGTTCAACTATCTCTTAATCTTGTGTGAAGTCAGCATTACAATAAGGTTTTTCAAACAAAGGGGGCAGGAAAAGATATTTTGTGAAAGTAAAATAGCTTACCACCCGACTATTGCCACCATCAACATCTATCTTGTTCCCCAACACAACAAATGGGAAATTTTCAGGATCAGCTGGACTAGCCTGCAGTTAATAGTACAAAGTGTAACTTTCAGCCGTTATTTATAAATTGCATTTCTATCTGTCTAGTCAATGGACCAATATGAACCTGAATCAGAAACTCTTCTCTCCAATTATTAAGATTATCGAATGACTTCATGACATTCACATCATACACAAGAACACAGCAGTCTGCACCACGATAGAAAGCCACTCCAAGACTTTGAAACCTTTCTTGCCCAGCAGTATCCCATATCTGTACACATCAATATCACGGCTAAGAACAAAAGTGCATATTTCATGAGTTCAGGGCAATCCAATGAAGCATGAACTAAGAACAAAAGTGCATATTTCATGAGTTAATAGTACAGATATGCTTTATAGAACTTAATATATTGCAATTTTGTGTACAAACATATACTCCTACAGCAATCTTTGTTGGTGAAAACTAAGTAGGGGAAAGAAATAGCAATGTTAATCAGTCTTCTTGCTCCACATTTATTCTCTTTCTCTTTGCTATTCCCTACCAATTTATCCAAATGTGGATCTTAGTTGGATACATTCACAACGAATCAGCTGACCTAGTCTACAAATCTATCCTAACTATCAATCAGTTTTGGGACCATGCAACCAAAAGCTTGAACTGACTCTCAAAGTGACAATTCCATTTGAGGGATGGCATCAAACTAGATAATTTGCCCCAGTAAGGCCATATCTCAGAGGCTTCTTATAGCCATCAGGTTGATACCCATTTTAACTATTGTTCATAATTTTGCTTATGGTTCAAAGTATTTAATTTTGCACATTATTCTAGGCATTCTCTTCTACACAAATATAAAGGCATTATCACAATTTAATAACTGCCCATGCAAGGTATATCTAACTACCTTTAAATATACAAAGCCATGTAAATTTTTATTCTTTGGTTCCACCTTGCTAAATCCCCACCACTCTTTGCTTCTATTGAACTTTTTGCTGCAAATTTCATATATCTCTTTTTAATATCAATATTGCTCCTTAAACCAATCTAATACCATAGGAAAATTTTCAGGCTATATTTTTTTTTTAAATTAAATTTCAGTGAATAGTCATTAATTAGCACATAAATTACCAACAAATCAAATGATAAAAAATTAATGAAATAAACAAAAAAAACCAAAATGCATGCTGGAATAACCTGCAATGTGAACAACCTATCCTCAAACTGAACTTCTTTCGTCAAAAAATCAGCTCCTATTGTTGCTTTGTATTGATTGCTAAACTTCCGATTCACATACCTACATGCAAAATCCAATAATCAAAAACCAAATTAGCAAATCAAATAACAAAAAAATTTTAATAAATAAAATAAAACATAAGATCTAGGTCAAAGAATAATACTGATTCATCAACGAGGTCTTCCCAACCCTGAAAATTCACATTTAGAAAGGAAAAAAAAATACAGCAAAATTCAGAATTTGAAAATGAAAACAATAATTGATTCTATGAAATTTAAAAAATTAATAGAAACACAGTGAAATTGGAAATGGAAATCAAAATTGTGAGAGAGAAGTGATAAGAGTACCCGCTGTCACCGAGAATTATGACCTTTAACAGCATGCGTCTACGGGATGCCATTGGATTCGAAATTCGAGAAAACTGGGTCGGGGTTGAATCAAATAGACAATTTCCGAATTTTTTTTTAAAGCATATTTCCTTAACTCCAGAATCAGAGTTTCTTCTCTCCAGTACAAGGATTTGTGTTTTGATTCTGTTTGTATCAAGAGAAAACGGTAATTGTAGATTTTTCCCACCATGCCCTTGGTTTCAGTTGAAAGGAATATACTAAAATATACGCTTCTATTTTTTCTTAATTTAATTTCATTAATGAAATTTTTTTATTAAGATTCGAAACCGACTTTTAAACCAACAACGTACGTGGGTGTTGTTTCACAGTTCCAAACTCAAAACATGTGATCGTTTTGGGCTTGCTTCTCTCTATTTGAATTGGGCCTTGGGCCATATCCATTTAAAATCCAACAGTGAACCGAACCTCGAGTCGGATAATAACCACCAGCCTGTCGCCGCCTACCTGGCAATGGCTGTAGAGAATCAAATCAAAATAAAACAAAACAGGAAAAAAAAAAAGTCAAAGTCAATAGAAAGTTACAAACAAACAAATAAAACCTGTAAGCTAAGCAAATACCGAAAACGAAACGCACAAACACACCGATTCTGACCTTTCAAACCGATGAGTAACAGTACAAGTCCTCTCCCAGAATTAATTTCTTTGTACACAGGGACCCAGAATTGAATCTCACGAGTAGAGGAACTTGAAATTTTCATCAAGAATGGGGCTTTTCTCTCTCACCATGGCAGGTGGTGCTTTTCTTTTGATCGGTGCATACGAATCTCTTACTTCTTCTTCCTCAAATCTGATTACAAATTCACTCTCCTCTTCTCCTACGGTTGATCGAATAACAAATTTGGTAGCCCCTAAAAACCCAAACCCTAAATCCCACTCCTCATCTTCTTTCTTTTACATTTTGATCGCCGTATTTTCGTTTCTTTTCGCTATTGACTCTCTATTTTCGCTTTTCAATGCCATTAACATGCAAGATGGAATCGGTTCGGCTATCCAGTTACAAGTCCTCGCTATTTCTGCACTTTTTTTATTGTATTCAATTTTAGGTCTGGTATCGAATTTTTCAAATTCTATTCGTGTACCTTCTTCGCTTCTTGATTTGATCCTTTTGTTTGCTTTCGTGGAAGAGTTTTTGTTGTATTATCTGCAAAAGAAGGACACAAGTGGGATTGAAAACAGGTACTTTGATCTTTTACTTGTGCCCATTTCGATTTGTGTGGTTTCTACAGTTTTGGAGTTGAAGTCTTCTTCAAAATCGAATAATTATGCAAGAACGGCACGTGGGATTGGGTTGATTCTGCAAGGAATGTGGTTTTTGCAGATGGGTATTTCTTTTTACACCAACATGATTGTTCATGGTTGCTCTTTGCATGAAAAAAGCAGAGGGAATTATACCATAAAATGTAAAGGGCATTCTGAGTATCATAGAGCAAGAGGGATTGCTACACTTCAGTTCAACTGCCATCTTGCTTTGCTTGTGGTTTTAGTTTCAAGTGTATACTCGATTATGGCTAAAAAGAATAGGGATGGTAGTGACTTTATGCAGTATAAGCCTCTTGGGGCAGAGATGCAGCAGACGGAGAATAATGGGCACTTCACTTTGGATTCTGATGAGGATGAGATCAAAGAAGAGGATAATTCAACTAAGGAGAGATCAGCTGTAGTAGAAATGGTGGTTAATGGCTATGGCTCTCATGAATGAGTCAATTTTAGAGGTCAATTTTCATTGTTAGTGTATTCTTTTATTAGTGAAGACACGGCTGGTTGGTGTTGTATAAAGCAATTGCAATAGTCCACTTCGACTGGTTTTGGGATCTGAATTTTACCGTTCTTGCTTAATGAATGAAGTTACTTCTATTTTTCAATTTCTTTCATTGGAATTTTGATTGGTCTCCTTTTTGTCATTTGTGATTCATGTTTTATGATTGTTAATTGAATCCAGATGATTCTGTTGCTAGACTTACCTATTCATATGCCAAAACTGAGCATTTCAAATTGAAGTTGCAATTATTTGCAGAACCGATACCATATTCAAATTAGTAAGCTGGTGACACGATGTGGTAGCTTCAACTCTCAACTATAGTTCAGTTTACCATCTCCATGGGATCTAATCTAACCCAACTCTACATAATTGAAAGAATGTACAGATAAGGGCATGGTCGTCTCATCTAGAAAAAATAACCTAATTAAGTTCAAAAATAAATCACTATCTCATGCAAGTTGATCCCAATTTACATCATCCTGTAAGTATTTACCTTACAGCACCAGTAATGGATAAATTGCAAAGGTAGATTTTATAGGCTTAACCACTCATTTTCAGATGAAGTTGCAGCCTTCATGGATCTCATTTGTCCAGATGATTTTTCCAAATCCAATATTGATTCTGTGCAAGATGCTGGCATGAAATTGATGAAGCTGAGAATGAAATGAACTACGATCAACTTTCATGGGAATCTGTGATGGGAATCTCTCTTATCTGTAATTCTACGTCTTGTGTAGTTTGTTGGCCTTCAGTGCTTGTGCTAGAATGGTGCAGACCATACTCGCTAGTGACTCCACTATACTCACTACTAGCAACTTCTTGGCTTTCCAGAGCTATCTTCCTGAATTTCTTCAAGTCTTTCGTGTATTGGCTAGAATTATAATCCGAGCTTCCATAAGATTCATAGATCATGCTATTCCCAGGTGTGATTCCATCACTTAGGTCATCCAGAGACATATTTCCTTCCAGAGCTCGAACTATCTGAAATTAAATGGTAGCAAAAGGGTTACATTGGCGACGTACTGTTTTACGATAATCAACTTACAGTTTTTGTAAGGGTAGAGATTCAGAAAACAAATGGAAATAATTTTCAAATGCTTTCAAAGCCTCTGAATGACAAGTAAATAATTAGTTTATAGGTGGGAATCATAGGAAAAGACCAAGGCTATTCAGTTTGGAACTAATCAAGACCTACAACAGGACATTTAGCACCTATGGTATCACCTGGCTCATTCGGGGTCGAAGCCGTGCTGAATGGCGTATACAAGCTTTAGCACATGACATCATTCGAGTCATTTCAGTGGAATCATAGTCCTGCAATTTTGGATCAACCAGAGCATCATAGATGCCCTCTTCTAAAGCTTGTTTGAGCAAAGGTCTTGCCTGAATATTCACAAAATAATTGTTATTTTTCATGGGAACCCAGCTCTAAATTTCAACTTCATCGACTTTTTTCTCCTCAATGTACATGTGTAAAACACTTCTTTTTAGAAAAGATAATATAAATACCAAAGTGCAGAGAGAGTTTGAAAATTTATAAATGCAACAAAACAATATGAACAGAGTAACAAAGTAAAATTTTAAAGCCAAAGGATTATTTCCGTATGTAGAAAGTGAGCATCTAGCATCTAAAAGCTTCATGTGCAAAAGATAATTAAAAAATTGAATAAAGGTAAACTTCAAAGATCTCATGTCCAAAAATACAAATATAAAGGCTTTAATTTACATGTCAAACAACAATATTCTTTTGGTCCCCTGGTGTTGTTTAGGACAATAATGCCAAATTCTCAGCAAAGTTTCAGCTAGGATTCGGATCTTTATTATAGAGAATTAGTTTAAAGGTATTTTGCCTTACTTGCCTATCACTTTGACATGGCTTTAGGTTCTAATTTTTGTTTGGGAAAAAAAAACGAACAAAACAGGAAATAAATAATATAGGGATAATACATAAGATTTTTTCCACAAGTTGTCATCCAGTTTAGTATTTCTAATAAAAATTTTTGTTGTCCCCACTTTTTCTTACTAAATACGCTTAATAGGTAAAGTGGCAAAAGTTCATAACTCTTTCCTGTTCATTGTCTGAGCATACATACAGGGAGAACATTTTGGAAAACAATCACTTGTTTAGACAACTTAATGACCTCCATTTTTTAAATAAAATAAAATAAAAATTACTAATTACCTCACAACTTCTCCAGAAGGCATTTTTCAAAAAAAAAAAAAAAAAAAGAGCATAAACATACAGGGAAAGAACATTTTGGAAAAACAATCACTTTGTTTTTAGACACATTAATGAACCTCCATTTTTTAAAAAAAAAAAAAAAAAAAGAACAACGCTCATGAAGCTATAGCCAGGCGATTCTCTTCTAACAATAACACTATAACTCATATGGTGATATTAACTCTACCAGCCTTAGTTTAAGAGAAGTAGCCATATTAGTTAGTTTATCATTCATCTTAACTTGATTTCAGCACAACTATTGACAATTTTCTTAGTAAAGATAATTTTTCCACATGCTTAAGGAATGCTCAGTTGTACTAAATTATGTCTCTACTATTATAGTCGACTGTCATGGAAATGTTATTACCCAATCAACTATGCTATCATCAAAAGGTTGACTTCTATCAACAGGTCGTCGCCCAGTAATCAACTCCAAAAGCACAACACCAAAGGAAAAGACATCCGACTTCTCAGTGAGCCTACCAGAAGAGGCATACTCTGGAGCCAAATAACTGAAATTGTAGAAATTACAAGAGAAGAAATTACATGGGAAAAACTGCTTCAAAGATTTTCCAGGATAACAAAATCAATTTCAGCAAATAACATGTATAAAATATATCGTACCCAAAAGTTCCCATCACTCTAGTGGAGACATGAGTATCGGTATCCAAATAATACTTGGCAAGTCCAAAATCAGCAACCTAAAAAAAAAAAGTGGATTAATTGCATTATATAATTTAATGTCAAGGAGAACCAAATTGAATATGTTAAACTATATATTTTCAAATTGCAACATGAAATGAGTCCGCATTTTCCATTAAATTTCTGAGGATATATGTATAGGAATCAAATTGTAGTTACGCCTCATGAACTTATTTTTCAATTCGATGATTCTACAGTCAAGGATGACACTACTTCCTAAATGTACTTAGATAAAATAGCATATATAAACAGCAAAAAAGATTTATTGAAATATGGATAAAAAAGCTACTTGTCAAGAGAGGAGAAGAAGGAGTTGAACTAAGATTCTCCCCAATAATATATGAAAATCAAGGTCAAAGCACGTTTGGTGGATATTAAACAGAAATCCAAATACTAAAAGATCAACAATCAAATTAGCATTTTTCCATTTGTTCTATACCTTTGGCTCAAAATCATCATCGAGGAGAATATTGGATGCCTTGATATCTCGGTGTATGATCTTGGGCCGACCTGAAGATATACCATAAAAGGTGGGTGATGCTCAAAGACCAGTAAGTTAAAACCAAAACGTGAGTAAGGCTTGGTAAATAAATCTAGCATGATAAGAATACTCACAATCTTCATGCAAATAAGCCAATCCTTTTGCTGAGCCTACAGCAATTTTCATTCTCACTGACCAGTTAATAGTTGGTCTCCCCTTTCCTGTTAGACCAGCTATATTTTATAAGACAGCTATAAGATATTTACAGCAGTACAGATAATTATAGACTCAAAATATAAGTTGCATATCATATCATTCTCAATCTTAGCATATAAGCTTTGACCTTCTTGCAATTGATGAATCCTTGGTCAATACACTCCTAACCTCTCCTTAGCAAAGTCATAGAGCCATCTAACCCAGGAGGTGACTCCAACATATAGTAATCATATTTGCTACTTGTAATCTTCCTTCCTCCTCTAACGAGTCCTTATTAAGGCCTTTGGATTTATAACAAGAAGAAATATGATCACAAAAAACACTCACCATGTAAATGGAATTCCAAAGTGTTGTTTGGAACAAACTCATATACAAGCATCCTTTGGGCTCCAGTGATGCAATAACCAATCAATGAAACAAGATGACAGTGATGGACACGACTTATTATCTCAATCTCTGCCTGAAACTCACGCTCTCCCTGTCCACTCCCAGCTTTGAGCTGCTTAATTGCAACCACTTTACCATCGCGAAGAACTCCTTTATGGACATAGCCAAAACCGCCCTGACCAACAAGGTTGGCATTGGAAAAACCATTAGTTGCCATTACTAACTCTTCATAAGCAAACGTACCCTCTGATAGTCCAATAATGCCAGGAGATGGTGATGCAAATGGTTTCTCAGAGCCCGAACTGCCACTTGTTAAAGGAGGTTCATGGAAAGACGTTAGTTTATTGTCTGTAGGTGAAGGGTTATTGACTTGCCAATGGGTGGCAGTTTTATGGTCATCTGGAAATAAAAGCAAAGGAACCATTAGTATACAAGCATCAATTGAACAATATAGCAAGCATGAGCTAGGATCAAGATATGCTTAAAACTTTCAACTAATGTCATATCAGACAAATATCAGAATAAAATTCAAGTGATAATATAAGCATTCAAGTAGAATACATCATTCAAACAACTTAAACTTAAAAGGGGAAAGGACATACGAACTCAAAGATAAATCAAAATAACAGACTTCCAAGCCATCCCTCACATTTCCATTTTTACCTATTTTTTTATCTTTCCAAAAAATATAAGCTTTTGTCTCCTACATCTCTCTTTTATGAGCGACAATTCCGACTGATCTCCATTTGAACTCGCCAAAAAACCAGCCACCATAAGTACACAGGTGGCTACTACTAAATCTTCCAGACCAGACAAGAACCCAAAAAATATGAAGTAGATCATAGCTATTGAGCAGTCCATAAATGCCACGATCACACGGATAAAAATAAGGCACAAATGAGACAACTGAATTAGCATTTTGGAGCAAACCCTACCCAAGTAGAAAATTGATGCAAGAAACAAAAGGCCTCTTACGCTAAAACCCAACACAACAAATAGTTAAAGGCAGAAGCGAACAACCCAGATGTAAAATTATATATAAGAAGCGAACAACCCAGAGTAAATAAATTAATATAATATATATATATATAAGTAATATAATATATATATTATATATATAATATAATAATAATATATATATATAAACAAGCTGGTGTCGGAGATGCTAAAGACCAAAGTCAAAACAGAATTAAATTACTAAATATCACGAAAGAACGAAATTGATTCTACATCTAAATAGTATATGTTTCCAATTTTAGCCTTCAAAGTCCACAGATATAATATTTTTAAATCGAGCGCCGGAAATGCATAAATAAACCTTTAGGTCCTTGCGGCGGTGGACATCCTGGGTAACACTCTGCTTCCTTTCTCTTCTTCTTCCGGTAAAAAAAGAAGAAAGCGCCGACGCCAATCAGCACAATTATTGCTCCTAAAGCTACTCCCACTATGAGGCCCGTCACAGCGGCAGGAGGCAGCCCGTTCGGCGGACTAGAATCCACTACAACTGCCGGCGTAGAGCCATTGGGAGATGCCGATGAAGGTGGAGGTTGGGAAGTGCTTGAGGTATTACTTGAAGGCGCCGAAGCTGTGGAGTTGGTACTCGGTGGCGGTGGCGAAGCTGTGGAGTTGGTTTCCGAAGTCGGAGGAGGCGAGCTGGAGTTAGTAGCCGGCGGCGATGCGGGTACAGCGGGAGAAGCAACCGGAGAGGGTGAAGACATTTTCCGGCGATTTTTCTCTATTCTATTTTTGTCTGTAAGTCTGCAAGTTAGAGAGAAGCTGAAACTTGGATTTTTCCCATTTTCACATGGGTGGATGGAAGTAGAGAAAGTTGATGAAGGAGAATGACGGTGTGGACCCACTTAGGCCCTAACGCGGTCATTTTACTTCGCATTACCGTCCTTGTCAATTTTCATGAGCAGGGACGTTTAAGACTTTCGGACTTCGGCGTTGCTTGCTTATCCTTGTTGCATTTAGCACCATTTCAAAATCTTTAGTAGACAGTAACAGTAGGAACTAGGAAGTAGAGACTGAAGCAAACTCTCTTAAGTTTTTCTTTTTGTTTTCAGATTTTTCTTTTTCTGTGTGTTTTGGAGTAGTTGGAAAAAAATAAATTGTTATTTGTAGTAAAAATTAAACGTGTCTAAGAAAAAAAAAAAAGAAGGTTTCCAAACTTTTCTAAATTATGCAAATAGTAAAAAAGAAAAAGATTAATCATATCACTGTTTTCCTTCTAAAAAAAAAAATCATGTCACTGTTTTCTCCATTGCTTTGTTTTTTATTTTTTGAATATTAATAAAATTATTGAAAAAGCTGCTTACTGCTTATTTTATGGTATTAAATGGTTCTATTGATATCTTAAAATATTTACTAAGGATGTCAAGTAGTGCTGAGCAAACCGGCGGATCGAATCAAACTAAAGCCACAAAATATAAATCGAAGTTCATTTATAATAACTCAAAGGCTTCACCCAAAGAAAAAGAAATGAAACTCGAGTTTCTGGAAATGCTTTAAGAGGGAGGGGAGAGGAAAATTTAGAAAAAGAGCAAAAAAGAAGAAGATTGAATGAGTTATCTCGAAAGTTTTTATCATTTTGTTTCGGTTCTAAGCCTAACCGTTAAATATTTAGGTAATTGAATTTAAACAAGCAATAAATTCGATTCAAACTGAACGAATCGACGAAACCTCTCTTGGGCATTAAATCAAACTGAATCGAAATGAGTTGGTTCGATTTTCAGTTCGGTTTGATTGGTAATTTTGTTCACCCTTAAAGTCAATTGTGTGTTTGGATCATAAGCTTAAAAAATGGCTAATAAACCCCTTAACTGTATTGCATTGACCTTTATGTCATCCTTAATTTTTACTTTGATTCATTAAACAATTCAATTTATAAAATTAGACCTATTAAATACTTCAATTTTCAATTTTATTTTATTGAACATTTCAACATGCAAAATTAGATCAATTAAATACTTATTAAAAATTTGAAATATATGAAAATTATTATTCCAAAAGTTATGCTAACTACATATCAAATCAATATTTTGCAAATAAAATACAAAAGCATAAAAATTATCGATATTAATATTGAAATGTGTGTAATATTGCAAAAATTTACAAGTTTAAGTGTATAACAGGTCATCTACAAAGTTCAAAATACCACAATATTAAAATTACAAATTCAAAGATGAATTTATATATTGGGCTCTTACAAAATTGTTATGTTTTTGTGAATAAATATGCGATGTCTCTAATGGATGTGTATAATGTATTTTCTACTTAACTAATAAAAAAAATTACTAAAGTATATGGAAGGTTTTTTTATTACATTAATTAGTATAGATTATCATTTATTTTTTAATACGACACAAAAATGAAAATTTGATTAATATACTTGTGCTTAAAGGTGAGCATCAATTGGTGAGTATGATTAAATAAATTTTATGATAAACAAGATCAGATAGAACATAATTTTATGAATATCGATTCGAGCTTGATTCAGTTATTTCGAACCGAATTATTTATTTTAAACATAAAAAAAAAACTTAATTTAATTAACCATATATAAGATCGAAACCAAGAGAGACAATTATCACTATTTCATTGTCAGACTATTAATAAAATACAATCTTTATTATGTGTCTGGCTTAAAGGAATGGGGTTTTGTCCCTTATTCGTTTATTTCCGAATCTTTGTTCGATGATTTAAGTTAACGAAATTCAATGTTTTATTCTAAAATAATAATAAAATATAATTTTACAAAAAATTATAAAATCAAATTAATAATGTATTTTCATCGTAATGGACTTCTTTTTATTTTTCTTTAATATAATAATTGAATATCAAGATGTTAGATTAGCTCGATGTATAAATTCACTTCTAAATTTTATTATTTTAGTTTTGTAGAATCTTCAATTTTTATTTTGTCAAACATTTCAATTTATAAAATTACATTTATTAAATATTTAGAATTCAAAAAATTATTTTATTGAACACTTCAACATATGTGTTAAATAGTTGAAAAATATAAAAATTATTGTTTTAAAAGTTATTATATATTAATAACATATCAAATTAATATTTGTACATAAAAAATAAAAATCTTTAAAATTATTATTCATAATCAAAAAAGGCGTAAAATATTATCAAATTAAAAAATCATATCAAATTATTATTTTTATAAGATTGTATTAAAATCGTTAAAAAATTTATGGATAAATTTACGTATTCCATCATTTTAGATCTGACGGCACATGACACTTGGCAGTTTATGAACCTCTTGTATTGTATCAAACTCAAAATGAATATCTATACTTTTGAAATGTTCGTGTAATTGTGAGAGTAAATACAATTTCCTATAAAAAAGGACAAACTACATTCCTATAATGTCCATTCAATGGTGTGAACTAAATAATTGAATTTGATTAGTGGTTGTCCATATTACGACCTAACCACTTTCTTTCCCACTCAAATACGAGAAAATAAAATTCTTGACCGATTAATCATGATTCCGAATTGTTGACCGATCAATTGTGATTCGGAAGAAAACCCGATATTTTAGTAGAATCGGAAGGTATAATTCTCTTTTACATTAAACGTAAGAAATTTATTACCTTTTATTAATAAATATGTTTCTCAGATCCATTTTGATATTATAGACTAACCATTAACCAGGAACAAGATTCCTCATTCAACAATGGCGTAAAACTGCAACCACATTTCGCAGAATAGAAATCCTTTTATGGAGGCAAACTTTTTCTCGATTCATTAATTATATAAATGTAAGGAAACTTTTCAATTGTTGCAGAACTTTTTTCTGTCATATTTTTTCAATTGATTCATAAAGATTGAAGAATATAATTGAACATAAAAATTTGACAGGCTTTCATGAAGCTCACCTCTTTGGCTCTTTCCCTTTTTCAAGCAACAGACAGAGGAGATAGCAGAGTCCCAGTGGATAATTCAGAGACCCAAAAGAGGACTGTTTGGGGTTACTGATTGATAGTCCCTCTCTGTTACCAACTTGAATGATTAGGCTTTGTAACTGATATTTTTTCAAATGGGCCATTTGTCTCTCTTTAGCAGTCTGGAGAATATTTTGCTTGGCCCATTTTCCAGTGTTTCTTTTTTAAATAATTTAGTTCCATTTATCAGATTTCAATTATATTATGTCAAATATTATTAAAAAAATTATCTAAAAATTTTGAAACTAATGAAAGTAAATTAAAAAAAAGAAAATTAGATACTGTAAGTTTATTTTTTGAATATATTTGTATTATTTACACGAACAACTTTTTTTTTTTTTTTTTTTTTTTCTGTAGTTTATTTTTTTGAATATATTTGTATTATTTACCGAACACTTTTTTTTTTTTTTTTTTGAAGAACTAGACCCAAAATCTGTTTGGAATTGTTCAATTGTAAAGGCCTTTTTCTGATTGTTTCATTAGCAGCTAATATTAAGAATGATATTAATAACCACCAGAATTGAAATATGTTTTAAAAAAAAATTTGAACTAATTTGATTAATATAAATACGCAATTCACCATACGTAATTATTATTTAATTATTATTAATTATAATCTCCCTGTGTACTGTCCACCTTTTTTTTTTTTTTTTTTTAATACAATGTTCCATTCTTTCTATTGGAAGCAAAAGTATTGGGAAATATGCAAAAAATCAAATAAATATATTTATTCGTTGCTCATTGTACGTTAATAATTTAAATTTTTTTTTTTTTTTTTTAATAATGTCCATTCTTTCTATTCCAAGCAAAAGTATTGAAAATGAAAATCAAATAATATATTTATCGTTGTCATTTAATTAATAATTTAAAAGAAGATGATGTTGTAATTCAATATATAAAAACTGCAAAAATAATTTTGCTTATCTTTTCAACTCATATTTCTAAATCCAACTTTTTTTTTTTTGGAGAAATATTTTGTAAATTCAACTTTTTTTACTATAACAAAACAGAAACCAAAAGTAGAAAATGAAAATGATACTACACAGAACCTAAACTTATTATGAAAGCTAGTAGAGTGAAAAAAAAAAAAATGGAAAAGACATTTCATTTCAAGAAATTATGATAATGTATTTATGGTTTGTTTTATGTTTTTCTTTTTTATCAAAAATTTTGAGAAACAGCGAGAAAATGAATATGATTTGAATAAAAAAAAGTACTTATGAAAAAAAAAGAAAAATAAAAATAATTGTTCAGTAAAAAAAAAAAAAAGAGGTTTCATATTTAATTTTATGCATAAAAAAGGTAATTAAACTATAAAATATTTTCCTCTTTCGTATTACTTTTATATCGCTAAATAATTTTAAATACTAATATACTTAGGGGCCTAAATTCTTATAGCTCTATGCCAACCTCGTTATTGTATTTATTTATTTATTTTCTGAGTGAGTGGTACATATTTAATTTTTTTATCATTTTTTAGAATTTAATTAAGGATAATAAAGTGAGAATAAACCGACAATTGGTATATTTTACCAAACTATCTACTTTTAGCAGATGGAGTGATCAGAGCAGTTTTTAAAAAATGAAAATAAAAAAACCAAATCAAACCGAACCCTCTCAAAAACACCCAGAAAAGAAGAATATTACGGAGAAAGACAGTGATACAGAGAGAAATGTAGTCTCTCTCCCACGCACGCCAACAGCCTAAACCTAACGGTCCTCGCATTGAATTCTCCTTCTTCATTTATGAGTTACCCGATTCTCTACTTTTTCTCTCTATCCAAGCACCGGTTTCCCTTTCAAATCTGTCCAATTTTCCTTTGCCTTTTCTTAGCTTCACATCCTTTCTGACTTGGCTCGGTCTTTTAAACAAATGTCGGTTTTTTTAGAACAATTGTCGCTGCGATACAAGAGTGAAAAGTTCAAATTGAGTTTATGATTTCTTGATTTTTCTTTAGTCGGAAAAATCGAAGAGATTTTTTGCTTTAGCTCGGCGAATTCGAAAATGAACACGCAAAGGCAAGTGACCGTGCGGGACCTAGTGGAAGAAGCGAAGAAGAGGATCGTCTTTTTGGTTATTTCCGTTGTTGGATTATCTTATCTCATGTCTTGTAAGTCTTATTTCTCTCTTTGTGGTTTTAGAGTTGAATTAGTATAAATCATAATTTAGATTGAATTTGATTCAGAATCAGTTTGCTTTAGTTCTTGTAATCCTAATATTGGTTTCTACTTGTTAGTAGTACTGAGATTCTGAACGAAATCACTTGCCATAATGGAGTATTAAATTTTACTTTCTAATTATATTCTGGTACTGATTTATTATTTTTTTCGAGAATTAGATTATGAGTTGTTTAATCATACAGGAAATTTAGAATCCGCTATAACTTTTGGCTCGGCATTGCTATCTAAAGTTGTTTATAGCTGAATTACTTATACTTCGAACTGGGTATGCTAGTTTCTAATCAAGGTATAAACTTAATATAGATTTGGTGGAACCTTAGCGTTTTAGATGGCACCTGTTTATTTCCGTACATTTTTTTTTGTTGATGCTTTCTAGGCGGTGAGATGTTTCCTGTCCCTTGTTTTTCAGAAATGTCAATGGTTGTAACAGCTAGAGGTAGAGAGCTTGTTCAGTGGAGTGAAAGTTTATATAAAAATTAAAAACTGACATTTTCTAATAGCAATTTAATGTCTAACCTTATCACTTAACTATGTTTATGCAGTTCCCTAAAGAAACGCATTCCACTAAATAATTCAGTGAATGAAAATGGGTGCGATACTTGAATTTTAAAACCTTTAAATCTAAATGAGGCACCTATAATGCTTTGGGGAGTTGAAAATAGACATAGATTCAGAGATTCCTGAATATGTCAACCTTTCAAACTGCTCTTCTGAGAGCACTGTATTCTCCTCGTATGTAAGTGTAACTTCTTGAATTCTTTGTCCACAGATTTTTTTTATAATAAATTATTGAGAGAAACAGATAAAAGAAATTTCCATTAAATACTTATAGTTGGTCTATTCTTAGTCTAGTTAAACCCCGTTTTCTTGGAATAGGAATGAGCAAGATATGTTGGGAAATGACAATGCATTTGGATGTTATAAAAGTTTGCATTAACCAGGAATCTACTTTTATACAGTAACCGATGTTGGAGTACAAATACCCCAAAACCTCCAGTTCTGGTATTTTCAACCACTTGGATATCGAACTGTGCCCAAAATATATTGTTTAATTTGTTTGTGTTGTAATATCTTCTTTGTTTTTTTTTTCCCTGACATTACAACTTACTATTGGTTTTCTGTTGTTTCAGTGACAAGCTCCTCAGTTTGGGTCAACTTGCCGGCTGCTGCCTCCTTAATAGTTTTCCTTCGTTATTTCTCTTTGGATTATGAAATGCGGAGGAAAGCAGCTGCTTACAACAGCAAACCTTCCTCAGCAAATACAGTGTCTCAAAACAACACTTCTGATCCTACTAGGGCTCTTGAAAGGCCTGACTGGAGAAGAAAAGTAAATTCGCCAGTTGTTGAGGATGCAATTGATCACTTCACAAGACATTTAATTTCTGAGTGGGTGACAGATCTGTGGTACTCTCGCCTAACACCTGATAGGGAAGGTCCAGAGGAACTGGTGCATATAATGAATGGCGTTCTCGGGGAGTTTTCGAGTCGCATGAGAAATATAAATCTTATTGATCTTTTGACGAGGTTATCATCCTTTTCCTGACTAATATCATTTATTAATTTTACTTTTCTTTCCCCTGGTTATTTACATGGGAACTAATTTTCTAGGATGGCAGGGATCTTATTCATCTTGTCTGCACCCACTTGGAGCTTTTCCGAGTTACTCAAGCAAAGATTGAAAAGTACTCGTCTGGTTCGTTGTCTATTGAACAGCGAGACAAGGAACTGCGAATTGTCCTGGCTGCTGAGAACAGATTGCACCCTGCTTTATTCTCCGCTGAAGCAGAGCACAAGGTTGTTTAACTTTATTTCATTTATTAGTTTGCACAAAGAGGTGGCAAATCTATTGATATGCATTTGAATGTTATAGGTGTTATTCCTAGACTTCAATCTACTTTCTCTGTTGAGGAGCAATAATCTATTTCATTTATCATCAGGTTTTGCAGCATGTGATGGATGGTGTCATTTCTTTTACATTCAGGCCGGAAGATCTGCAGTGTTCTTTCTTTCGTTATATAGTGAGGGAACTTCTTTCTTGTGCAGTAATGCGACCAGTCTTGAACTTAGCTAGTCCAAGGTACTTATTCCTTCTATTTGAATCATATTTTTGTTTTGGTGTTGTTGTTGCTGTCATTTTTCTCTTCCAATTTTTTGGACAGGTTTATAAATGAAAGGATTGAAATTTTCGTCATTTCTAAGGCTAATAAAGGAATTGTTGCCACACAAGAGGCATCACAATCCAAACCCAATGGATCTTCAAAGATCTCAGCTGATCAATTTGCTACTTTTTTAGATCCTACTGTTGGTGTTGAACTTGTGCAGTTAAAAACTGGTCAGTCCAAAAGTGGAGCACCTCAAACGGATAACGTGAATGGAACCCAAATGTCAAAAGATCCATTGCTTTCCATTGATACTCAATCTTCTCGATGGAGCTCATTGCCATTAAGCTCACAAATTAAGGATGGAAGAGGGATTCAACGGTATCATTCAGGTGGAGAATGGGGTGAGATGTTGGATGTGTTTTCTCGTAGAAAGACTGCAGCCCTTGCACCAGAAAACTTTGAAAATATCTGGACGAAAGGAAGAAACTATCAAAAGAAAGAAGATCAAAATCGGTTAAGTGAGAAAGTCTCACAGAATCCTTCTGAAAATAAGTCTATTAAAGTGAATTCGTTGAAGGTGTCTGAACACAAGGAAGAACATGGAGTAAGCAAATTTGATCCTTCTGTTGCGCGCAATGGCCAGGCTCTACATTCTGATCAATCTACAGCTGGAAACATCCACCATCAGACAGATAAGAACTTGTCAAACCATTCTTTATATAATTCATATCATGAAGATGAAAAGGAAGGTATCTTACATGTGGATGAGGCTGAATCAGCTAGTGTTAGTCCTTATACTTCTGAAGAGGAAGATCCAAGCAGCATCACTGGTCTTGATGACCCAGGAACTAAAGTTTGGGATCGTAAAACGAATAGAAATATGGCCGTTTCACCAATTCATCACCCACTTGAAAATCCTGAACGCCATGGTACAAAGAAAACTAATAAAGGACAGACTCACTGTGAACGATTATCTGGACCAGAGCCTGGCAGGAAAAGGTCAAGATCAAGCACTCTGAAGGTGCATGTTTGGCAAGAGATTGAGAGGACAAGCTTCTTATCTGGAGATGGGCAGGATATACTCAATTCAAAAGAACATGCTAAACCTGATGATTCTAGTGATGATTCTGAGGTAGAAGGTTTCAATAGAGTTTACAGTGGAGAAACTGCTTGTTCATCTGCACCCGCCATTTCCATTCCAGAAAATCATAGTTTGACTGTTAACTCCCTCAAAAATTCAATGATGGTGGATTCGTTTTTTAAATTGAGATGTGAGGTAATGTGCTTCAAGGCCCCGGTGCTCTATCCAACTTGGTTAACCTTTCCTTATTTGATTTTGTTGATATATGTAAAGGATATAATCCTATTTGCAGGTGTTGGGTGCAAATATTGTGAAGAGTGCCTCTAGAACATTTGCTGTTTATTCCATTTCTGTTACAGATGTAAATAATAATAGTTGGTCAATCAAAAGAAGGTGCTTTGAATTTCTTTGTCAACTTTCTTGTTTCACATTCATTGATCTGTTATATATGATAGTTATTACTTGCACGCGGTTATCTAATTTATATTCTATATATAGTATTTAACTTTAATCATTTGGCCTTTGCAACTGAACTTTATCGTCAACAGGTTTCGACATTTTGAAGAGTTACACCGGCGTCTCAAAGAGTATCCAGAGTATAATCTTTATTTGCCACCAAAGCATTTTCTCTCAACAGGTTTAGACATGCCTGTCATTCAAGAACGGTGTAAATTGCTTGACAGATACCTGAAGGTTAAACATTTGTTTTTACCTGCTTTTATTGAAGGAATTGGATATAAACTTGAGCTTTGAGGTATCCTGGAAAGTTTGGTGCTTCAGGATCTCAACTATGAATTCTTAAACTTTGTTTAATTTCCTGATGCAGCATCCGTCAAGTGCTATTGCTACTTTCTGTTAACTTGGGTACTAGTAGAATCTCTGGAATGTTATGGTGATTTAAGGGTTTTTTTTTTTTTTTTTTTTTTTTATGAATTCTTAACACTTTGTTTTAATTCTCTGATGCAGCAATCCGTCAAAGTGCTATTGCTATTCTGTTTAAACTTGGGATACTAGTTAGAATCTCTGGAATGTTTTATGGTGATTTTATAGGGTTTTTTTTTTTTTTTTTTTTTTCTCGTGAAAATTATGAAAACGGATTCAAGTTAAATACATCTGACCTTCAGACTAGAGGCGCTGATATTTGATTAGTTTTTTTTTTTTTTTTTTTTTTTCCGTGAAATTATGAAAAGGATTCAGTTAAATAATCTGACCTTAGACTGATGCTCTGGTATTGGATTAGCCATGTGAATGTTTCATTATTGTACTATACTAGGTATCCATGCCTGTCTCTTAGTTTCACTGTGTGCCTGGTCTGTTTATTTCTTTCTATCATGTTTGCAGTCTTTCATACCTATTTCATGCCTTTATTTCTCAGAAGCTGCTGGAACTTCCTACAATTTCAGGATCTATTGAAGTTTGGGACTTCCTTAGTGTTGATTCTCAGGTTTACATTTTCTTCTGGCTTGTTCAACAATTATATTTTTTGGGTATTTATTTTTGTCCTTCGGTGTTATTTCTTATCATTTTTTATTTTGTAATGCAGACATATGTTTTCTCAAATTCCTTTTCTATTATAGAGACATTGTCAGGTGGAGCATGTTGAATTCATAACGTTACATTTTTCTGACTTTCTATTTTTTTTTTAATCATTTCTGATTTCTTTTTGGTTGCTTGAACTGTCTAGTTGACCTTGACCACAATCCATCCGAAAAGAGTAAAAAGGTTTCAAATTTTATTGGGCCTGTTATAAGTTCCTTATCCACCAAGAAGGAACAGTTGGTCACAGAACAGAAGGAATCTGCATTGCAGACAAAGCATATTTTTGTTTCAGATGGGGTAAGGATGAGTCCAAAATACATGTCTCATTCTATGAGTAAAAAGCTTGGAAAAGAGTTTGGAAAGCCATTAGAGGACTCAGGTGGTGATTCAGATACTAAAGAAAATACATCATCTGTCAGAAATTTAGATAAGGTTGCTAAAGGAAGACAGACTGATGGCTTGGAACCAACCTCGGAGTCAATTCGTAATGCTGCCACTGATCCCACCCTTCCTACAGAGGTAAGTTACCACTGTAATTATAATTTTTGGCGGTAATTCTTTTTCATTTGACCATGTAATAGTTTCTGAGGATAGATGTGAAGGTTGGTTTTGTTATGTGACAAAGATCTTCCATCATATATGTTCTGGCAAATAAGCCAAGTTCAACAATTACTCAAGAATACCCAATCCCTTAAAATATTAAGAAGAAAAATGAGAGCACTCCGTAACATTCATCGTTTACTTGCAGTGGGTGCCGCCAAATTTAAGTGCCCCGATATTGGATTTGGTAGATGTCATTTTCCAGCTTCAAGATGGTGGATGGATCAGGTACTCAATAAATAACCATGTAGGAATATGATGTCTTTTTGTTTAATTCCAGAATGTTACCTCACCTGAATAAGGTCCTAATGTGATTGGTGGATATGAACTGTTAAAGACTAATGATTTGTATACAACAGGAGGAAAGCGTTTTGGGTGGCAAAACAGATTCTCCAACTAGGAATGGGTGATGCATTAGATGATTGGTTGATAGAGAAAATCCAGCTTCTGCGTACTGGTTCATTGGTTGCTTCAGGGATCAAGCGGCTTGAGCAGGTAATATACTGTTACTACATTTTTCAATTCATAGTATTTGACAATATTCTAATCTTTCCGTTGCTTTAAATATTAGGAATCCTCACTAAAATGCCTTGACTCCTCTTAATTAGAAAAAATCACAAGTCCGATAGATTGGTAATTGGTGTTTTCTTTCAGTAATCATGTATTACATTTTATCCTTTTATTATCCACATTTATCTCTGTAAACTAGAATCCTTTTACACACTTAATGATGTTACTATGTCGGGGTGAATGGGGCTTTTGCATACTGTCCTTCTGCAGTCTGTATCTGTTATTCTGAAGCTTATTTTTATACTTTCTTTAAGTGATTGGGGTTAGAAAGGTGATGGGAGGGAGAGAGGGGTAAATATCGCATATTTCCCTACTTTTCATCTTATGGTCAATCGTGATAATGCTATAAACATTGTGCATAGTTGCCAAATCATGCTTATATATAGTATAGGTGTACTGTGTACAGCATTTAGTAATTTACTGTCATGCGTTAAAATCAATTCTAGTATTTGCTTATTCCATATACATGTGAGGTTGATGCATCTAAATTCTAAACTCCGATAAGGTGTTGAAACTGATCTGGATAAGGATGCATATCATTGAAGCAGCAAACAAAGAGCTTATATGATCTTGTAAAATATGTTGATCTTCGGTTTTGGATTAATTTTTCATGCAGGTAAACTTGAATATGGAACTGAACCATGTGCAGGAAAGACTTTATAATTCCCAAATTCAATCTTGACTTTGATAACATATTTATTTGATATTTCATCTTGTTTTTCCTAGTGCTTTTGTTGGCTGCATTATTTGGATTTAAATTTTTTGCCTAAAAGTTTTGAGATGCGATTTAGATTTGTGTTGCTTGGAATTAATTTGTGAGGAAGAGATGATTACATGTTCATTTGTTTTAAATGCTGATGCATCTCTTGTGATTTTAAAAGATACTTTGGCCTGATGGAATATTCATTACTAAACATCCAAAGAGAAGACAATCATCAACAGCTAATGCATCCCATAGCTCACCTCATGGCCAGAAACCTATGGATATATCTTCACCTAAGGAATCGGTTGAAATATCTTCACCTAGACTAAGTAATGAACAGCTACAACAAGAAGTGGATAGGCGTGCTAAATTTGTATATGAGCTGATGATTGGTAATGTCATTTTTTTGTTCTTATTTTTGGTGTTCATCATCTGCATTTTGCAGCACATTTTTTCAAGTGGCAGATGTCAAAAATTCATTTTGCCAATGAATTCTCCTTTTGCAATGCAGATAATGCACCAGCTCCTGTTGTAGGTCTTGTTGGTCGAAAGGAGTACGAACAGTGTGCTAAAGATCTCTATTTCTTTCTTCAGGTAACTTCTTTAAATTGAATTGGATAATTCTTTACACATGACTTTAAAGAGTTGGTGGTGATGAACGAATTTATATAACCTCTGATGAATATTGTGGTATTGATTTCAATTTAAAACCCAACTTGCTACTCTAGTTTTGGCATAGATAAAGTGAGACATAAAATTTTCCTGTTAGCCTCCCATAGCTATATCAGAAAATGGGACATCCATAGATTAGCTTTATTGTAGATATCTTTCTTTTTTATGGTTCAGTAGAGGGACTTCATTTTCCCTTTCACATCTTTTGTTGGGAGGCTGGGGTGAGGTTAAGAAGGTATGCATCTAGCTTTAGTTGTAGTGTATTCAGACCCGTGCATTTAGGGACAGTGATCTGGGTTTATGCTTTGAACCATAAAGAACAGCATTCATGGTGTATGAGTTATCAGTTAAAACAGTTTTCGTTATCTAGCTGGAAAAATATTTTAGCCAAGTTTCACGCATGGTGTACTAGTATTTTAACTGAGATGCAATGGTTTTTCTTGCCATGTAGTCAACAGTCTGTTTGAAGCAACTGGCTTTTGACCTCCTTGAGCTGTTGCTTTTGTCTGCATTTCCAGAGCTGGATTATGTCTTCAAGCAGTTGCATGAAGAAAAGCATAGATTTGGTGAATTTAAGCCAAATTAGTAAATTACTAATGAGATTCAAATACAGAGATACTGAACAGATCGTCACTTGGGCGTTCCTTTTTTTTTTTCATCGGGTATATTGGGAGAAAGTTTTCTGTTGCTTTCATTTTGTTTTTCCTACTGGAATGATCCATGTTTTTGATTGGTTGTGTCAAATGTGTTGACACCATCATATCAAGTTTGCTTCTGATTTGGCATTTTGAGGAAATTGTATGTAAATCTTGAGGTTAGTGAAAAACTTAATGAAAATTCTCTTTTTCTGTAAAGTTCACTTCTTTCCAATTTCATCATTTCTTCTTTCTTTCTCAAACTTCCATGGAGTTAGTCCAGACTTCACTTGTCTTTCCCCTTAGAAAGCATGCGATCGAATCAACTTAGGTGCTACAAAGATGCAATTGAATGAAGTTAAATATTCTTGGTTACCCATAGAAAATAGCAGGAAACTACACGCCACTGTTCCATTCTGATCTTACTATGAATAATTTTAGAACTCAAAAGTTTTGATTTCACAAGTCCAAGAAAGTAAGTTGAACTGAAAAAAAAAGGTTAATTAAGAGATGGCGCTTGAGGAAGTAAATACGCATAAATCGCAAGGCATTCATCCAACCCCCTTTCAAGCATAGACATACACTGCAAGGCATCACTGATCACAGCAATGTCCCACCCAACCTTTACGCTACATCGACGATCAACATAAATCCATACCAAACGAACAAAAGTCAACAACCTAAGAACTCATAAGCAACATTTGATTTAACGGTACCGAAATCTCTGAGTTAAAAGGTTAGGAACTCAAATAGGAAGACCTGCTAAAATTTGATTGGTTTAGATATTTGCTAGCATTGAGTTGCAAATATAAATCATGCAAGTCTTACAACCCATTCTAACTCAACAATGGACTAAAAATTATTGCATTATTAGCTTAGATGACAGTCCAAGCAAAGAGTTCACATCTAAAACTGAATCAGTGACACCGATTCCACTTCATCTCTAGTCAAATTATGCGGTGTACCATTTCAAAATTTAATCACATTCACCAAATGATTAAATTTATGCATTTCAATTGAGACATCAAATAACTAAAGGGTCAAGCAATAGTTCTCCAAAACCTCAATCAAAAATAAAATTACAAATCAAAACTACATTGATTAAATAACGTCATAAGTGAATAACATCAATAAAACAGTGTTCTCATAAAACTTGTTTGATCAAACACATGGCTGCTGACTAAAAATCTATAATAAGGTACTCAAATTCCGATCAAAATGACTCTTTCAGAACTTAAGCAGATGTTGCTGCTGCTCCCTTCTTCCTTGGTGCTGCTTGAGTACCTATTTTAGAAAACCACAATTTAGTCAAAATAACAAACACCAGGGAATCACCTTAGTTTACATGTAGAATAGGATTGGGGAGTGAAAACAATGGATGGCAACAAGAGAAGAAAACAAGATTCTGCCAAAATGAAAGAGATTAAGAGGACATTAACCTTCTCTGAATCCACTCTTGAACCTGCGAGGTACATGGCGGAGATACCTCATCCTTCCAGTTCCAGTAGTCTTTCTTCTGATGGCCTTCACACTCCAGTTGTCTGAAAAAACAGCATTTGAACATAAATTATCTAATTTACAAACCAAGTTATAGATATAGAAAATATGCTAAATGCTTAATTACAGAGTTAAGGCCAAATAAAGATTTGAGAAAAGGAATCAAATTATGTCATGGAGCATTTACAAACTTGTGTAAAAAAAAATTCTGGGACAGGGAGTAACATTTTTACCAATCTATGTACATAAACATAAAGATACATTTATAAACATATAAGCAAACATACATTAAGGAGTATTGATCTGTGGGAACTAGAATTGGGTATAACAACAAATCAGTGGTCTAAATGCACACATAAGCATAGCTCCAGAATATGGGACACCGGCACTTGGCCAAATTCAAGTAACTCACCTATGGATACAAACCCTAATAAACACAAAATGATAGCCTAACAAAAATAAATCAGGAACGTTTACATACATACTAGTGCAGATATATATATATATTAGCTCCAGAAGTTCAACAAAGATCACCGCCTACCCGCTTATACACATAAAAAAAAAAAGCAATAACATAGAGAATAGACCAGAGTATACATACATTTCCTCTTGCGGGCAGCAGGGAAAGCACAGGCTGAACAACGACTCTTCTGGAGGTGGAAGCTGCGGCGACCACACCTGACACAGAGGGTGTGGGTCTTGTTCCTCCTCTTACCAAAACTCCCTGTTCCCTTACCCTGCAAGTTTCATTCATTTTTAACAGAGAGACGTGGATTAGCATAAAAAACGATGGGACAGAAAGTTCATAATTTTCAGATTGATAGGGAGATAGATGAGGTCTACCATTGCAGCAAATGCAGAGAAGCCCTAGCTACGGAGGTGAATTTCTGGGTTAAGGACGAGAGAGCGGCGTCTGACGAGAGTCTTTATACTAGGGTTTTTAGGGTTAGTAAGAAATTGGAAAGTGGTAATCAGGTGTGAGCGAGCTCATTTTTGCTAATAATCGCCTATCAGCTTTTAATGGGCTGGGCCAAAGCCATTGGGCCTTTTAAATTGCCAATACGTGACAAAACGCGTTCGTCGAATGGCATCTCCCTTTAAGATTGGCTCAATAGTAAACGACACATCGTTAATAGTGATAATTCGAAAATTGGAATATGCAATCCCTGCAGCCAAACAAGCCCCTTTCCTCTCGACCTCATTCTGTTTTTCGCGGGAAAATCCTACGCAAGCTCAAAATTCAACACTGATTCGATTAACTTCATCTACTAAAGAAATCAACTGACTTATTAATAAGCAAAAGCAATAGGAAAAATAAGAGAGAAAACAGCAATTCTTAGAGATGGAAAATGAAGAAAATGAGCCAAAATTTCCAGGGTTTCCGTATAAACCCTACTCGATTCAGATGGATTTCATGAAGGCACTTTATCGCTCTTTAGACAAAGGTGGTGTCTCCATGCTTGAAAGCCCTACAGGTAAAGTTCTTTGTATCTCTATCTCTACCCGTTTGTTACTGATTTAAAATTTAGAGCTTTAATATCTTTTCCTAAAATCTGAAACCTTTATGTTATAACAGGGACTGGGAAAACTCTGAGTATCATATGCAGTTCTTTACAATGGGTTTACGATAAGAGACAAAAGGAGAAGTCAAAAGCAAAAGTTGAATCTGATCAGAGTAAGGGAGATGGTCGTCAGATTATGTCTGATGATGAACCTGATTGGATGAGAAATTTTGTTGTGAAAAAAGAGGACATAAAAAAGGAGAAGAAAGTCAAGAAGAAATTTGGATTAGGAAAACAAAATGAGAGAAAGATTCGGGAAGGGTATAGAGAAATTTTTCCACGAGTCAAGGAGGAAGAAGATTGCCATATGAAGAAAGGGCATACGAGTTTGGGACAGAAAAATGATGGTGTGGAATTTAATGATGAGGAGTTTTTGTTGGAAGAATATGAGAGTGAAGATGAAGGAAGTTTAGTCAGTGGGAAATCAAAGAGGAAAGCTGGAAGGTGTTCAGTTATTTCGTCGAGTGATGAGGAAGGGGAAAAGTATGGGTCTGATGGTGAAGAGGAGGAAAAGGAGTTGAAGATTTATTTTTGTAGTAGGACACATTCGCAGCTCTCACAGTTCGTAAAGGAGTTGAGGAAGACCAGTTTTGATAATGAAATAACAGCTGTGTGTTTAGGCTCTCGGAAGAATTTTTGCATAAATGAAGGTATGATGACTTTGTAATTTAACTAGAGTTATGTGAGCATGTCTAACTTAGCTTTTGGAGTTTGCATTCAGATGTTCTTAAACTTGGAAATGCCACTCGCATTAATGAAAGATGCTTGGAGTTGCAAAAGTACGGGAAAAGTGAAGTGTCGAAGATCAAGGTATAGAGATCCATGTATTCAGCTTGAATTTAAATTTGATGCATATACTGGTTTAAGAATGTTAAGCTACTCACAAATCTGTAGATAGTATTGTTCGGAAATCAGTGCATGGATGTTTTTTCTTTGTTATTACTTTCTGAAATCAGCTAAGATCCTGCTTTTGTGATTTTAGCCTTGGAGAGTTCTTGCAGTTGCATAGACCAAGTTCTGAGGTTAATGAGCACTATGAGTACAGCCTATACTGCTCATGTGACATGAGGAACTTGCTATGATGCCTTAAACAGATTGGTTCCTTTACATTTTAAATAAATGTATTTCCATATGTTTTTGTGAAAGATAATCTGATCTTTCTGCATGGGAAATGTGACGTTGGGTTCTGCAGCTCAAGAACTAAGATTCAGTGACAGTCATAGTTTCCTCAGCTATCATAAAATGTGTATTTCATTGAAGTCATGCTTAGTGTATGAAGTAGAAAGAAACTCGCATTGTATGACATGTTACCTTCATGTGAAATCACACTATTTTAGAGAATTCAATTATTACAGGCAGTTATGGACACCATAGCCTGGCCAAATTATGAAGTCATCCTCTTTTCAGGTGTCCATAGTTTCCTCCAGTAAACTTTTTCTCAAGGAAATGTTGCTATTTGAAAATCTTAAAACACCTTACAAAAAATTAGAGACTAAATAGACTTTGCACATTTCACACAGGTGATATAGAATGGCAATTGATGACACCTTGGTTCAGAGTTTTCTAGAAAAATTCCATATAGAACTATTCTTACCTATAGATATTCAGAACACTGCTGGAATGCAGACAATAGCTGTGATTATCTGCTGTTAGGGTATGATGATTACTCTTGACGGATTGAAGTGGTTATTGCAGAACTTAGGTCTGGAGAGAAGAGTACCCCGAACCAAAGCATCTTCAAGATGCCCAATGCTTAGAAAACATAAGCAAAGGCAATTTAGGGATGAGATTTCTCAACAAGGAGCTCTGGATATCGAAGATCTTGTTCAGCTTGGAAGAAGTATGGGAACCTGTCCATATTATGGCTCCCGAAGCATGGTACCAGCAGCAGATCTTGTGGTTCTTCCATATCAATCTCTTCTATCAAAATCATCACGTGAACTGCTTGGACTGAATTTGAAGAACAATATTGTTATAATAGATGAGGCACATAATCTTGCTGACTCCCTGATCAGCATGCATGATGCGAAAATTACATTTTCAGAGGTGTCTAAACTGTTTTTTTCTGTTTGTCTCTAATAATGTTAATTGTTTCTCTCAGGTGTCTAGTTGACCAATGCAATGTGGTTATATGTCTGTTTTGGCTGCTTATTAGATTGGTATGTTCAATTAGTTGATCCATAGCATGAATTAGAAGGTCCTCTACTTCTATTGCTATGATTAAAACCTTCGAGTAGGAGTAATAATTTAAGCAATTGATGTTGATATTAAGATTTTTTGATAAATTCTAGTAGCAACTCCTTTTTTTTTTTGTTTTTTGCTCAGTTGGATCATGTGCATTCCCACATAAAGAAGTACTTTGCTAGATTTCGCAATCTCTTGGGACCTGGCAATCGAAGATACATCCAAACTCTGATGGTTGTCACTCGGGCTTTCCTACAAACTCTATCCAGTGAGAAGGATTGGAGCAATGCAAATACTTGCCAAGTTGAAGAAAAAACTGCATTTGATACTTCCATGGCCATTAATGATTTTCTGTTTTCTCTTAATATAGACAACATTAATTTGGTCAAATTGCTCCATTATATAAAGGAAAACAACTTCATACACAAGGTGATCACTTATTCTCACTTTTAATTATCATTGTAAATTGTAAATTCATGCCTACCAACTCTTTTATGATCAACATCATTATCCACCAGGTATGTGGATATGGAGAAAAAGTGGCTAGCTTGCAGAAAGATTTGGTTCTAAATAATAGTGGAGAATGCAGTGAGGAGTTGAGCATGCTTTCCAGTTTCCGGGCATTAGTAGATATGTTGGTATCGCTGACCAACAATGATGGTGATGGACGCATAATAATTTCAAAATCAAGACCAACATGCTCTGGAAGACAAGGAGGATTCTTAAAATATGTTATGCTCACAGGGGAAAAGATTTTTTCAGAGGTTTGTTGAATTTTTTTTTTTTTTTGGCTGATCTTGGAGGTCATGACAATCGTGATTTTGAGCTGCACATGCACATGTATCAATGTTTAAATTTGTCATCAAATCCTTCAAAATCTGGTTTCTCAAACTTTAAGATCTATGATAGTGAAGTTTTGCCAAATTGGCAATTATTCAAGTTCTGTTTCATCTGTTATTCAAATTAAGAGAATTAAAGTTTAACTGAAAATTCTGCAGATTGTGGAAGAAGCACGAGCAATTATATTGGCAGGTGGGACCCTGCAACCTATAGAAGAGACAAGGGAGAGACTCTTCCCTTGGTTACCACTAAATCAGCTGCATTTCTTTTCATGTAGTCACATTGTCCCTCCTGAAAGCATTTTGCCAATTGCAGTTTCCCGTGGCCCTTCTGGTCAATCCTTTGATTTTAGCTATAGCTCAAGAAGCTCATTAAACATAGTGAGTATTCTGCAGTACTCATCAATAATTGTCTTGCTAAAGTTCTCTAGTGACCTTTTATATCAATGTTGTAGTTGTTGTTATTTGGGAATGGGCTTTTGAGAGTCCAGTGGATCATTTTGTGTAGATGGTAATGTTAATTGTCGCTGCCTTTGCTAGAAAAACTTCATATTCAATATGATATTTCATTTTTGTTCTCTGAAGTTCTCTTCTCAGCAATCATGGCTGACTAAGTTGCATTGATGGGCTTGAATTATAGATAGAGGAGCTAGGGCTTTTGCTTTGCAACGTGGTGGCTGTTGTTCCTGAAGGAATTGTAGTGTTCTTCTCCTCATTTGAATATGAAGCAAAGGTCTACGATGCATGGAAGACATCAGGCATTCTTGAGAGGATTATGAAGAGAAAGTGTATATTTAGAGAACCAAGAAGAAATGCTGATGTGGAACTTGTTCTAAAGGAATACAAGGAAACAATTGATAGATCGTCTGGAAGTGCAAAAGAAGATATAGCACCTCAGAGTGGTGCAGTACTCCTAGCTGTAGTTGGTGGAAAGATATCAGAAGGCATCAACTTCAGTGATGAGATGGGTCGATGCATAGTTATGGTTGGACTACCTTACCCAAGTCCATCTGACATTGAATTGATAGAGAGAGTGAAGCATATTGAAAGTTTAGGAGAATCAAATTCTGCTAGAACCTCCAAAATTTCAGCCAGTGATGAATATTTCAGTGGGGATATTCAGGCTGCATTTAGCATCCTAAGGAGTTGCAAGCGCAGAGGACAAGAATATTATGAAAATCTCTGCATGAAAGCTGTAAACCAGTCAATTGGTGAGTGATGATTGCTAATTGTTCACGTAAGTGTATATGTCAGTTGAATAACTGAAGTTAGTTGGTACCAACTATTGTATCAGCATGCATTTCGTATGAAACCCAGGAACTGCCTGTCAAATCTTTTGATTAGATTTTCTAAAATAGACATCATAAATTTACACTTAGATTTGATATGTTTTGTTCTCTTTAGATTTGATATGTTTTGTTCTCTGTGTAAAGATATAAGCAGTTAGATGTCTTGGACTATATGGATAGCTAAGCTCTGATGGCCGATCAGAACTTTCATGACCATATTTAGAGCTTGTCAAACAACAATAGAGCATATTTCAGTACCCAAATCCTCGGCTTGACTATTCATAAACATTGCATGTATGCATATATTTTGTTGACATAGGTTATCTTATCAAAATGAGCATGACTTACAACAGAACTGCCTTTGATATCTAGTTAACCTTTTCTTTGATTTTCTTTCTTTAGGTAGGGCAATAAGACACATAAATGATTATGCAGCCATTTTGTTGGTTGACATGCGCTATGCATCTGCTTCCTCAAAAAGAAGCTTCTCTCATCCAACTAACAAGCTTCCACAGTGGATAAAAGATTGTCTTGTTTCTGCTACCACTAGTTATGGCGAAGTCCACAAGCTGCTCCACCAGTTCTTCAAATTCAACAAGAAGAGAGGTTGCCAATAGAAAGCACTACTAGAACTTTTTACTGAAATCAAATACTATTATAGAGGCTGTTATGCTGCTTTCCAAAGCAAGTTCCTGTTGAGTTGGAAATGGGTGCCTTGGACAGATTTGCAAGAAAGGTACTTCATGTCAAGGCAATTTCCATTGAGGATTATATTATATGATACAAATTCTTATTTTTTTCCAACCGATCTTACCTTATTACATTATACAAATTTGCAAATTGTATGAAGGGCCATAACCTGATTTAGTTTCAAGTTGGTGTGGCTTGGTGCATATTGTCTTTGAAGGCAGGCAGCGGACGATTGTGTGCCTGTCTCAAAAAATAGATTCACCATTTTTTCTTTGCAACTGGTTCATTATTGAATAGTAAATATTATGTAGAATACATTGATGTAGATGAGCTCGTGTTTTCGCATCACAACACATTGTATTATATGGAAGTCAACTGCCACAGAAGATATTGGACTGATGCATTGTTAATTGTTTATGCATGTTTTATTGCATCCTGTTGATATTGCTTATTACGTTTGCTCTAAATTTGGATTTGAATCATAATAGCATTTACTTAGAAATCACAATTATATATGCTCATTTTGCAGAACTATTTCTGGGTAATGTATCTCATATCATCTATGTATTCATGAGAAATTTTCCCCCTTAAGAGTGTTCTTTTGCATACAGGCATGGGCCCATGGTTCTTTCAAGAAAGCAATTATTACTTATTCAAGATATGAATCACGACATTTTGCTTCATATCATAATTTCTCTGGTCTCTCGGTTCTTCTATAATCCCTTATTTTACCCTAATCATCAATTTCTTCTCTTTTTCTGTTTGATACATCAGAAGCATTTGTACGGGATTAAGATTGTCCGAATTACTAATACCAAGCTATGTATCCAATAGTATAATATGTGGGGTTTAAAAATTCAGCTTCGGAGCAGAGACTGTTTGCTTTTGGCAATATCTGCATTATTTTCTGAACTCAAAAGCTGATGAAGTCTAATGGGTGCTGATAAACATTACAGGAGCAAATGTACTAAACCAAAAGTGAGGTTCCAAGTCCCTCCAATTCACTGTAGTAGGGAACATATGTTACCAAGGCAATTTGCATGCCTTTATCTCTCTTAAAGATTTTGATCTTACACTTAATTTCAAACCATGTATTAAAGTTAGTCTTGTTGGCAAGATTTTGACTTGGCAACTGTAAGAAAGTGACTTCACTAGGCAAAAATCTAAATGCACCTTATCTTTATATTAACTAGGTGTTGGTGCCAGTTTTGGCACCAGTCTCTCAACACACATGGATCCATCCGTCTCACATATAAATGCATTTGGGGGTTTCTTCACCTACAATTTCTGTACAAAAAGCACTAACCTAATTAGCCTTAAAGCAAAACTAATATGATCCCAAATAAGTAATCTTCCCAAAGAAGCATTTGATACTATTGGATTAAGTTATCCATAACTTCAAATAATGTGTAATAGTAGTTAAGGGTTAGTTGAATACAATTATTAAAATATCTTCAAGCCTTTAAGCCTTTTTCACCGACCCACTACTAGCTTTGGCTTTGCATCTTAATCAATACGACTACACTTTAGAGAACAATGAGTCAAAACAAAATAAACATTCATGATTTTTGGATTCCTAAGTCCATACTCTCTTACTCTTTATTAAGCAACTTTCCTCTAAATAGGGTCACTTTTTATTTGTGGAAAAGGCAACATTTGGATACCTATTCACACATACCTAAAAATTAAATTCCGTATTGATAATTAACCCAAATGCATATATTTCAAAGAATAGCCTTCTGATCTGTGATCGTAAAATTAAAATCCAACGGTTGCTAGCTTCTAAAAGATTTTCACATAGGAAAAGGTAGGCAATATCAAGAGTTTGGACAAAAAGAAGGCATATTTTGCTTTTAGACCCTATTGCCTTTGTCTTTAGAGTACCTCAAGAACCTTCAACTGTCTCTATCTTTCTTGTCTGTATACATTTAGGAGCAGAGACCAAACAGATTATAGCTGTGTCTGTAGATAGAGACACTGAGGGATTAAACAAGTTGGGGATATCCAAACAATACTTAAGCCAAAGAATGCAGCTGAAAGAATCAATTGAAAGAACCAAGATGTTCTTGCACACCGCTCTCAAAAATCTCAAGTCGTTGATCTTTGTAGGGTATCAAAAGATATCAAAACCAACTTCCTTAAACCCTTTCTCATGTGCCAAGAATCAGCAAAAAGATCAATACTACACGGAATTTTGCAATGAATGGGAGTGTGATCTTGAAAAGGCGACGAAGACGAAGAAGGGTAGCATTTTAGTAGCAAAAGAGGAAGCAAGAAAAGGAGATGGCTGCAATGGAAATTCAATGAACCTTCCAATAAGTTGTTCATGGAAGAACAAAGAAGAGGGAAAAGCGATAAAGGAAGAGAAAATCAAGAAAAGTTTGCATTCAAGAAAAGGAGAAGAACAGTTTCCAAAGAAAAAGAAGGATGAAGGAGGTTATGCACTAGCCAAGAAGATGAAAGAATTGGAAATGATGGATGTAGGTGATGTAGAACATGTGTTAGATGTAGAAGAGGCACTTCACTATTACAATAGGCTTAAAAGTCCTGTATATCTTGGCATTGTAGACAAGTTCTTTACTGATATGTACAAAGAATTCAATTCTCCACAGGCATCTGCTAGCATCAATGGATCAAAGAGAAGACTTGGATCAATTAGGCTATAGATGGATGCTCATGTCTGTGAGTTCTTTTTCTTTATTTGGTAAATTAGGCTCCAACTGGGTATTCCAACTTGCAACTTTACAGTGTTGGAGATGACTCCAGTATTACTGAGCTGAAAATCATTTATCTGTGAGTTCTTTGTGCATATTGATTTGTTCTTCTTGTCCTAAATTCTTCCTCACTATCTTATATTGAATATCTTCTTTTTTGCACTATTGGTTTTGATATTCAGCTTCCTTGTCTTCTTGTTTTGCCTAGATGTTACTATTCCTGTTCCTTTTGTAGAGTTGTGTTCAATACCAAGTTTTAGAAATCAGGAAGTGTAAAATTTGCAGGGATTCAGCTGTAGTCTGGTGGAAGGTCTTATGCCATTGTATGAGTTGACCAGTGATCAATTCCACTCTCATCTCCCCTTCCCTGTACATAAGGAATTTTATATTTACCCTTGCATTAAAGAATGTGTATTAATGTCTATTAATTACCAGAATTTCTTACGAAAAATTCTTAAATGGATGTGCAATAAATGGAGTCACAAGATTTATGAGATCTATAATTCCAACATAGTTGTAATTGATATCCCCTCTGCAAATGCTCATAAAGCCACTTAGTAGAGGAACTGTCCATACTTTCCAAATTTAAGTGTGCTGATGAATAAAACCATCCACCAAGAAAAAGAAAAAGAAAAGAAAAAAAAAAAAAACAAAAAAAAGTAATTTTTTACCATTTGCTTTTGATCCGAATGTAGAATATTGCAAGCCTAATTATAGTTAGATGATTATATTTTGAAGTTATTAGTATTTGTTACTCTTTTTCTATTTTCTATTTTGAGTGGTTTAAGGTTTACGGTTTAAGGGATTAAAAAAATAATTAATTTTCTTAAATTATAATAAAATTAAAAATAATTTGATTAAATTATTTTTTATCTTAAAATTAAGGATAATTTACAAAAATAATTATTATATCTGATATAAATAAGGGTAATATTAGAAAAATATCATCTATTACTCTTTACATCAAGTAAAATGACCACAAGACGGAGGGAGTATTATAATTAAGGGATTTCATATATGGTAATTATTATTGGACATAATGTGAAGCACATGGAGGTAGATGCATTGATAATATAGGATTTATTACTCTCAAACAATGAGAGAGAATATTCCATAGCCTCTTGACAAAATGAAAACTTGAGAAATATGTAAGGTAAAAGATAAATTTGAAAGGTTATTTCTAATTTCACTTTGAGGAGTTGATTATTTAAAATCAAGAGCAAAATGAATTTAATAAATAAAATAGACATTAATTATAATGAATTTCTTTACAATGTTCTAAAGAAATTAATCACCATTGTATTGTATTATGGTTTACAAAATGTAAACTAAGTTTAATTAGAATTATACTACCATGTGTGTAGAAGTTTCAACATAGAAAATTAAATTTATTCCAAACGGATTCAGATCTTAAAATTACTAAAAAGAAAATTAAATAAAATTAAGATAAAATGCAAAACCCAATCACCACCAGTCAAAAAGATGATCACAGTGGCTCAAAGAAGTAAAATCTTAAAAAAAAAAAAAAAAAAAAAAAAAAAAAAAAAAAAGAATAAAATAGAGACATTAATTATAAGCATGAAAATTCTTTGAGCAAAATGGTTCATTAAGAAATTATTTGCAGCCATATTAGTACTAGTATTATGGTTTATCACAATGTAACTAAGTTTAATAAGAATAAGTATCTAGCGGCAAATGTGATGGTAGACAGTTTCAAACATAGAACGTTAAAATTTTAATTTCCAAAAACGGATGTCAGATTCTTAAAATTACTAATAAAAGAAAATTACAATTAAAGAATTAATGCAATAAAATGCACAAAACCCATATCAACCACCTAGTCAAAAAGATGATCGACAGTGGCTCAACACGAAGTAAAATCTTAAAAAAAAAAAAAAAAAAAAAAAAAAAAAACTCTATAGCTAGTTTTTAATTAGTTCTCATAAGCATTGTTAACTAAGGGAAATTTTATTAAACTTTTTTTTTTTTTTTGTAAGCAAGAAATTTTATTATCTTAAAATTGATAATATGGGATTACCGTCAGTTTCCAAAGAAATTGTCAATAATCGGCGTTTTAAGAGAAAAAAGATTATTAAAGATCACATATTTAATAGGAAAAAAAAAAATAGTAAACCACCGTTACGAGTAGAAATGGAGCGCAACATCGCATTCATAATGATACATAAACTTTTCCATTTGTCTTTTTAACATGGAAATATGAGAAGTGCGTGAAATCAGGGGTAAGCACGAAGATTAACTAAAAATGCCACTGTAACTAACTTTTTTGTTTAATGGTGATTCACTCGTAGGCGGAATAAAATGCCCCGTTTGAGGGACGAGAATGCCCTTGTTCCGTTAGCCAATTCCTGGTTGCACCTCTTTCCCTCGTCCAATCCAGTAATATGCTCCCAACTCCTTAATTTGACCAAATTCTGAGTCCCAATATATTTTGTTAAAAAAAAAAAAAAAAAAAAAAAAAAAAAAAAAACTCTATAGCTAGGTTTTAATAGTTTCATAGCATTGTCTAACTAAAGGGAAATTTATTAAACTTTTTTTTTTTTTTGAGAAGAAATTTTATTATCTTAAATTGATAATATGGATTACCGTCAGTTTCAGAATTTGATCAAATCGCTTTAAGAAAAAAGATTATAAAATCACATATTTTATAGGAAAAAAAAAAATAGTAAACCACGTTAGAGTAGATGGAGCGCAACATCCATTATATGATACAAAACTTTCCATTGTCTTTTAACGGAATTATGAGAAGTGGCGGGAAACAGGGGTAGCACGAGATTACTAAAATGCCACTGTAACTAACTTTTTGTTAAGGTGGATTCCGAGGGATAAATTGCGTTGGGACGAGAATGCCCTTGTTCGTTAGCCAATTACTGGTTGGCCCTCTTCTCTCCAATCCAGTAAATGCCAACTCTTATTGACCAAATCTGAGTCCCAATAATTTTTTTTTCCATATTTATTTTTAATTTTTATTATTTAGATATTTTTTTATTTATTATGCTCTGAATCCAACTCAAAATCATGTAATATTTAAAATGAATAGATAACTCATTATTTAAAAATAATTATTTTTTTAAAATTAATATTCAAATAGAATTATAATTTATATATTTTATTTAATTTATTAAACTAAAAATTCTAGACAAAATATTGAAATAAAATATCATTTGTGTTTCAATCTTAAAATTTGTGTTTTTCCTTGCAATAAAATACACCTATTAATATAATTTTTAGCTCGAAAGCTATTTACTAATGGAAAATAAAATCTATAAATAAAAAATCAATTGAGTTCAGAGGCCCGGGCCCACTTAGACCCTCTCCCTCAAACTTGTTCCTGCCTGAAATTAGCTGTGAAAACTGATTCAGAATACACATGGTGAGAACAAGAACGTGCTTACAGAAGACAGACCTTAATCACTTCCCTTCCGATCAAGAAAAAGAAGTATTGTATAGTAAACAGTACTACATTAATGAATCAAATTTTAATGATCATAACTTTACATAAGCATGCCATCTGGCATGTAATCCAATTCTTGCCTGTAACTTGCTAAAATGAAAATGAAGACAAATAAGCCAGTAGTGCTGTATGAAATGAAAGAGAGATGGGACCTCAAACAATCTCCAAACTCTCAAAACCAAAAATAAAGAATACAAGAGATGCATTATGCATAATGGCCAGTGAATCACCCGGCAAACTGCTTAAAAAATTCACACGAAATTGCATTTCCAAATCCACTTGTAGGCCAACAATCTTGCAGCCGACTCGAAAGAAGTTACCATTCATCATAGTGATATCTGCTTTTCCATTAAATTAGTAGCCGGAAGAAGATACTAAAACATTATGCTCCTTCAAACGCTTCTGGAAATGCAACAAACGATTTTGTAATTGCAGTATCCCTGCAGCCTTCTGAGAAAGAATGGCATTTAATCTTGTAATATAATCATCAAGCTGATTCCCTGGTTGATCTGCTTCAACCAATAGGTTCATCTCCTGCAAATTACAAATGAATATGCATAAAAGGGCACAGACTCGAAAACAGCAGATCCATAAAAATCAGTGAGGATGGTTTGCCAATGAAACTTGTCATTCAATTCCAAAATCTACTTTTACTATAAAGAATCCTTTAGAATTCAAATCTTGCAGCATGCTGAAAGTATTTTTATCAGCACATCAGAAGCAACACCAGAATCTTCTCCCCATTCCAACCAGCAAGAAAGACCCAAGGGTGGTGGAGAAAAATGTACTAAGAATGAGGGTAAAAGGAAATGGGCTTCGAGCTCAGGTACAAGTATATAGTAAAACTGGAGAAATTTGGAGACATCACATACCTCTCTAACAATGTTCATTGTCTCCTCAACCTGTTTTCTATGTGCATTGACAAGATCCTCCTCTTCCTGACAATACGGAGCAGAAATTAAAATGCCAACAACTTAGTTTCTGCATATCTCAAAGAACAGCATACAAATACAAATTCATGTTCTAATGAATTACCTGTAACAGAGCATTCAAATCATCATCTGAACGCGAGTTCTTAAGAATAGACCTTGATGGTTCTTTCCATTTTGTCATGCCATTGGGTTTTCGCATTTTATCCTCTGACGTAGATATATTGTATGATTCCACCTTCCCATTCTCCTTCCATACTGGTTTCTCTTGTTCATAGGAGTCTTCAGATGCATCAAAATCATCTCTTTCATCTTGCTCTGCCCATGCATCAGTTATGTCATCCTCAAAGGTTGAAGTAGCAGGTAAAACTGATGATAAGGGCATATTAGTTGACTCCTTCATATTTAAGGTTGAAGACAATATGTCCTTCTTTGGACCATTCCCTTTAGAAAGGCTCTTCACTCTGGAATATAATTTTCAAAGAACGAAAAATTAAGGTATCACCTCACAAAAGAGTAAAAGTACTGCAGGACATTTTCTGTAGTTCGTTTCACCTGTCAGCATATCTTAAGGTGTTGAGAGTATGTTCACATGATCCTGAGCTTGGTGAAATGCAGGAAATCATAACAGTGCGGGAATTGCCAACAAAAGAATCCCTTAGAACCTCAGTCAATTTACTGCCTCTGAAAGGAATATGACTCTTGTCGTTGTCAAGAGCTCTAATGCATTCCTTCAATGCAAGTAAACTCTTGTTGATCTCTGCACCTTCCATCCTACACCATTTATAGGAAACAATCAAATCAAACATCCTAATCCATCATATAAAAAAATTACTTACTAAACTAGAACATAGTGTTACAGCATCAATTTTAAAATCTGTTTTAGCACAAGTAACTCAGTCTAGTCAATTGGTCAATAGAAAAAAAAAAGTAGAAAAAGCACAAATTTGAAGAGCAGTAAATTACATATATTATCTATATTCCATATACAAATAAAATATAATAGTTCATTCCCAGTTATGTTGTCAAAGATAGCAATTTGTTGCTTTTGGAGTTCTCAGGATCCTGGTGAGTTGAAAAAGACAAATACTTCCAGCTTAACATACTAAGTTACTAACTATTGCAACTGCTGCTCCATATGCATTATTTGCAATGGTATGTGCTTGAATATCATTCTTCCTTGTGACGAACATAACATGAGCAGATCCTTAATTTTCCTTACAGCTTGTTTGTTTTGTTGTAAAATAGGAGTGTAAAATAATTCGTGACAATTTCTTGGATTTCGCAAAAATACCCTGTTTGGGAAGAAGATAAAATTGTGAGTGGATGTAAAATATTCCTTATTTTACTCCAATTTACTCCCCAAAACGGGAGGAAAATAAGGCAGCAAGGTGGAAAACAATGTAAATTAAATTTATTTTTACTCCCTCCAATCCAAACAAAGAGTGTAAAATAAGGAAGTAAAGTGAGTAGTACCATTTTACTCCCTCATTTTATATCCTCCCTTATTTTACATCCTCCTCTATCCAAACAAAGCATTAGTGGTTTTACCATGGGTATTCTCAGAAACTAGAAGGAAAATTGGACTATACCTTGTCTGTTTATCGTTATCTGTGGTATCTGCACCACGTTCACTTCCAGCAAGATCTATAAAGGAGAGCTTGCCAACAAGACGTGGAGGCTTTGACTCGCTGCCATCAACTGACCTCTTGATAGCAAGTTGGAGTATAGCATGTGAACGAGATGATTCCTCATTTGCACCTGTTGTACCGGTACTTCTTGTAGCATTTCCTTTCTCAATGAGGTCCTTTATTGTCTCTACATCTGATACTTTGTACTCTTGTAAACCAACAATGCAAACTTGCTGCTTACCATCCTCTCTCATGCAAAGCTTTCTATATAAGCAGAATTTCAATTGTCAGCAAATTCAGAGTACAACTGCTAACTAAATAACCAGACAAGGACAGATTATGCAACTTACTTCCGATCACTAAGAAGATCAAATAGTTTTCCACCATATATTTCAAAGAAGCTCACAAATAGCTGAAACCCTTGGTTCCTGTAAGTATGATGCATTAACCTCAGGATATCTCGTGAAGCCTTGAGGGGTAATGGTTTCATAGTGTAGGTTTTTCCACTTCCTGATGAGGGATGAAAAAATCAGTACAGGCTGGTTTTACAGCAAATAATTTTATTAATAGATTAGATCATTTGACATTTATTACCAATAAAAGTGAAACCATAAAAACTCATTGGTATAACCAAGTCGAGAAAAGTATCTGCTGGTGGATGAATCAAGAGCATGAAGGTAAAATATCCAAAATAGGGGATTCCAAATAAGGAACAACACATGATTATGGAATAAAACTTCCAGGCATAAGTGACTCAGGATGATCTAATGACTTATGAACATGGAAGGAGGGAAGTAAGAAAATTTCAATAAGAAGTAACATTTAAACCATCATCAATTATCTGTATAATGGAGGGTTACATATAATCAGGCTCTATCAACCATTGCTAGGCTTCTGATGGTGGATGAATCAGGAGCATGAAGGTAAAATATCCATAACAGTGATTCCAAATAAGGAACAAAATATGTTTATCCTCGCCAAAAAAAAAAAAAACACAAGATTGTGTAATGAAACTTCCAGGCATAAGAGACTCGGATGATCTAATGATTTATGAATATGGAGGGAAAGAAATAGTAATTAATCCTTAAAATCATTATCCAGGAGTAGCACTTCACCTGTTTGCCCGTATGCAAAGCACGTTGCTTTTGTGCGTTGAAAAATTATTGGAACTATGGGTTCCACAGTCTCACGATAAACCTATATAAAAAATTAGTAATCAGCATGTTCCGAGAAAATACTCAAACTTTGAGGAGTTATTTTATTCAGTCTCAATTACTCCACCAATATCCTTACCTCATCATTTGATACTTCCTCATTTAGCACTGCATCAAAAACAAACTCATGCTTTTCAACATATTCCGTTAGATCAACCTGAAAAAGATTGACATCTAAAATTATTAGAAACTCTAGATGTTATTAATTGAAATCAGAATCTGTCAGCAGCAGAGCAGAGTACCAAATTTAGAAAATAGGTGGAACATGATTATAACCTATTACAATGAGCTTAACAAGATAAAAAAGTAATGTTTTTATAAGAAATTGATCAATCAAATTAGTTTACATACAAAACTTTGCTGCATTGCAAATCATCATTCATACTGTCCATCTGAATAGACTTTGTCATACCATTTTCAATCATTTTATTCTGGATTACCGGAAGGTACAAATTTGAGAAAAAATATTGCCATCTAATTACATTTAGTTGACAATTTTTTTTATGTTGTACTCTCAATCCAAAAGATGATGAAATCAACAGAAAAACTTACCTTAAGCTTGGTCTCATGAACTGTTAGAGAATTGGAAAGTGTTTCTATTATGTCTTCTTCATTTTTCGCCAGCTCCTTTTTATTCATTGGTCTCTTGCGGACCTGCATTGAAAAGCATAAGAGTGAATAACAAGCTATCACTCTACAATTGCAGTTCAGTGGGAATTACAAAAGTTCCACCAAGCTATCACCAGCTCCCATCAGGCAGGCATTGAAATAAAATTTTGGGAAAAGAATGGAACAGTAACATATAGAAAGCATCAGTGAGAGGAAAAGTCAGAAACACAATTTGAGAGAGCTTACCACAACTTTGATCTTTGCAACAGAACTGGCTTTCTCTTTGTCTGCGGCAAAGCTCTTCAGGAGATTGTTATCTGGTAAAACAGGAGCTCTGCTAGTTTGCTGCTTATTTGAAAGAAAAGGTTCAGAGTCATCAAAGCTTCTACCCCGGACAGGATGAAAGAGAGAGGAACCATCATACAGGCCAGGAACTGGCATCTATCCACAAAGTAACAACAATACAATGAGCATAGATAAGATTGCAAAAGTAATTCAACTGATCCCAACATCCACTCTCAAATTTAAAACTAAGGAGCAAAGACTGCCAAAGACAAATGTTTCTTTCAAGCAATAATTTCAAGGATAATTTCTCATACATAACAACAAAATCAAAAATAAACTTTGAGTAGATAAAAAAACGAGTGCATCTATCAGCTAGAAAACAGATTAGATGATGATATCTAATCATCAAGACTCCCAGAAACAAAATGTAACTCATTCGCTAGAAATGATAAGAAACCCACCTCAGGAAGCAGCTCAGTATCAAATGAATGGAGATCCAAGAGCCCAGGACTGAACTCATTTGGAGAGTCTTCGCCATTCTTTCTCTGACTAGATGACCGTGAACTAATAGGAGGGGTAGTAGGCTCTACATAAAACTCATTTACTCCATTAAAACCCCTAGGCGCATTGCGATACATTCTCATCCCCTGCCCTCCTCCTCCACCGCCACCACCACCACCGCCATAGAAATTATAGTCCTGTTGAAAATATTAGCCTCAGATCTATAAAAACCTATACAGTGAACTGCCTTTAGAGGTTAAGGAATTAAACAAAAGATCTGCAGATTTAACTGATTAAGAAATATTTTCTTTACTCCCATATTCTTGGCAACCAAACAAGACTAGTATGGTAAGTTTTTGAAATGCTTAGATCTGTAATTTCCATTACATCAAAAACCAATTTCCAAAATGTAACCAAAAAGCCCATCGAATTCCCATTAAAAACCAAAAAATCAAAAATTTTCAAAAAAAAAAAAAAAAGTTAAGAGAATCCATTCGGCCAGCCAAGTCAACTCATGAACTCAATTAAAAGACCAATAAGAGAAAACATAAGAAGACAATAAGCTTAAAACCTGGAGAGGAGGGATTGAAGAAGAAGAAGAAGAGTTCTGAAGATGTTGAAGACCAGCAGATTGAAGCCATCTACCATTCGATGAAGAATCTAAGAAATTATCAGAGTATTGTCTTTGATGATGCACTGCTGTTGCTCCAGATCTCTGTCCTTGCCTTCCCATTCCGTTCATATTCCTTTATCCGACTCAAATCTCTTCTCCTTCTCTCACTCAATCTTTTACCAGCTTCGATCAGTTCATGTGATATTTATGTAACACTGAATCTAATATATGTGCGTACAATAAAATGAAGTAAGGTTAAAGCCTTACTTTGTCTCTCTTAAATGAGAGCTGCTCCTCTTTCTTTCTCTCTTACAGAAGTTATTTGATCTTTATGAGTCTTTCCTTTTCCCCCTCTCTCTCTAAAAATTTTTCTTTCTCTTTCTAAATTCAAAATAAGCAACGCTCTTTCTCTCTCTAACAACCAGTCACTATAGTAGTGACAAGCAGGCAACAAAAGTTTACACATCCACATATTTTCATTTTTATTTTTCTTTAAAAAAAAGAGAAATTGAAATCAAAAGCATAGGGAGAAGCTTATAATATTTTTATTAATATATTTAGGAGAAGCTTATAAACTATTTATAACATATTATATAATATATATAAGTATACAATATATAAATATTATCCAAATATTAATTTCCTTTCTTAAAAATTATAAACTTAATAGATATTGAAATATGGGAATGAAAATATAATCACATTTAAGTTAATTTATTATCCAAAACTCAAATACATAATAACACACTATTATATTTTAAATCGAATTCATAACTCCACTTTTATGAATTTAACCAATAATATATATATACCTCAAAATATTAATTTCCTTTCTAAATTTAACTTAATGATATTTGAATATGGAATTTGAATATAATCACATTTAAGTTAATTTATTATCAAAACATTCTAAATACTAATAAATATTATATTTAAATCGAATTCATAACTCCATTTATGAATTTAACCAATAAAATTAAAAACCTCAATTGAAATATATTTTAAAAAAAAGAATAAAGTTAGAATATAAACCACATCTAAAAATTCATCTAATTAAGAGAGAAATAATAAATTAAAAAAAGAGAGAAGATAAAAACAAATAAACTTTTATTTTAATAAAATTTTTTGTGTGTCATAACAAATAAATGGTGCATTATGGCCTATCTTTTGTGTGTATTTTTTAAAATAAATAAGTAAAATCGAAATTCCCCGATTGTAATGATATGCTTAATCATTTGTATTTATACATAAAAATACAAATTGTGCAAAATAATTTTGGAAGATGTTACTATTGAAATTTGCCCAAATTTAGAGTGGATGAAAAGAAATTTCTTTTTTAGTATATTAAAAAAATAATAACAGAAAAAGACATTTATAAAGACAAACACAGAATTGAGTGAAAATGAAGGAGTAGAGTAGGGAGGGAGGATAGAGATCCAATTTTTTAAGACAGCGAATGCGAAGGGACAAGCACGGCACGTGCGTCTACTGTTGATTCATTCGCATCCAGTTCCAATTTTCGGCGATGCCAAGCGGGCCCCAGTGGTTGTGCGGGGCCCTTTATTATTATTCTTATTATTTATTATTTTAATTTGAATTTTCACCTATTAGCGTCACCCACCGTCCCACATGGCGGGACCCACTCAAGTTTTTTTATTATTTCTGTGTACTGTAGTCCGTTAGATATTTAAATTTCGTGGATTGGAGGGATTCATTGAGATGTCGACACGTTTCAAATCAGAAGTCGGTGAAGTCCCAATATGGTGAGCCCCGTTTATCAGATCGTACGGCTGATTTTAAAAATTAGGGCCGGTAAAACAAAGATGATGAACATAGATTTTGTCACTTCGTTAAGAACCAGGTCGGAGCGAGGGACTCGTGGGTCCTGCATGGAGCCTGATCCGCGCAATTATTTAATTATTTTCTTAATAAATTCTCCTAATTCCAAATTAAGCAGAACAGGTGTAATTAAGACCGTCATGGCCGATATAGTTTATGTTAAAAAGCAGAGAGCTTTTACAATTTGTTGAATGTATAATAAGCTTATCAGAAAACATCTGATTCGAAAACTAGACTTTGTATGACAGAAAAATAGCCATTGAAGGATTATACTTAAACTTCAATGACAGATTACATTTGATGATCTATTAACTGTCTTAATACTATTTTAATTACTTAAGTGTAGATAGATTCTTATTGATCAAAATTATCAAATGAATTGTGTTTTTAAGAAAAAAGCCATATGATTTTAAATATTAATCACACTGCCAAGAATCTTTGTCCATGCCGTTTGTAAACCCAGCAGCTTTGCAGCCATGCATGGACTACCCCTCTCTGTTCTGCTATCTGGTATCTTCAGTGTTGCGTTCTTCGTTGTTTTTACAGAACCATTTCTTTGCTTCTTGTCTCTTTCTGCTTATCCATAACACTTTGGAATTTTAAAAACAAAGTTTAATTATTTGTAATCAATATTTTCAATAAAGTATTTTCCTAATCAACATTCTTAATGGAATATAAATTAAAAAGATAAATTTTGGCTAAATGCATATTAAAACTCTATTTTTATTTTGACTCCGTCGAATACTTTAACTCATAAGATTAAATTGATTAAATAATTTATTCTGTGAAATTATTATATTGAATATTTTAACTAATAAAATTAGCTCAATTAAATACATAGAAATTATTATTCTAAAAATATATTAATTACGTATAAAGTTTATACTTTATATATAAATATAAAAATTTAAAAGCTGTTATTGTTAATAGGAAATATATGCAATATTATCAAATTTGAAAATATAGGCACAAGTATTCACCAAAGTTCGATTAAAATGGTAAATTAACAAACATATTCTGGAATTCATTTTTAAATTTAAATTTTGTATTTGTTATGAAAAAAATGAAGAATTCAATTATCTGAATTTAATTATATGGATTTGAATATAAGTAAGTAAAATTTTATCAAAAAACATGAAAATTTTAAATAAATTTCATAAATTTAAACGGCTCAAAATTTTATGTAATAACAACTTCATTTTCCTAATTTTTTTAAATTATTATACTAATGTATTTTAGAAAATACAAAAAAATGAATTTTAAATTTTGATTTTATTCTAAGTATGAAAAATTTATTTATAAATGAATTATATTTAAAATTAATTAATTTGAATTTCACATTTTGAATTTATCAAACAATGCATAAGTGTTTTTAACATTATTCTTTTCATTTAACATATAGTATTATAAATTCTATTTATGAATCTTTGATTTAAAAATGTAGTACATGTTTAGCAATTCCTTAATTCTTAAAGGAAAAAGGAAACTATTACCTTTCCTGCCCAAAAAAATATAGTCAAATTAGTTTAAGGTGTTGGAAATGGGAACTATAAAAATCAAATTAATTTTTAAAAAAATTCAAATAAAATATAATTAAGGGATTTTTAACACTTATAATTAGAGAGATAAACATTGATTACTAGTAGGATTAAATTATTATAAAATTTGAATTAATACAAAAAACTATTTTTAGAAAAGCAGGGAAAAACTATTTTTAAAATATTTAAAATTCTATTGGCGTAAACTTCTACAATCCAAACAGCTAAACAGACAGGTAAAACAACGTTACAAAAACGCCTTTTTAAACTTTGAAAAGTAGGAATGGAACCGAAATTTCTACATTTTTCCATTACCCACCGACTAAACCTACCTCGAGACTCCGTCGAACCTTCTCGACTTTTCCTTTCTCTGTACATGGATTCTCTTCTAATTATCTCTATTCCACTATAGAAGAAAGCCAAACCCGAGGAGTTCAGATATTGATTCTGCGATCATTTCTAGTCCATTTTTGTTCGTTGTTTCTCTCAGGCATTTTCACAAATGGAAGAGGATGGAGCTGTAACTCTCTACAATAGCAGCGCCATTACAGATGCCAAGAAGAATCCATTTTCACTCAAGGTAGGTTTAGCTCAGATGCTTCGGGGTGGCGCAATTCTCGAAGTCACTAATTTACAACAAGCAAAAATAGCTGAACAAGCCGGTGCTTGCTCAATAATGCTGGCGGAACCAATGCGTCAAGGAATTAAGCGCATGCCTGACCCATCCCTTATCAAGGAGATAAAACGTGCTGTTTCAATCCCTGTAATAGCTCGAGCTCGTGTTGGCCATTTTGTTGAGGCCCAGATACTGGAAGCCATTGGCGTTGATTATATCGATGAAAGTGAGCTTCTTGCTTTAGCAGATGAGGATAATTTTATTAATAAGCATAATTTCAGATGCCCATTTATTTGCGGGTGTCAAGATTTGGGGGAAGCGTTAAGAAGGGTAAGGGAAGGTGCGGCAATGATAAGGACACAAGGAGAGGTATTAGGCCATGGCAATATCGCCCTGACTGTTAAGAATGTGAGAAATGTAATGAAAGAGATTCGAGTTTTGAATAACATGGACGAAGATGAGGTTTTTGCATTTGCTAAAAAGATAGCTGCTCCTTATGATCTTGTAGCCCAGACTAAGCAAATGGGAAGGTTGCCTGTTGTGCAGTTTGCTGCAGGAGGGATTATGAGTCCTGCAGACGCAGCTTTAATGATGCAATTGGGTTGTGATGGGATTTTTGTAGGGAATGAGGTTTTTGATTGCGCTGATCCATATAAGCGAGTAAGGGCTATCGTGCAGGCTGTTAGGCATTATAATGATCCTCACGTGTTGGTCGAGAGTAGCTGTGAATTGGAGGATGCAATGGCAGAACTTAATCTCAGTGGAGACAGGGATTCAACAGTTTAATCGCAGCGGGGACTAAGAATTATAGTTCTAAATACTAGTGTTTCTTTCTTGTATGCTATTAAGAATTATAGAGATTGGTGTATCTTGTTATTGTGTTAATTTTGATCTATACATGTTGTATGCTGTTTCTTATTGGCTGGATATATAGACACGAATTTGAATAAAGTCTTGTGTTAGTGTTGTAACAGAACTGGAAATCGCATAGGTTTTCTTTAAGAGGCAGCGAAATTGCAAAACCATTTAATTGTTTCTGCGTCTTCCGCAATTTAGAGGCCGGATTGGCTGACTGCTACTCTTTTTTTTTTTTTTTTTTTTTTTTGGGCCGATTGCACAAATAAAATATAGAAAAAATCGAATACATCATAGCACAAAAACGACTATTATACACCAAAGACAGAAATAACCGGCTCCGCCAAATAGAGACCTGACGCTCACTTCTTCATTTTATTATTTTTTTTTTTGTCTATTTGAATGTTAATATGTTCTATAATTGCATTCTCAAAGCTAGCTTCTGCTCCACCATCCGAGAATTAAACTGCTACCAGTCTTTTACTGTAACGTTTTTTTTTTTTTTTTTTTTTTGTCTATCTTGAATGTTAATATGTTCTATAATTGCATTTCAAAGTAGCTTCTGCTCCACCTTTTCTCGAGGATAAAACTGCTACCAGTTTTTACTTGTGTCCCCGGTTTTTAAAATTCAGAGGAAAGGAATACTGTTACCAATTTTAGAGAACTACCATCTAAGGTTATTATCTTAACAAAGAAAATAACTTTCTATGTCGGTCTTTCTAGATTCACCCACCTTTAGTCTCATCCAAAGACTTCTAAATCTACCCAAAGTGATACTTCCTATCTCCTTCCTCTTTTCCTCTGCTAATTTTAACATGCAAATATACACCATTTTACATTTTGATAGGTAATAAATTGAATCCACGTTGGACCTCATCTGAAGCTTTTACAACATTAAGCCGTACCTGTATGCTTCTTATCTCTATTCTTTTCCTGGTATCTACACATTCTTGATCTCAGTGGTTCTAAAACATGAAGGTCGCGAATAGCAAAGTGATTCTTATCTCTTCCGCACTTGCGTTCCTTGGGTGATGCTACAATACCATTTTTTGACAGCTCAGGTGATATTGATAGCAAAGAGAACCGCCTGAGGGTGAAGTTGCGATTGACCCAAGAGCTCCAAGGAGGAGTAATCGTTGAGGTGATCAATGCAGAACAAGCAAAAATAGCAGGGGAAGCTGGAGCTTCATGTGTTGTTATTTACCATGGTAAAATTTCGCATGCCTGATCCACACCTTGTCTGGGAAATCTGGCAGGCAGTCTGAATTCCTGTGATGGAAAGAGTCCGCATCGGGCATTTTGTTGAAGCCCAGATTCTGGAAGCAATTGGAGTAGACCATATTGATGAAAGTGAGCTTCTTGGTAATGCTGACAAGGAAAATTACATTAGCAAGCATACTTTTCGGATGCCGTTTGCATGTGAGTGTAGGAATTTCAAATAGGTATTAACAAGGATAATGGAAGGTGCAGCCACACTATGGGTCCAGGGACAGGTATAAGGTGGGAATTAGGTGGGCTGGGGGACGTTTCTGAGACTGTTAGGAATGTTAGGTCAATGAAAAAGGCAAGAAATTTAACCAATACTAACGAAGATGAGGTTCTCTCTTTCACAAAGGAGGAGGTATCTTATGATCTTGAAGCAGAAATTGAGCGCATGGGTAAGCTTCCTTTTATGCAATTTGCATTAGGAGGCATAAGGACTCCTGCAGATGCAGCGTTCATGATGCAATTGGGACGCGATGCCGTGCTTCTTATATCTGAAATTTTTGGATGTAATGACCAGACATTTTCTACAATTCAAATACATACAAGCAAGTTCGTGCAATTGTTCGTGCTGTTAAGCACTATAATAATCTTCGTGCCTCGGCAGAATGCAGCTATGGGTTGGCTGATGTTATGGCGGAGGATGTGCCTCCCTCGCATTCGCATGTTAGTTCATTTCTGGATTGGCATAAGGTTCTCCATAGAAATTTGTACAAGGGTTCTATCTTTAGAAGCTGTTTCAAATTGATAAAACAAAATAAAAATATGCAGGGTAAAATACCTGTTCAACTTATTGATTTCTTCTGTCACAATGTTTTGTCATTTATATACAACTAGTTTACATTTATATTAGCAGGGCAGTGGCCTGATATATGCATTTTTTATTTCATCATTGTTAATATCACACACATAGAGGGGGCAAAGTTTCATTTGGAAACAAGATCATTTTGTTATGTTCTTGTCTCTGCATATGAACTTACAATTTCCTCGTTGAAATTGCATGCCATATGCAATTTGATTCTGCTTTAAAATTGTAACTACAGATAAATAATGATAACCATTATAACCAAAAAAGATAAATTTCTCCTAAATCCTGTTCTCTGCTTGAATGTTTCCATTGTTAAACAAACACCTTAATGCAATCTCATAAGCAGAAAATATTGCTCCATTGACAACAAAAGCTCTTGCAACAGCAGTGCCCAAACCACGCCAGAGCACGCTATAGCCTTCTTCTTTAACACTTCTGCGAAAACAATCCAAAATGCCATTATACTTGTGCGGCGAAGATGGTGTTTGAGCTTGTAATCTAGTTTTGATAACATCTAATGGATAGCAACAGACCCAACTAGCAACTCCTGCTAGTCCTCCTGCTACCAGCATTGTTTGTAAGCTTTCTTGACCTGTCTTTCTACAGCCAGGGTGAAGTTGTTCCCTCATGTACTCATACGTAAAAAAGTAGAAGCCATGAGAGGGTGCATCTCTAAGCATAGTGATCGTAAAGCCGCGATATATTCCTCTTGCACCCTCTCTTCTTATTATACTTTTAGCCACACTTATTGGACCTTTATGACAATCCATCTGATGGAGTTTTGATTGACTTTTGTCCTGCAGTTGAAGGCGGATTTTCACCAATTCAACAGGTGATAGCATTATGCTTTGCAATGCTCCGGTGCCAACTCCTCCTATGGCAACACCTTTGTAGGAAGGAGGATCATTAACTGAAACAGAAGAGTCGAACGCTCGAGAAAGGATGGCATAGATCTGGAAAACCATAGCATTCTGCAACAAACAAACATATTTTCCAGTATGTCATATTCCATTCTTGAATCTATTAGTTTAGTATCTCACTGATCAAGTAATTTCCTATTCCTAGTGAGGAGGTCTTGGTCTCCATGGTAAACAATGGATATCCTTTTGGTGGAGGACAATTGCTTTAGGCCTGCTTTGATTGATAAAGTGAAGAAAAGGTTTTTCTTTATTATGGTGGAAAACAAAAGGCACAAAAAAGGATATCCACTTGGTGGAGCCAAGGCAAACATAATATTTGTGTGGTAAGCTATCTGTATAATATAATGTCATATCAGATAAGTAGGGCTCCATTATCAGCCAAATTTCTGGAAAGTGGTTTCTTTAAAAAATTGAACAACAAGACATGGTCAATTATCCCATCACTATTGAATCATCACAAAAGCAATCTCAATAAGAGCTGATGTAGTACTATATTCTAGAATGGAATTTCTAGACCCCACGAGTTGAATCCTACTGATAATTTTCTACTAACATCAACTTCAATATCAAGACTTAAAAAAAAAAAAAGAAAAGGAAATGAAATGAAAAGGGAAGAACAAAAATCTAAACAAAACTCTTCTCTTAGACCAAAATAATCATGATAAGGTTTCCAAATCCAAGAAATCTCAAAATATGAAAACAGAAAAAAATATTAATAATTAAAAAAGAAATAGAATTACCTGAAAGGTGACTGATGCTGAGGGTGCAGCCATCCCCCTATAGAGTGCACCAGGCCCTTCTGTAGCCACAACACGGCGGAGGATGCTCAAGGCAGAGCCAGATTTGGCATTCTGTTGTTGCCTGATACGCAGGGTGTCAAGTGGATAACCAGATATTACACCTGCAACGCCGCCAAACCCACCAGCAACAAATTCTTTCCCCCAACTACTAGCAAGAAACTCTGGCCAAAAATCCATTATACCTTATCTCTCATTCTATGAAATACCTCAAAATCTTGATCTTGACAAAAACTTTATTATATGCCTGTGATTATCATCCAATAATCAAGACATAAAATCACCTTTGCTTACACGCATGAAAAATTGAAAACATATAAAAACGGCAACTTTCTGCCAAAAAACAGAGCTCTCAATACTTTCTTCTTAATCGCCTACTTTTTCCAAAATTCACAAGTATCCTGCCTAATTTTGATGTAGAGAGGTATATACCTTCTTTTTAGTTTTGAATAAAAAGGAAAAACGTTTCTGATAAATCTACCTTTTAATGCTCTTTTCCTCTCAAAATATAGAAAAAATATATATATTTCAAAAGATCTTTACTTCCCTACTCAACCCAGAAAAGGAAAATAATCTTTAAGAAAAGTAGAATTGAAGAGAAAGATGAAGAAGGAGAAGAGTGAGAGAGCACGTTTTTTGGTGATTGTGTAAGAAAAAAAGCACCGAAACAAATGCCAACGTTAGCTATTTTGTTGGGACTGAAGTAGAAAGAGGAAACGGCCAACGTCCACTTTCCAAGCATTCAATAGGAAGACGACAAGTGGCCATGCATATGATGTAGCTGGTACCAAGTGCTCTGAGCCTAGTGTTAAACAACCTTTCTGATTGCTTCAATTGGAAGGGCTATCGGTGGCAGAGTGACTCACTCTCAGGCAGGCCTGTAAAAAAAAGAAAGGCCCATATATTCCCCTTCGACACTATTGGGTTTTTTGGTGGAAGAACTGAAGAAAAAACATGTGCCTAAAAATCTTTAAAATCATTTTAAAAAAAGAAGGTTCAATGTCGTGTTGGACTCAAATTTGGATGATTATCCTAATCTGAGATAAAAGATGAATCACGAAATAATTATATTTTTTTGGTTATATTAAATGACTTGAAATAGTCCATCAATACTTGAAATTTGAAGATAAATTAATATTTTTTAATTATAAAATATTAAACTTTAACAATATGTTTTCATTTTTTACATCTAATTTTATTTTTTTTAGAACATTGATTTTATTGTTTTAAAAATTCTAAATTTAATATGAATTTCCAATATACAAAAAAGAGAAAATTAAGATCGATTGCGCAATTAAATACGATCAAATCACTGTTTGCATACATCTCCAAATCGATACATAATCACATCATGACGTCAAGAGGATGAAGAAAAATATGCCTGCCTAACTCATCATTCGCAGCCAGATGAGGCAATGTATCAGCAACCTGATTTGGTTTATGATAACAAATATTGTAGAACACGTGCCAATCTCGAGCCAACGGATCAACTACGCAAACGGCACATTACTTGTATTTGTAGCTGAAACTAAAATCTTTATGAACCAAAGGATCCATCCCAACCACAAGCTGCCTACAACCCATGTTCCAAGCCAAGTTTAAACCATTGATCGAGGCTTGAAGCTTAGCTTCCATGGAAGAACAAACACCAAGACGGACCAAATATTTTGATGGTTAGGGCTAACAACTAATAGTACTCATTATTGCTTGATTCAGTCGATTTTGTATCACCAAGTACAGTTATTTTTCGCTACCATTATACCAATCAGCATCATCTACATTTCTCAATAAAAAATTGTCATTCTCAACTTTTATCATTTTATTAATAAAATTATCACGTTTTTTTTTTTTTTTTTTTTCTAATAGTACTCATTATTGCTTTGATTCAGTCGAATATTTGTTCACCCAAAGTACAGTTATTTTTTCGCTACCAATACTATACCAATTCAAGCATCATCTACATTTTAGTAAAAAATTGTTCATTCTCAACTTTTATCATTTTATAATTAAAATTATCATTTTTTTTTTTTTTTTTTTTGAAAGAGATAAAATTATCACGTTTGAATGCTACAATTTATACTTGTATAAAATCTAGTTTATTACTTAATAGCAAATTAATAATTTCCGAAAGGAAAATACTTCTGTATAGATTTAGCCCCTAGCCCCAACAAAAATTCATTTAATCCATTTCTATTTCAATTCATTTAATCCATAGTGAATAACCTGATTTAGATAAGTTAATCCCTTTGCCAAGAATCTAATGATTGCTTGCCTTGTTCAAGCCAGAGGAAGCAAGTGTCCTAAAACCTCTTCTTTTTTGTTTTGTCAAAGTATTAACCCCTTTTTTCAGTGCATAGCAATGATACAAATTTACCTCTTTTAACACTTTTTGTCGAACACAACCAAGAAGTGACATGAAATGGAATTGAATGTTATCATACATGAAAAAAACATACGATGGAAATAAAACATTTTTCAAGGTAATGAGAAATTCCAAACAGCTAGAAACAAAAGCAAAAATTACAATCTTGCCACAGAGAGAGCACAAACCAAAGGATATGGGTTTCACACAGTGACATTAACTTAAAGGTTCAAAGGTCCAGTAGCATTAAAAATGGAAGTACACCATCATGTTAACCAAAGGATGTCACAAACCAATACTCAAATAAAACATGTGCCATGGTAACATAATAACACGTGTAATCACACAAGCACAAATCAAATCATATATTCTATTCTGATATGGGTTTCAAGAACCTCATTTCTTTCCGCTCTTCTTGAGCCCAGTACCTCCAAATGCTCCTTTCTGGGATGCCTTGGCTCTTAGCTCTCTAAGTGCCTGTTCCAAATGTGAATCAGATCATATTAATTATATATCATTCCTCAAGCCTTCGAAAACAGAAATTACAAAGTCTGAAAATTTTATCTTGCCTTTTCTTCTTCCTTTTTTTTCTGAATGTTGGCCAAATCATTCTGCACAGAAACAAGGAAATTCAAATTTGTAACTTTTAATATAAACATTCCGACACGAGTTCATAAACAATGCTGAGATGACTTGTGTTCAAATCTGGTTCAACCAAAAGATACAAATACAATGTATATGCAAATCAGCCTTTACAAAAAAGTAGAAGCGAGCATGTTCAATTGTTTATTGATTCCTTAAAAATGCTAAACTAGCATAACAAAAATTAATATAAATTATCTCACAGCACAACCTTGTTTACATCAAATGACATATATCACATGCATTATAGTCCTATAAAGTTTAATATAAATGACTTCCATAAAATTTAGTGAATTTTATCTAGAACTTGACGTTTTTGTGTTTGATATGAATGAAAAATGTCTATTTTACTAATAAAATCTAAATTTTATGGAATTCAAACATAACTAAACCTAATTCCATCAGGTGTAAATGGATTCTACACTTAAATTCTTTTATAACAAAGAGGTTAAGGACGCTTTATTTCAAGTGAACAACATGCCAGATTTAAAAAACATAGACTCATATGATGCTTATCAAGACAAATCAATTTCATTAGGTAAACAAGGAAATACACAAAAAGAAGGTATATCAAATAAACAGAAAAGCATAACAAAATTTCGGAGAGTTTGTTTGGGTTGATGAATTTTGGGGGAGACCAGATCCATATTTCTTTTTTGAAACCGTAGTATATTCAAAGAATCTAATCTCAACTAACACTGACAATCCATCCAACTACTACTAGCTTCTCACAGAAGGCCAATTATCTTTGCCAATGCCAATTCTGGAATATGTAATATTTTCTGGTCTTGTCAACTAACAAAGATAAAGGTGTACATCAATTCAGAGAACTTTTGGCTACGCATCTGGGTTGAATTTATGCAAAATCAAAATCCACACTTCATATCACAAAAGAAACCTTCAAATCCCTAGAGTTATCAATTCTGATTTCTGATAATTATTTCTACAACAGAAAATTAACCATAAACCAATACAGCGCATTAGTAGATTGTAATCTAACAAAAAAAATTGCAGTTCAATTTTCAATCCACAGGTGCCTATAAGGTTTCCCAAATCCGACTTCTGTGAATAAATTCCGATTAAAAAAATCAAACCAAAGAAAATAATTTTCACAAGGAACTTACATATTGCAACAATATAAACTTATTCACCACCAAAAATTCATAAGATCGGAATAGAGCTATAATTCGTTAAGAAGCTTAAAATTAATATTAATATTAATACCTCATCATATTCCTTCTTGTCAGACTTGGGTTGCTTCAAAGGCTTCGCCTTTCCACCTGAAAATTAACAAAGGAAAACGAAAAGAATTTGTCTTTAACTCTCGCTTAATCAAACCCATCTAACAAATCCAGGCACTTGCGCCCTCTAAAACAGAGCATAAAGATAAAATTCACAAAAAATTAGACATACCTTGCTTGGAAGACATTGCTGGTACTTAGAATTAGGGTCTGATTTGAAGAATAAAAAAGAAATTTGAAAGAGACGAAGAGAAGCCTAACCCTAATTCACGCTATTATTGCAGCTATTTGGTGCATTGAAAACGAGTGCGGTGGCTGGTGCCCAATAAATAGAGTGAAGGGGGGGGTACACGTGCGCAGCACGTGATTAATGGCGGCCTCAAAATTTGCTAATATTACTAATGCACCCCTTGAAGCAAAATATTCTACCCAAATAATGGATGGGTACTCTTGGAATTTGGATTACATAAAAAATTCCAAAATAATAAATAAAGCTAACTAAAGCTGGGTAAATGTTTCTCAATATAATTACTCAAATAAGTTAAATACATTAATAATAATTACACTTATTCGAATATAATTTTAAAATATAATAATAGCGGATAAGCTTGTTTCTATATAAAATCTAGTCGAATTTATAATACATTCACTCTTTTAAAAAAAAAAAAAAAAAAAAAAAAAAAAAAAAAAAAAACTTAACATAGTGGTACAATTCCTAATTACTTAATCAAATATCTAAAAAAAAAAAAAAAAAAAAAAACTTAACATAGTGTACAATTCTATTACTTAATCAAATATCAATCCTCTTCAAGTGGTGTTGAATTCATAATATGATCATAAAATTAGAGAATCAGTCAAAAAAACCTATTTGCTTGCCTATAAACATGGCAAGTATATATTGAGATGTCATTCTGTATTCTAGCTATTAAAATGAAATAAATATTAAAGATTTCAATAATTTCAAGTTAACAATACAATCTTTAAGAAAAAATATATATACATATTCATAATCTTAACGTGGCGACAAGTGCATATATTTGCATCTCACACTTTAATGCTTGAAGATGAAAACTCACATAGATTGAATTTGCATTATGAATAAAAGATGTATATAGCAACTTTCTTGATTTGATTATTTTTTGATCTTCATCTTGCTTCCATCTCAGAAATTGACATTTTGTTCAACCAAAAATTTTCTGGCTTACATTCAACTAACTCGTCTTCCAACAAGTCTAACCTTTTGTGAAATGCTGGTTGTTTTGGTGGAGGTAGTTGATAACCTTCATTGTATATCATAGCAATAACATCTACCATTGATGGTCTGTTTATTGGGTTGTCCTCTACACATAAGAGACCAACATGGATGCACCTTAACACTTGACTACTCTGATATGAGTGAGTTAGTGTTGAATCCATTAGCTCTAAACCTCTGCCTTCTCTCCACAACTCCCATGCCTGCAATTTTTTAACCAATCCATTAGTTTGATCGACGCAACAATTAAATATTAATCCCAAACTAGTGAGAGTCGGTTATATGGGTTTGTTTCTTCTCCTGTTCCGCCTGATATTGTGTTTCTTCTCCTCTTCTTTTCATGTCATCATGGTTCAAATTGATTTTTTGAAATGAAAATAAAATGACAAAGATTGTAACATAACTTACATAGCCTACTAGGTTGACTGGGCCATCAGACTCATAGAAGCTGTTGTTTTTCCTGCCGCTCACAACCTCTAGCAACAAGACTCCAAAGCTAAAAACATCTGACTTTGTCGAGAAAATGCCTTCCATTGCATATTCAGGTGACATATATCCACTGTATAAATAGATGAAAAGAACATTCTCAAAATTCTGAAGTTTTGTGGGAACTTAATTACACAATATGCGATAGACCTTGTATCTACTGTATCAATACTTACTATGTTCCGACTACCCTCCTTGTGTTTGTCTGACATTCATTAGGCTCAACTATTCTAGCCATGCCAAAATCTGATATCTTCGGGTTCATTTCAGTATCAAGTAAAATGTTACTAGCCTTCAAATCTCTATGTATTATCCTTAATCTTGAGTACTTATGAAGATAAAGCAGTCCTTGAACGATACCTTCAACGATATCCAAGCGCTTCTTCCAATGTAGTGCTTGCTTTTTCTCAGAATCTGTTTAGAGTAGAGAAATTGACAGATAACTTGAGAAAGAAAATGACTAAAAGAGAAACTCAGTAGGGTTCTATTTGCTAACCAAAGAGGAAGCAATCAAGGCTTTTGTTAGGCAAGTACTCGTAGATTAGTATCTTCTCTTCTTTCTGAATGCAACAACCAAGGAGTCTAACAAGATTAGTGTGTTGCAGTTTTGCAATTAGCTTAACTTCATTCTTAAACTCTTCTGCTCCTTGCCCAGAATTTTTAGAGAGCATTTTTATGGCTACTTCTTGACCATCATTTAACATTCCCTATAAAAATAAAGGAAGAGGCTTGAACTAATAACTTATCTGCAATATCAGAAAATAAATATTGTCTAAGTCCCTTGCTATGCATACCTTAAAAACAGGTCCATACCCTCCTTCTCCAAGCTTATTTAGATTTGAAAAATTATTAGTTGCAGATGCTATGCTTTCATAGCTGAAAAACTGTAATTTTTCACTCTTCTTCCCTTCTCCTGTGAATTACCTTATTCTTTTTCCTAGATTTTCCAGAAAGAGCAGTAGGAGCTCCTAGCTCATACAGTAATATCTCTAGTTCTGTGTCAGTTTCTTCCCCTATTAATCCAGAAAAAAAAATATCGTTTTAGAAAAAAGATACTGGAAATTAATGAAGTTATTAGTTATGCTCGTTTTATTGAATATGGTGTATACCTGCTATTCTGTATTTTCTGAGAATGAAATAATATAAGGAGCTGACTGTTAGTATGAAAGTGACTACTGCGGTTGCTACAATAAGCCGTATCCTCCATTTTGCTGCATTTACAATCCAATGTCACTAGCTTATAAGCATTCTACCTCATGGCACCAGCAGTGGGGGAATTAGGCCAAATGTGCCAATATAAATTGAGATTTTCTCTTAACATTTAACAACTCAAAGAAATTGCTTAACATATAGTACCTTTGGTTGAGACAAGAAAGTATATTTCTCTGCTCAGAGGAGAATCAAATTCTATGAAATCCTTTCCCTGACTCCAAATCTCGCAACCAGTTCCATTGTCATTTGTTGACGCATAAGCAATGCAAGAGCAATTAGCCAAGCAATTAGCTTGGCAGTCAAAAATACTCAAGTTGTGACTTCCATCAAACTTGAATCCATCACTGATAGTATTTCCTTTTCTTGGTTCGAACCAATCCTCAGGTTTCCTGCAGTTCGGCAATTTTTCCTGCACACAACCAATTCTATTCCGAATAAATTCGGAACACCTACAAAATGGGGACAAACCTCTAGATTCTGTAATTTGGCCATGCAAACCTATTCTATATTGTGAGGCAGTTCGATTTTTAATCACATTAAACATGAAGTACTTTTCATTTTCATTCGAAATATAACTAAAGATTTTGGCATCTTCATAGGATAATTTGGGTACAAACTCAAAATGCCCATTCTGCCAAAGCCCGCTTGTCCAAAACACATTCCCTCGCCACCAAACAATCAGCTGGCTAGTGCCATTAGGGTCTCCACCAAAGGTTAAAGAACCTGGAGCAGGGTTTTCAAGGCTTATCCATGAAGTTAGAGACCATGTCTGCCCAGTCTTGAAATTAATACCAAGTTTCATACCTGGCAAAAGGGTGTCTGTAGGATGATCAAAGCTCTGCCATAAGACTCGCCTTACAGTTCCATCTGAATGCAGCTCCCTTAGCACAAAATTGCCTGAATCATAGATTGTGGCACTTACATTACCGACTGCTTGAACAGAACTCAATACAATAGGGCTACTTGCACTATATGAAATTTTTAGCTTGCCAAACTCATCAATGTGGAGAATACCAGATGAGTCATAGATTGGGTTATTTCTGTTAGCAACCCAAACTACCTTTTCTCTTACTGAATCATCTGGAATGTTGTTGGTTATTCCAAGATATCGGTTGCTTGGAGTGCCAAGGCTAAAGAATCCTAAATTAAAGGTTCCTTCTTCTGAAACAAGATGCTCCCAATCCTTAAGTTGCTGACCTTGTACTAATGTGCTTATTGTAATTGTAATTGAGTCACAAGGAATAATAAAGAAGATGGAGCATGGCAACCAGAGAAGGACAAGATTTCTTCCATGGATTGCCAATGAAGTATAACATTTCATTGAGAGACAAAAAGCTGGAACTTGAGTCAGTTTATTAGATGTAAATACTCCTGTATAATTACATTTTCTCTCTTGATTCAGTAAATACATTGTCAACTTTAGAGAAGGAAAAAAGAATAGTCCTGACTTGATGTTGATTTTTAACAATTTTATATATTTTAGTCTTGCCGCCTACATTGACTCTTGACTATGTCAGTACCAGGACTGGTCAATTTTTTATTTTTCATGAAAAAAAAAAAAAAGCTTCATATGGTTAATTTCTTCTAATTAGCTCTCAAGAAGGGAAAAAAAAAAAAAAAAATCTTCTTCTAAATTAGCTCTCAAAGAAGGGAAAGGAAAAAAAAAAAAAAAAACAGTTGTTCACCTGAACCATCTTCTTCCACCGCGGGCCATGAACTACCGGTAACAAAAGAATCATGTTTATGCTGGAAACTACAAAACTATTAAGAACTTAAATTTCTTGTATCTAACATATTAAATAATAAAGCGAAACAAAATCCAACGGATCCATAAAAAAAAAAATTTAATTTCATTTGGACAAATACAGAATAATAAAAACAGAAACATTATCTAGCTTCTATTGCTGTAAGTGATACACTATTTATGGAATAGATTTTTGTACTTTTTGGCATTCGATCAAATCTATCAAGAAAATATACAGGTCGTTTGGGTGCAGAAAGATTTAAACTTTCATTTGTTAACATAGAAAAAACATCTGACATCGCAGGTCTATCTGTTGCCTTATCTTGTACACATAGCAGACCAATATGTATGCATCTTGCTACTTCACCATAAGAGTAAGATTCATCCAAAGTTGGATCCATCAACTCTATGCCTCTACCTTCTTTCCATAGCTCCCATGCCTGAAACAAGTCCATTTGAAAATTTAACAAGGTTGCAAAGTTGCATTCCAGTTGGAGCTAAATTGACTATAGAAGAAAATGAACAATCTTACAAGTCCTATAAGGTTGAGTGGACATTCGGAATCCAAACCATAGTTGCTGTTATTCTTCTTGCTGCTCACAATCTCAAGTAGTAGGACACCGAAGCTGAATACATCTATTTTAGTTGAAACTATGCCTTCCAATGCATACTCTGGAGCCATATAACCACTGAAAGCAAGTTCATTATAAATTTTAACATTTGAAGAGAAAAACACATTCTTACATGATTAAACATGATTCATTATACTCACTGTGTTCCAACAACTCTGCCGGTTTTCTCTTCTGATTCGTTCCTCCCAAATATTCTTGCCATGCCAAAATCTGATATTTTGGGATTCATTTCAGCATCAAGTAAAATGTTACTTGCTTTCAAATCTCTGTGAATTATTCTCAATCTTGAATATTTATGAAGGTAAAGAAGTCCTTGAGCAATGCCTTCTATGATGTGTAGGCGTTTTTTCCAGTCCAATAAGTTCTTTTTAGTAGGATCTGTTCCAGAAAAGAATCAACACAATGCATGAAGATTAGAAGATGAAAATTATTCAGAAGGAAGAGAAGAAGAGAGTGTTTTAGTTCATAAACCAAAGAGGAAAAAATCCAAGCTTTTGTTCGACATGAATTCATAGATTAGTATTTTCTCTTTTCTCTGAATGCAGCATCCAACAAGCTTGACAAGATTAGTGTGTTGCAGCTTTGCAATTAGCATTAATTCATTTTTAAATTCTGCTAGTCCTTGCCCAGAATTTCTTGAAAGTCTTTTTACTGCTACTTGCAGGCCACTATGTAAGTCTCCCTGAAGAATGAAATAACAGTTTTAGTAGTTGTATTAGTTTTTCTCTTTTTTAATCATATTGATTTAATATACCTTGTAAACAGATCCAAATCCACCTTGACCAAGCTTATTTGCAGCTGCAAAATTATTGGTGGCGGCAACTATGCTTTCAAAGCTGAAAAAATGCAGCTCATGGCCCTTCTTTCTGTCTCCTTTGACTTCATTTAACTTTTTAGTTCTGCTAGAATCTGTTTCATTAGCTTCTAACTCGCTTAATAAGATGTCCTGCTCTTCACAATCCTCTGCTGGAAGTTGTCAAGTTTTAGCAGGATGTGATTAGTCAATAAATGGTAATGATTAATCCTCTAACTTGCTCTAATTAATTTACTTATTTGAAGTTACCTGCTATTCTGTTTCTTCTTTTTATCAAATAGTAAAGTGAACATGCTGCAAGTAGAGCCACAAGTCCTGCAATTATTAGGACAAGCAATATCCACCTCTTTGCTGCATTAACAAATAGGTTTTTTCCTGATTAGCAATCTAAGTAAACTACAGTTAAAAAATAAGTTAGTTACTATGTATTTAGTATTTACCTTTACTTTTTGCAATATTTAGGACATATATGACTCTAGTTTCATCATATTTCTCTGTGAAAACAACTCCTTGACCCCATATCTCACAGGCAGTGAGATTGGAATTACTGTAAGCATATGCAGTACAAGAACAATTGTTCAGGCACTTTTCCTGACAATCAAAAAGGCTTAAGTTGTAACTTCGATCGAACTTCAGTCCTTGGGCAGACATGAATCCTTTTTTTGCCTCAAACCAATCATTTTTGCTTCTGCATAGAGGCAGCGTTTGTTCCACACAACCAGGATCAAATTTGTAGGAACAAGCACCAAATGGAGCTGGTCCTCCTATTTCTAGTATTGAACCACTTGAATCTATCATATATCTTGATAAGCTATGATTTTCACTTTCACTCAAGGCATATGTGTAGTAATATAAAATATCATCATTATTAGCAGTGAAGCTAAAGTTGCGGTTACCTTCATTTGATAATCGAGGCAATAATTTGAAATGATCATTTTGCCACATTCCACTTGTCCAGTATATGCTTCCTTTCCACCATATTACAAGTTGGCTACTTCTGGCCTCTTCACTCACTCCAATGGTAAGGGAAAAGGACCCTTGAGCAGGAACATTATCGTTAATCCATGAAGAAAGTGACCATGAACGCTCATTTTTTAAGTCAATTCCGGTTTCATACCAGGAAGGAGCGTGTCCGTAGGATAATCAAAGCTTTCCCAAAGAATATGCTTCGTAGAACCATCAAAATTCATCTCTTTCAATACAAAATTTCCTGAATTCAATAATGTTGCACTTACATTACTTGTTGCTGCTGCATAACTTAATGTAATGAAGCTGCCTCCATTATAGGAAATTCTCAGCTTGCCAAGTTTATCTATCGTAAGAATTCCTGATGCATCAGGAATTGGATTATTTCTGTTTGCAACCCAGACCACGCTCCTCTTGGCAATTGAAACTGACTTCTCATCCACAACGTTGTACCATATTCCCAAATATCGACTTCTTGAAGTGCCTGGGCTAAAGAATCCAAACTTGAAAGTCCCATCAGCAGAAATCAAGTAATCAGAATCCTTCAACTTTTGGCCTTGCAGTATCGTGTCTGTAAATGAATTAGAAAAATCAATGAACAATAAACAAAATGACAAAAACAAAAAAAAAGGGCTTCTTTCTTTGACAGCCATAACGAATAGGTTTGGGAATAGAAACAGTATTGAACATAAATCATTCATCTTTAACATTAAAAGTTAGCTTCTCCTCAAAAAAAAAAAAAAAAAAAAAAAAAAAAAAAAAAAAAAAAAACAAAACACAAGGCCTTCCCTCTTAACTTTTGAACGCACGACAGACGAATACGTTTGGCGAATTAGAAACAGTATTGAACATAAAATCATTCATCTTTAAACTTGAAATAGTATCTCCTCAAAAAAAAAAAAAAAAAAAAACAAAAAAAAAAAAAAAAAAAAAGAAAACTAGCCGTTTCTTAAGTCTCAGAAAGCACTTTAGCGACTTAGGAAGATGTTGAATCTAAAATGTGTTGCCTTCTCTTGTCCGAGATTGATAACTTAATGCCCCCCAGGCAGATAATCTAAAATATGTTATAGCCCTCAACCAGTCCTAATGAAACAATTTCAAAACCAAACCTACATATGCAGACCACTGCCAATCGCTATATCTTAAGCTACAACAAGAAAAGTAAAAAAAAAAAAAAAAAAAAAAAAAAAAAAAAAAAAAAGAAACTAGCCGTTTATTTTGACTAGCTGAGTTAGGAAGATGAAACTATGTTTGCCTTTTCTTTGTCCAATGTGAAACTTAATGCAGCAGAACTAATTATTTTAGTTCATATGCCTTTGACAATTTCAAAACCAAACCTCATCTAGACCACTGCAATCGCTATATCTTTAACTACAGACAAGAAAAGTATCTCATAGTTCTTTATTAAATTATTAATTTTTTATGCTTTCTTCCTTATAGAGGTTCTTTTCAAACTTTGTGTTCTCAAGTTATTACATTCTCTTAATTAATTTTGATTTCATACTCTGTGGGAAAAAGATAATCCTTATCCAAAATCAAAGTCAAAGGTATGACAAAATTTCATTTCAAATACTGATGATCGAGAAGTATTGGTTGACTATTGGCTGGTTGAAACCACAACTGTAAAAAGTAGAGTAATTGCATCTTTATCATTCAGTACAAGATTAATCGCCTGCGGATTTTTTCGTCTACAATTACAGAAATACATTTTCACCTTGCTTCCATTTCACTGATTGATACCCCATTTAATGAAAAACATTCCTGATTCTGCTCTGCAATCTCTGCAGCCTGCAAATTCCTTCGATTGTAAAACCCAGGTTGGTTTGGAGAAGGCAGTTGATTAGCTTCATTATATATCATAGACGTAACTTCTAACATGGTGGGTCGATCCATTGGATTCTCTTGTACACATAAGAGGCCTACAATAATGCATCTCAGCACCTCATTCTGATATTTGTCGCTGATTATCGGGTCAACCAGCTCCAAAACTCTGCCTTGTTGCCATAACTCCCATGCCTAAACCAATTCAGTAATGAAAATTTCATCAAGAAATAACATAAACTAATAAAAGGCAATTTAAGTTGGGTCAAGAACTCACATATACTATAAGACACAGTGGGCCATCAGAACAATGAAAACTGTTATTCCTTCTGCTGCTAACAATTTCCAGCAACAAGACTCCAAAACTGAACACATCTGACTTTGTTGAAAAGATGCCTTTTATTGCATATTCAGGAGATATATAGCCACTGCATTTGTAGTTCATTGAACAACATTGGTAATTAAATGCAGAAAGTAATGCTTAAAAGCATTCAAGCAGAATTTATCAACTTACTATGTTCCAACAACCCTTTTAGTCTTTTCTTTAGATTCCTCTGAATCAAATACTTTTGCCATGCCAAAATCTGATATTTTTGGATTCATATCCTTGTCAAGTAAAATATTACTGGCCTTCAAATCTCGGTGTATTATTTTCAGTCGCGAATACTTGTGAAGGTAAAGCAGCCCTTGAGCAATTCCTTCAATGATGCTGAACCGTTTTCTCCAGTCTAGTACTTTCCGATTCATAGGTTCTGTTCACAAGCATTTTATTAACATAAAATAGAAGAATGACAATTAACTGTGACAGAATCAGAAGTCCACTGACCAAATAGCAATAAATCAAGGCTTTTGTTAGGCATGTACTCATAGATTAGTATCTGTTCTTCTTTCTCAATGCAGCAACCAACAAGCCTGACAAGATTGTTGTGTTGCAATTTGGCAATTACTTTTACTTCATTCTTGAATTCTTCTAAACCTTGCCGAGAGCTAGTGGAAAGTCTTTTTATTGCTACTTCTGGACCACCTAGTAATTTTCCCTGAAACAACAATTTGTTTAAAATAAAAATTTATTTTTAATCTGAACAGTTGAAAGTATATACCTTATAAACAGGTCCAAATCCACCTTCCCCAAGCTTGTTTGTTGAGGCAAAGTTGTTAGATGCTAATGCAACACTTTGAAAATTGAAAAACTGCAATTCATGGATGCTCTTGTCATTTCTACAGGAATTGTGCTTTCTATCAATGCCCAGCTCATGTAATAATCTTTCTTGCTCAGTGTTAGCCTTCTTTTCCTTGTATTTTCGCCACATTTGCAACAGGGGCACAGGCTTCCACGTCGAGGGGATAGTTGTAGTTCCCATATCCATTGGGACCAGAACATATCCCTTGTATTTTCTCCATATCAGATGGCATAAAGACCATAACAGGGACATCACCAAAGCTCCTCCTACCAAAATGAATAACCACCACGGCAACTTCTTTTCTACAATTAAAAAACCAGTTTCAATATCCTTTACCAATAGTCAGCTTTTGTTTCAAAATGCTACATTTTGAAATGCTAAATTTAACAGAATTAAAAACTGAAAAGAACAATAAACTTCCCATAAGCTGAGGAATTTGTGTATTACGAAATTGACAATAACAGAATATCTATACACTTCTATAAATAAGTGATCTTACTTTTGGATTTGCGGACATAAATGGCCTGCCAATATTTTCTGTATACCGATGTCTCAACTGTCACTTTGCTCCAAATCTCACAGCCAGTGCCATCAATTTCATTTGTAGGTGCATAGGCAACACAAGAACAATTTCTTAAGCATTTTTCAAGACAATCATTAATACTAAGATTATCACTTTCATTGAACTTAAATACATCTCCAAACACAAAACCTCTTGTGTACTCGAAATCTGAAACATGCTTCCAACAGATTGGATGCTTCTGATCCACACATCCAACAGTATTCATATAGTCATAGGAACTTCTGCATGAAATTAGTGGATTTGCAAAACCTGAGCTTAGAATAAAATCATTAATTGATAACATTGGAAAAGATGTTGTAGCATCATTCGCATAATAAGTAAAATACTTTTCATTTTCATTAGAAACATAGCGAAAATGATATTGATCCTGGTAAGCTAACTCATGTGATAAGCTGAAGCGTCCATCTTCCCAAGTCCCACTAGTCCAGTACAAATCTCCTGCCCACCAGATTTTCAGTTGGTTCGTTTCATTTCGGTCCATTCCAAAGGTGAAGGAGCCAATGGCTGGTGACCAATTATCAATCCATGATGTTAGAGACCAATTATGAGCAGTGTGCAAGTTAAATCCTAATTTCATACCCGGAAGAAGTGTGTGTGTGGGATAATCAAAACTTTGCCACAACAAACTTTTAATAGATCCATTTGAATATAGTTCAGACAGTATGAGATTCCCAGAATCAAGCAAAGTTGCAATAGTGTAACCTGATGCTTCAACTGAAGTTAATGCTATAGGATCTCCATCTCCTCTATTACATAGAATTTCCAAATTCCGGTCACTACCAATTGTAAGAATACCTGAATTGTCAAAAAGTGGAGTATTCCTGTTGGCAACCCAAACTACCTTAGATGATGGGTCGTACGAAATTTCTTGTTCAGTAGTCACATTATACCATATTCCTACATAATGCTTCCCTCTGGTTTCAAAGAATCCTAACCTGAAGATTCCAGAAGCTGACATTAAGTAGTCCCCATTTTTGAGATATTGGCCCTGAAGTAATGTATCTGTTACTGAATATGAAGACCCCATTAATAAAATGAAGCATGAAAAGCTGAGCAGGAAAAGATTTTGCCCTTTCCTTGCCATTAATAGAAGGGCACTCTGTATAATGCTAGTGGTATGATGATGCCAAAATCTTTGAGATCATAACAAAAGACCTATCATAACAAATGCCATGAAAGACCAAAAAAAAAAAAAAAAAAAAAAAAACCAAAAAAACTACCTATAGAATGATGGGTCGTACGAAATTTCTTGCTTCAGGAGTACCGTCACATTATACCTATAATTTTCAAAACTACATGAATGCTTCGCCTCTCCAAAAGAGGTATTACAAAGAGGAATCCTAACCTGAAGATTCACAGCGAAGACTGACAAAACAATTGTCAAGTACCCGGAAAATAAGTGAGGTCCCTTCATTTTTGACCCGGCAATCCACCTCTGCGCCCTGCAAGTAAAGAGAAATTTATCTAGATTACAAAAGGCTGAATATGAAGAAACAAACAAAACCATTAATAAAATAAGCACTCCGAGATAAGCGTTCCACGCAGCCGAAACAAATAATGTGTCCGCGGAAAAGGTGTTCCTTTCCCATTGATAGAAGGCCACTCTGTATAATGCTAGGGGCGGTATTAGATAGATGCCAACAATCTTTGAGATCATAACAAAAACCATAATCATAACCAAAATGCATGAAAGACCAAAAAAAAAAAAAAAAAAAAAAAAAAAAGAGCTAAATATGACTTCCCATCAGAACGTTTTTGAGATCAAAAGAAGGCCATGAAATCTCCTTCTGTATCCTCAATTTAAGGCTTAGCAAAACTACTAGCAGATATTTCTGCTACAGTGCCACTGGACCTATTCTTTATTTGACCAAGACTTTTGAAACCAAAAGTGTTAAATAAAAGTGGGTGGATAAGCTTCATGTAGTCAGATGAAAACCAAGTTACTCTATTAAATTAATGAACACACTGGTCAAAAAAACCATTAACTGAGTTTCCTGTACTTTTTTTTATTTTTTAAATTCAACAATGGCGGGATGTTTTATGCCTTAATTTCCATGGGCCTGCAAAATTTGTACCGAGAGACTCATGTATTATTCAGTTAGGGATTAGCCCACTTGCATAAATGCAATGCACTCAAGTCCATCAATTTGATCTATAGTTCAAAAGTTCAAGTTTAGGATTCTATTAATTGAAAGTTGAAACTGGAATATATGAATATCTGAATACTGGGCAAGTTAATTAAAAGCCCATTGGTTCTCTCTACGAACTTCTTCCTCTTCCTCTGGAGTGTAGTCATTCTTGATGTGAAAAATCTTTCGAATCTCCTCGACAGTCTTTCCACTCATCATACTAGCCACTTCTTTACAAAGCAAATCCAAAAGGTCTTGAATGTCCAAAAAGTTTGAAGCCAAAATTACATCAAAGAGAATATCCTGATCAGGCCTAATTTCCTTGACGAAATTGGCATCCCAACTTTTGAGTTCTTCAGATTCCTCGCCTGCGTAATTCTTATCCTTACCTTCAGCGGCCAACTCATGATGCTTTTTTATGTATTCGATCACCTTCGCCATTGTACGGCTGTTCACATTCGGCAACGGAATAGTACTGTCAGCGCATCCGTCCTCTATCATATGCTTGATTGTTTGGGATACCAAAGCGTATTGCTCCTCCAGTTCGAATATCACCTCATCGGAGGTCTTGAGCGTGATCTTCTTTGTTGACGGAGAGGAAGACATTGTCGATGACTCCACAAGAGTAAAAACAGAAGGCAGAGAAATAGAGACAATAACACTAAATTAGAATGCGGAAAATCGTGAAGCAAAAACACCCTGCTTAGAGTGTGATTTTCTTCCTCACGCCGATTAGGACGTCTAATAGCAGTTGGATCATGAAGAAATTTAGATTTCCAAGGTCATCCTGGATTTGTTCGGGACACTAAAATAAATAATAAATAATAAATAAATAAAATTTAAAATATTTGTATTATTTTTATTGTATTCAAATGCTAGTATAATTTAATTTTGATTATGAGTTAGTTTTATGGGTTACCAATGTCTTTTCAATAGAGTTGAAATAATATATTCTTTTCAATTGTTTCAACCAATTAGTGAAATTAAAAAAAAAAAAAAAATCGTAACCAATTAGTGAGATTAAAAAAAAAAAAAAATAAAAAAAAAAAAAAAAATCGTGCATATAATGAAACTACATTCTGGGACAGGACGGTATAAATTTCAAATTTCTGTCCATTTCAAATTTACAAATGGTTGTTATGGGCTAGGAAATATTCTGCTGTTCGAGTACCATCATCATCTCAAAAAGATCATTAAATTAATGTTCAATGGCATTTTTAATACTGCAGATGGTACACTCCACTCAGCTTATAGCCCAAAAGATGATGTACTTGGCATATTAGCGCGATAACTTTCATAATAATTATATGTCGTAGGGGGAACTTGAGGTATATTGTCTACCGACAAGGCTTTAACTGGAATACATCTAGATCTTATTTCATATCTCCTTCGCCTCTGTAATTCTTTTAGTGTTTGAATACAAGGAAACTCTATATATGGAGGGGTAGGTTAAAGCATACGAAGAGTTTCATTATGAAATTCTTCATTCATTGCACTGAATAGGCTAGATAATCTTCAATGGAATAATAGATTTTTACGTGTTGGTGATATTGAACTGTAATATATATGTTGGAGTCCATATGCTTGTATTAAAAAAATATTATGAAAATAAGGACAAAATTTATTATTCAATTATATTAGGAAATTATAAGATAAAATAAAAAGATATCGAATAATTACTACAACTCTAACTTCTTGTCACGACCCATTTCCGTGGGCCGGACCGGCACTAGAGCCCAGGTAAGCTTAAGGCCCCCGAGGCCCGTAGTAAGCCTAAATTATTCCGTATAAGCCTAAAATTATTCAATCTGTTTCTACATGATTCTCCTAATTTCAACAAAACAGTAAGCCCATAGAACTTAGGCCCATATGACTTAAGATATAAGTTTTATAAAATTTTCAAACATCTGACCCAATATCAAATAATACATAAAATTTAACCAGGGCCTATTCACAATAACAAATAATCACAATAAGGGCTTACTAGTTTACCTACAGTTAATTACACAATAATTAATTTATAGCGTAGTGAACAATAAGGCCCAATTTAAATACACAACCCTATAACTGCGGAGTCCAAAAAAAATCTGATAACAGAATAATTTATACATTCAAAATTAAATATCAACAATATAAAGTTTACATTTGTAACTCTGCGGAGAAGATTTGCAGAGCTTCAGTTGAATCAGCTGCTTCCTAGTACCTGGGAGGTTTTTTGGGCGGGGGGTGAGTTTTGCAATTCAGCGAATAATAATAAATAATATACATCACAAACAGTCACACAAATGCACCCTAGAATACTGAATGTACACACAACAGTCAATCATATGGCATCATATCAGCACCCACAAACAATATCACTCAAGCAAGTGGAAATTAGTCAGTGGCACCACCTGAAACCCACCGAACCCCCGATGGAGGCCGTCCTCCCATATGGCTCATCCTCTCACATTGCACCAGGGAGCCGATCCCCCATACTGCCGACCGGTCTATCCTCACTTGGAACCAGCCCTCTCATTTTTTTCCATTCTTCTCTTTCCTCTCATTATTTTTCCATTCTCTCTATTCCCAACAGGAGGTAACCCGGTCGTCTCCATCAAATCTAGATCATCAAGCGCTCACAACAGGAGGCCACCCTGCGGGCTGCGATCAAATCAGGTGCGCCCAATAAAGAAACCAACCTGTGGTTTTCCATATCACACAGATCATAGCAGTAGGTGCACACGGGGCGCCGATCTTCCATTTACCCGGCCAAATTTCATATCATATTCAGGATCCATATCACATATACCATTCTCACAAACCCATGGTGACCCACTTCATCCCAATTCCACACAACAATTCCACACAAACAAATCACAGCATAGCCACAACACAAATAATCAGACAATTCATTCATCATAAACACCAATTTCATCCAAATGCACAATTATATATAAGTATAATTATAGTGATCGTAACATAAAATACATAAAATACTTATAATATGTTGTAAATATGTAAATAAATGAATAAATAAATAAAAATGTAATGTATATAAATAAGTGTTATGCAAATGCAGTGTTGATGTGCATTATTCATTATTACTCACAGTGATGAAGAGCAAGGTTCTAGCTTTGATTCTGTCCTGGAAGAGCACTAGATGAACCGAGCGATCTAAGAAATTACAAGAACGACACAAAAAGAATAATTCTATCAGACAAAATATTCATTCACCACCCTTAAAAAATTTCATTTATATCCTAACTTATCTACATAACTAATTTTTTGAGATATAAGTTCTTTTCTATAATAACTCATTTCCTTCTAGCTTGTATTTTATTTCCTACCGAAGTTTGTTTATTCTTTTGCTACCGAAATTTCTTTTATATTCTACCGAAATTTCGGCAGCATCTTCCCTAAAAATTGGACTATCCACCTGTTAAAATATCAACAACATATTTAATATTTTCCAAACCACACAGCCCATCCGTCGGGCGCCCATCCGTCGGGCAATTAGTCAAAAAACGTTTCCCATCCTCCATCAATCTCAACATTACCACACAATTAAATTATATATATTACAATAACATCATATCCAAACTGCCTTAATAAAATCAACACTATAATTATAAAGCTGTTAACTACTCATAATTACCAAATTAAATTAACCAAATTAATTAACTATAGATAATAAAATTAATTTAATTAACTAGCATTACTAACATTAACTAAACTAATTGGGCCACAAAAAAAAAATAATTAATTACAAATGATAATAACATTAATTTCATTATCTAATATTACTAAATTAATTAACTTCAAATAATAAAATTAATTTAATTGACTAATATTACTGATACTAACTTGGCTAAATAAACTAGCTACAACAATGAACTACAACTAACTTAACTAATTAATTACTAGCACTAATTACTAACACTAACACTAACACCAACTTAACTAACTAAATTAACTACAAACCATTACTTTTATTCACTAAAACTAACTTAACTAAATGAATCAATTAATCAATTAATTTCATTGTCTAATACTAATTTAATTAACTAATGTTTCATTATCTAACTAACATTAACTAACACAATTAACTAAATTAACTAAACAACATTAACACAGTTAACGTTAACTAACTAATTATTGCTAGGTAGGAAATTCTTACGCCTGTCGGGTTAGAAGCAGTGACTGTCGGTGGTCGAACTCGACTGGCAGTGGCGGAGGGAGGCGGAGACGACCGATCGGCGTGCTGGAGGGACAGCAGAGCTGCTGTGACGCCGGCGGAGGCCCGATCTGCAGTGGCAGCGTTGGCTTGACAAAGCTGTGCTGCTGCTGTAGGCGCAACAGAGGAGCAGCAACGCGATCTGGCCAAGGAGACGAGGAGCTGCTGGCGGAGCAGCTGCGTTGCCGAGCTGTAGTAGGGGCGGTGGCGGAGTGGCAGTGGCGCGCGGCTCTGCTGCGTTGCCTCTGTCTCGCCAAGAACGCAGGCACAAGGAAAGAAAAAGAAAGAAAAAGGAGGAAGAAGGGAAAGAGGGAAGGGAAAAAGGAAAAAGAAGAAAAAGAAGAAGAAGAAGAAGAAGAAGAAGGAGAGGAAGAAGGAGAGGGAGAGGGGGTGGTGGCAGTGGCGCTGTGGTGGCAATGGCGATGGAGTGGAGGTGAGCTGGGGAGGGGGAAAGTGAGCTTGGCGTTGAAGATAAAAGAAAAAGAGAGTTTTCTAGATGGTTCGGGTCGAACCGGTTTGATTCGGTTCAATTCGGCCCAAATCATCGATTTCAATCGGGTTTTTTTTTTTTTTTTTTTTTTTTTTTTTTTTTCGTTAATGCATGGTAGTTGCACTAAAATATTTAATATTATAATTTCCAAGGCTGGTCGGTTCACTAAATATAATTGAAATAAAATTTTAAAAAATAAAAATTAGAGTCATTTCACTTCCCTGCACCTCGAAAATGAAAAATGCCAACGTCTAGTTTCATTGGACATATTCAAGTGTAATTGCACCAAACCACTAGATTAATATGCGGCGTTTCGTTGAAAAAAAAATATTTAGAGGAATAAAATATTTTTTATTGAAAACTACTAATTAATGTTGGTGGACTCTTAAACAAAACACCTATTTTTCTAATGTACTTTTTTGCCTAACCTAGTGATCACATGGTAGTTGCACTAAAATATTAATATTAATTTCCAGGCTGTCGGTTCACTAAATATAATTGAAAATAAATTTTAAAAATAAAAATTAGAGTCATTTCACTTCTGCACCTCGAAATGAAAATCCAACGTCTAGTTCATTGCACATATCAAGTGTATTGCACCAAAACCACTAGATTATATGCGCGTTTCGTTGAAAAAATATTTAGAGTGAATAAATATTTTTTATTGAAACTACTAATTAATTTGGTGGACTCTTAACAAAACACTATTTTTCTATGTACTTTTTGCTAACTAGTGATCACATCCCATAATTGCATTAAAACTATCAAATGAATTGTGTGTTTTAGTGAAAAGACAAATTGACAATTTAAAATTTTTATTTTGTATCGAAACTACCAATTGGATTGGTGATGTCAATACAAATTAAAAATTATTGTTTATTTATATAACTATTTTTTTATTGACTGTTTGTCAATACAAGTTACTTTTTCTATTATACTTAAGTCACCAACTCAATTGGTGGTTTTAGTGCAATAATTTCTCCATGTCATGACGAACATTGGAGTTTAGTAAATAGCTTTAAAATGACATTAGATTGGAAAATAGTTTTACGGAGAACATTGTTTTTGTTAAAAGCTCTAGCTTTCCTTATATTTTTCAAATTATTAAATTTTCATATTTAATTTGAAGTTTAGAATATACAAAAGAAAGAATTTTTACATTTGTACATCATGAAAATTTAAAATTAAGGCATAATTATTGTTTTTCTAACTTATCATATTTGATTTGATTTTGAATTTTAAAACTAATATAAATCTCTCTATATATGTAAATTACAAAAATCTTAAAAAATATAGACAAAATTAAGACGTAATTTTTATTTTTCAATTTTAAAACTCATAAAATAAAAATGTAATTTAAAAATAACTAAGTTTCTTCGTATGCCATAATTGAATTTAGAATTCAATAAAAAAATAAATGATGGGAAAGGAAAAAAGTAAATAAAAATAGAAAAATGTTGAAAATTTTCTCAAATAAGATAAAAGCATATGCTAAAAAATTGAGTGTATTATTTATAATTCACTATTCAATTTATATTCGTCCTACCACTCATATATTAAATTAATAAAAATAAATTTTCATGTTTCAAATTTATGAAAATAATTTTTTTATGAAGACGAGAGTATTTATCCTTTCGAAAAGCAAAATAAAACGGAATCAATTTTTTAAAAATCTATACTTTTGATTGGTTCGGTAATGTGTCTAGACAAGTCTCTATATGTAATTAATATACTAGATTTAAGAACAAACGACGAATCCTTTCAGCCAGAAAAAACAAAATGACACGTCGTTTCTCTCTAGTTCCCATCTTTTGCATCTCCCTCCTTTATTGACTCACACTCTAAATATATGCCAATGACAAGATTCTCGCTATTCTACTCTAATTTGGTTTTACTCTAATCATGCTGGATAGTAAAGGCGTTTGTGGGATTGGTTTAGTTCGGTTTAAAATAATAATTAAACCAAATTTAAAATAGCAGCTTGAAAAAAAATTTAAAATCAAAATCAAATCTCAAAAGATTTTAATTAAAAGTTTGGGTTTGAAAGAAAAAAAAAATGAATTTTTTCATTCAACTAGTTAACAAAGAAAAAATAAATAAATACCATTAAACATAAAAATGAATTAAATGATAAAATAAAACACATATATGATTTTAAGCTGTTATTCAAAAATTTTAAATTAATTTTTTTATACGTTTATTCTTACTGCGGTCCAAAAAAATTATGTATTAAATAAGATGTTAATTAAATAATTTATTAATATAGAATTTACTCTACATTTGTTACTAAAAAAATAATAAAAAAAAACTAAAGATTCGATTTTAAATTTTACAAATTGAACCAAATCATCAACATTTAAAACTGCGGTTTGAGAAACACACTATTGACAGGTTTTTGATTTCTTATTCTCCAAGGGATATTTAGCCATAGATAATTAGGTTTTAAGCATTAACTGTTATTTCTAAGTTATATTTATAGAGTCGATTGGCCCAATGTTTTGACAGCGAGTGAACCCGATTACATCGATTTCTCAGACTTATACAGTTTCAACATCTCTCTATTTGATTTAAATTGACTCTACAGAGAAGAAGAAGGGTAGGTCTGAACAGCAGCTGAGGAGGAGGAATTGCAGCCATACAAAGAAGAAGAAGAAGAACTACCATCTCAAATTTAACAACAACAAAAAAGAATTTCACTCTTCTCCAAATTTAAACCATGGTATATATAATTTCTTTCTCTAAATTTGTTCTTGTGTTGTTATTGTTATTTATCATTGATTTTTTGTTTCGTTTTGTTATTGAAGTCATGGATGTTGCGATCGTTAGCAAGGCTGCTAATAGCATTAATGTCACAGCCAGCAGTGTGTTTTTCAACTTTACTGTATTACAGTAATCTTCTTCCGAGAAATTTGAACTTGGAGAGACTGGTTCGACGAGAATTGCTCTATGAGGATAGTTATATGTTTAACTTTATCATCAATGTCTTGAGATGTTTCTTGTAGATATAATTAGTTATTAATTAGATCTACTCTATGGCATTAGTTAGTTAGGAATTTTGTTTCTCTGAAACCCAATCTTGTTTCAGGAAGAAGACGACGACTGTATATTTTTCCAGCAATCGGAGAGTTATTAATTATAAATAAAATTGTGAGATACAGGAAATTATATAAATAATGTTTTAGTATAGTATTATAAATAATGTTTCTTTTTTTTTTTTTCTTTATCTACAACTGATTGAAGATATCTAAACAGTGTACATTAAATTATAAAAGTTATAATTAATTTATTTATTTTGGAGCTTAATATATATTTTTACCTTAAAATTTTTTGCTTATTACAATTACAATTTAGGTATATTTGTATATACGAGAATTGGAAGAAAAATAATATTAATTGTTTTAATCTTTTTCTCTGTTATCTTTTTGCTCAACGACAACAACCACTCCGTCACCACTCACCACCATCTTCTGTGTTGTTTTCTTCCCAACCACCACCACTGTCACCTACTGGACATTCAACTAGCAATGGAGGTAAGTAGGGTTTGGACTTGAGTTCAGGGAAGTAGAAAAAATGGTATTGGTTGTTGTTAGTTATATATTTATAGAAGGTAGTCTTTGTTCTTTGAGGTGAAAATTGACTAATGAACACCAGGAAAAATAAAAGGAGAACAAAAAAAGTTTTGTTTGAATGATTAATTATCTTGATAGATTTTTGCCACGTATACGTGTGTTTCTAAATTTGTATTTTGGTAGAAAAATTATATACTTTTCGGTGAACATCTACTTTTTTTTCTTTTCATTCACAAATAAATAGTTTAAGGTTCTAATAAGTTCCGTAAATTATGATAAGAAAATTCGTTAATTTTAATTAAATTATTATTTATTTAACATTATTAATAGTTAATATGTTTAATATATATAAGGGTAAAATTGAAAAATCATTAATTATTTATTCAGAATGACTTACATTTATGGAGAGAGGGAATAAAATAAAACTATGAATTTTTCATTTAAATATATAATTGTGCTTGTGCTACAAAATGCAGTTAGGGCCTAAACGGGCCCATATTGGTTGCATAATATTTTTTCCCGGGCCAGGCCTGCCTGCCTATTCAACTGAATGAGTGTGCATAAGTCAACACTACTCAACAGTTACTTCTTCAATATTATCTCGAACTGATGAATATTATTAACAATAACATCAGCTTGGATGAAATTGAATTTGAATGTTTTGACCATTAATTCAAACTGAATTTGAACCTAAAAATTCAAACTTAATTGACACTTTTTGATCAAGTTCAGCGGTGTATGGAATTGATCGCGTCTAAATAAAACATTTCCTCACGAATTAGTCTTTAGTCGCAATAACCTTTATAACCTCATTAATTATAATAAACCACTTTGATGTAGTTGAACCTTTGTTGTCATAATTATATTGGTCATATAATTCTTATCCTAATTCATTAATGGAAAATCAAAATTATGTCCAAATGTCACATTTTTCCTACCTCTTGTAGAGTAGAAAATTGAGTGAGAGCTCTGAAGTTCGAGTCCTCTCCATCGCAAAAGTTATTACTAATTTGGTGATTCTTATTCAAAAAGAGAAGGCTGCCCCCTGCTGTCTCCCATATATCAAAAATATCTGACAAACTTTGTCTATAAAATCAGGGATTCAAAACCTGAAATAATCATTATCGGAAGAATTTTTACCTGAATATCATTTTCGACATGAATGTAAAAACTACTGAATGAACCGAAAGATTTACATTATAGCTGGCAGAGTAAACTTGATTACTTGACACAAAAGAACATGCTCTGTAAAGGGGAAAAATCTAATTAGTCAACTTTCTCGTGATTAAAGAAACAAACCGCTTAAGGATGTTATGCAATTGCAAGTAAATAACAGAAGGAAGTTAGTGATGATATATATATGGATATAGATAATAGATATATGTCAACTGTCACCAGCTGACTTATTGGGCCCATACCAACGACCCAGATGTGACCAATAGTGTGACTATAGTTGGTTACTTGTCTGTTTTGCATATGTATGTTCATTAATTAACGACTTTAACTGTTATATAACCGGTAATCCACCACTTCGAACGTGCCTAGGATTCTTTCTGTTTTTTTCTTTCTTTCTTTTTATATTTTCTTGGTTTGGTGGATGGCAATGAGTTGCTGCTCCAGTCTAACGAAATCGCCTGCTAATAAAAATAATCATCCAAATCTTTAAAATTAAAGAAAAATGTTATCGAAGTAAAGGTTTATTGATGAAAAATTGCAACCTTAAAACCGGCATAATTCATAATAATAATAATAATGTAAGTCGCGTTTATAAATCGAAACAATAATAATAAATAAAAAAATCATATGGTCAAAATAGCTGACCAAAAAAAAAATTTATCATCCTAAAATTAAAAAATTAAATGGCATTAGCACGACTAAATAATGATTAAAAAATTTTATTATTATTCTCTAATTGAATTTTATTTATAAATCTATCTAAAACTACTATTTTTTTTTTTTTATAATACACACGATCCAATAAGTTCCAACGGGTGCTCTTCATGAATTAAAAAAAGCAAGTATTTAATTCAAATAAAATTAAACAGTAGATAAATTATAAAAGATAATCGTTTCATTTTCATGATTTGAAAAATGTTTAATTGCAGATCAAAATTCTCATCTCTCATTCAATTTATTTTTATACTTCTTTAAACTAATTATTTTTCATTAACGTATTAATAATTCATTAGAAAATTAATAAATATTAGACTTAATTAATTTATGCGTGCGTGCGCGACACGCATATATATATATTCTCCTAAAATTGTGGTGAAAAGTTCTCATGCTTTTCCACGACATTGATCAACCGCAGCTTATTAGCATCTCCCTTTTTTCTGTTTTCAAAAGGAAAACGCACAAAGGAATATATACTTTTGCAGGAATGCAGAAAAGAAGTGCTTTAATTGAAGCCATAGGTTATCATTTCTTGCACTTAACTATAGCTATAGACTCAAAAAAGGGTCAACTGCTTGGCAACGAAGCAGCAGGACTTTATTATAATTTATGTATATCCAATCCAAAATAATTATTCTCATAATACTTTTTAATTATCGTATATTTTAAGATTTGTTTAACAGTAATAATAATAATATATTAATAAAGATAAAATAATATAACATTACCTTAAAAAAAAAAAAAAATTATATGTACACGGGATGTTGGTGACAGCTGTATTCCAGCAAGTCACTCTTTTAGCAGGGCCTGCATGGAATAAGAAGCAAAACGGTAGATACTTGTGACACGTGGACCTTTCAATGTGGGTGCCCTTATTTTATGCCTTAAATCAATGAATGCATAGCTTTTTGGATTTCTAGTTTATCCAATTTTTTATGCTGTTACATGGGGAACAGCCAATCATTTAACTAACAACATATAATTTGACCAGACTACCCTTGAGACCTACTATGATATTAGGGGTCATCACTTTTCATTGCTCCTTCCCTCTTCTACACAGACATACATGTATATATAAGTTGATTTTCTTTTCTCCTTCGCAAAATATAGTCTTATTTAAAAAAATATATATTTATTATTTAATTTCTTACCATATACTTAATTAATATATATCTCTATATTTTCAATTGTATATATTATTTAATATTCTAAAAGTGTATATTAGAAAAAAATTAAACAAAAAATATAAATTAATTATATTAATTAAATTTTCTTAATCTAAGTGAAAGTCAAATTAGACCTCTATATATATGGGGTAAAAGAAGTACTCCTTTTTTTATATATATAGTAAGAGCATCTATATTCTTATTTAATTGCCATATTAGAAAAATAAAAATATTTTTTAAAAAATGCTTTTTAATGTTAATGTCTATTTGTTATGTCAAAAAAATAAATAGATTTTTTAATGTTATTAAATAGATATTGTGTAATATACCTTCTATTTTTAGAGGGTATATTAAACAATGCGAATATTTATTGCTCTTTAGTGATTGATTGCATATTGCATTATAGGTTTAGAAAAGAAAATAAAAAAGATAACGACAAAAGGATTAAAACTAATTAATGCATTAGAGAGAGATTTTTAAAATTCAATGTCTATAAATATATATTCAGCCACAATCCACATTAGTATTATAGATGCTCTAATTACTTCATCATTCTTATAATTTTTATCGACTTGCATAAATATTAAAAATTTTAGTTAATATAGTTAAACTATAATTTTTTCTTTATTTTTCCATGATATACCTTCATATTAATGTCCGTTAAAATTAAATGATTTATATTAAATTCTTCTTTAAATTAAATAAATTATAGTTAAAGATTTAATTAAAAAATATTTTCTCTAAAAATTAAAGATTGATATTTTATTTATATCAAGATTTTAATTAATTTATTTTATTTATTGATAAATAAATTTATTAGACCACGATAAAATAATCAACTTTTAATATTTTTCGCTTCTAAAGAAGGAAATATAACAATAATTTGGAACAAATAAAAAAAAAAAGACAAAAATTAAATGCAGCACCACCTTATTATTTTGTTTACCAAGAAAATGACATGACTAATCATTAAATGAAGGGAATGTCTTTGAAAAAAAAAAAATCAGACCGCGTCAAAATTAATTAAAGGAAATAGTAATATACACTAATTATTTTGAAAATTTTATTCTATGCTTACACACGAAGTCAAAGATACACCAGAGACTTGGCATCAATTGCCCCGCGAAAGCAACATTTCTTGTGCATTACTAATTAATAATAAAATTATAAGATTGGGTCTAAATGTTTTCTCATTAATACTTCATGACTTAGACAAAAACAAACTATTAAATATAAATCTAATACATTATTTTATTCATGAATTATTCAACTTGGGGTCCAAGTCACCACAAAAAAAACGCCATTTTGCGACCGACAAATCGGTCGCAAAATGGCAAAAATCGGTCGCTATGTATACTTTGAGACCGATTTGCGACCGACAAACGTCGGTCGCATCATTGCCCCCGCGAAGACCATTTCTTGTGCATTAACTAAATTAATAATAAAATTATAAGATTGGTCCTAAATGTTTTCTCATTAATACTGTCATGACTTAGACAAAAACAAACTATTAAATATATAATCTAAATCATTATTTTATTCA